ACTTTTTCCGATCGTCTAGAAGACCAGGATAGTCGCCTCGCCGCAACATTTCCCCAGCCCGATTTCAAAGCGTACCGGCACAGTCAAATTTCAGATGCTACGTCTTTGAAGTTGTCTATATGTCTGGCGGTCTCTCGAGCTATAGTCTGTGCATTTTTCTCAAAGACGCTTGCCGACTATCGTGTTTGTTTGTAACTGTAGAAGAAAGATAACTCGACCTCCACCTATTTTTTTTTAAAAATAATTTAGCCAGGATTTTTGGGCCCCCAATTGGTCTGGGCCCCCCCGCATTGCGGGGTCTGGCGGCACTGTAGTTCCGCCCCTGTTTCAAACTAAATTATCTGCCCCTAATAGTCGTCACTAAACCCTGCTCTGTTTGTAAACATTTAGAGTGAACCACAGCTCACCAGACCATTTAGGGGTGGGGATGGTAGGGAGCGCGTTTACAGCTTGTTTTCTAGCGGCTCCCAAAAGAGAATTATATATATACGAGCCGGCCCGCGGCATAACATACGCCGCTATTTAGTTGTTTCTAATTTTCAATAATTCATAATTTGTGAATTCGACAGTACCAACGCTGACACTGAAAATATTTCTTTAAAACACTATAAGTAGCTCGTTAAGGACCATAACCCCCCCTTCCTTCCCCCCCCCTCCCCCCCTACGTTTAAAATCGTTGGCTCTGCTTGTAAACATTTAGAGTGAACACAGCTCACTAAAACCATGTAGGGGTGGGGAGGTAGGGAGAGCGTTTGCAGCTTGTTTTCTAACGGCTCGAAGAAGAGAATTATATATATAGATAGATTTGTAGATCCGTATCAACTTTTCAGCGATTTCCGATAACCGGAAGTGGAACTTTTTCTACTTTGAATTTTTCAAAAGCCTATAGCTTGAGTACTTTTTCAGATAGATGAATGAAATTTCACATACAAGTAAAAGATATGATTTTTCTCCCTTCTAACAAATTTTGAGTAATTTCCGTTGACCGGAAGTTGTAATTTACGCTATTTCCAAATGATCAAAATAATGCATGTGAATTTATAAAGTACTAATAATATCCCACACTATTATGCACATTTTGTTTGGCGTTCACTTGGTGTGCAGTTCTTTTTTCTACGAGATTCCATCTATTTTTAAAAGGTTTATTTTTATTTTTTAAAGTTTAAGTAATTACAAATGGTTTAAAATAAACTATTGTCTATATCGCGAGTTGCCATCGCCCGTAGAGGAACCGGATAAAAGGCCGACACGGACAAAAGGCCGACAAGACAAAAGGCCGACTGCCAAAAGGCAGACAAGACAAAAGGCCGACAAGACAGAAGGCCGATAAGTTTTATAAATAACAAACTACAATTACAGCCGTGTTTAATATCTAAAATATGTAATTATAAACGACTTTTTAAGTTTCTAATAAATATTGTTTGGTACATACAATAGGATAAAATAAAACACGATGTAACCAATTATTTATTGCTGTTATATTGGTCCATATATAGGAAATCACAGGGGTAAATTTAGACAAAAAACAAAAATAACACACCAATTTCGGTACACTTGTATCACAATCACAACAGAATTAATGAATCCAACGAATATAATATACACTTTTTTTCACGCAATTCTCAATGGACGAAACTAAATATAATTGAAATTTTGTCTGTATTTAACATGTAGTCTAGTCAAGGCAGCGATTGTTCTACTTCATTCGGTTTCTTTGATTTCTTTGCGAAATATGGTGGTAACGCCACCTTTCTGTTTATCCTTTGTACACTCCCGTCATCTCCAGTCGCATGGACCCCATAGTTCACCTTATAAGGATCGCAACTAGCATTGTCTCTTGGCGTTCCAACATGTTGCATGTGGGCGATGATGCCGGCGGCTTTTTACTTGGTTCTTTGATGATTATCTCACCTCGCTTACATAGAAGGAGCTATGAAAGACAGCAGTGACAGTATTTCGCAATATTTAAGTGTTGATCATTTGTATTTAAGACGCTCCCGTAATCTCCAGTCGCTTGACCCGATGGTTCACCTTATAAATAAGGATAGCAACTACCATTGTCTCTTCTCTTGAACGTTTCACCTTATTTCATGCCTTATTTCGATGGTTGTCAAGGTAGGAGCTATGCAGTAACACATATTTTGTGATATTAGAATTTGATATGCTTGTCGGCCTTATGGTCTGTTTGCCTTATGGCTGTCGTGCATACATTTCTTTTAAATCAATGTTTTTTCTACATAGTATTTAAATATTTAGGAAAATGTAAGGCTGTTTTGTAAAGTATCTTTACTTATAAAGTTAACAAATATTTATATTTTAAACCATATGTAACACATATGGTTACCAGCCTAGGGGGGATAAGTAATAAAGTTGTAATTCATTGGGTTGCGGCCCCTGTGCGACCGCAACTGTTGATGTAGTTTTTTTGCATGCTCTTCAGTGAGCGATTTTACCTGTGGCCCATGTCATGGGATTTTGGGTTGTTCATGCTTAGCCGTGTCAGTCAGACCTAAGGCTGAGGTAGATCACGACAATGTAGGCCTAATGAAGGTAATATTATGTTTTATATTACTGTACTACTCCTACTAGTGCTGCATGTTGTAGACTTGGGGTGGAGTATTATTCCTGCTAGTGCGGCATGTTGCACACTAGTTAGGTGTGTAGAATTTATTTAAGTAGTTCTTATTGTGCTGCGTATTGGCAGTAACATATTTTAGTGCACCCGTGTATGTTTGTAGCCAACACGTGGTATTACCAGTGATGTAACCGTTTGTTTACATTTGTTTTAGGGCTACAATTTAATCGTCGTCGGCATCGCCTTCTTCTTTGGTTTTTGTTTTGCTGTGATCTACTGTCGGTTGGTCAATCATTTGTCACAATTCGGCTGCTGTTTGTGTTTTCTAACGCTAAAATCAGCTCATTTTATTGTCATAAGGTGGTCCGTGAGCTTCGGCTTGATATAAACAATGTCTGGCTAGGAGGTGATGACAGCTGCTATTTATACTTTAGTGTGTGCACTTGTTTATTTTGAAAAAAATCACTGTGGCTAAATCAGCTGATCCAGTGTGGCTAAATCAGCTGATCCAGTGTGATTATCAAGTTCTACTATCACCACTCACAGTCAGAAAATCATCCCAGAATCAGGAAACCTAGTTTTTAATAGGTTATTAAAATACTACAAGCAAAGTTAAGTAATCAACAAATGTCACATGTTATAATGACAGAAATCAAACATCACTTGTTAAATTATAAAAAATATTCCACAACATTTGAGTTCAGACAGCTTGATCTATCAAGTAACTTAATAAACAGCAGTGTGTCGTGTCTAGATGGTGCCCCAGTGTGTCGTGTCTAGATGGTGCCCCAGTGTGTCTACATGGTGCCCCAGTGTGTCTACATGGTGCCCTAGTGTCTACATGGTGCCCCAGTGTGTCTACATGGTGCCCTAGTGTCTACATGGTGCCCCAGTGTGTCTACATGGTGCCCCAGTGTGTCTACATGGTGCCCCAGTGTCTACATGGTGCCCCAGTGCGTCGTGTCTACATGGTGCCTCAGTGTGTCTAGATGGTGCCCCAGTGTGTCTACATGGTGCCCCAGTGTGTCTACATGGTGCCCTAGTGTCTACATGGTGCCCCAGTGTGTCTACATGGTGCCCTAGTGTCTACATGGTGCCCCAGTGTGTCTACATGGTGCCCTAGTGTCTACATGGTGCCCCAGTGTGTCTACATGGTGCCCCAGTGTGTCTACATGGTGCCCCAGTGTGTCTACATGGTGCCCCAGTGTGTCATGTCTACATGGTGCCTCAGTGCGTCTAGATGGTGCCCCAGTGTGTCTACATGGTGCCCCAGTGTGTCTACATGGTGCCCTAGTGTCTACATGGTGCCCCAGTGTGTCTACATGGTGCCCTAGTGTCTACATGGTGCCCCAGTGTGTCTACATGGTGCCCTAGTGTCTACATGGTGCCCTAGTGTCTACATGGTGCCCCAGTGTGTCTACATGGTGCCCCAGTGTGTCTACATGGTGCCCCAGTGTGTCTACATGGTGCCCCAGTGTGTCATGTCTACATGATGCCTCAGTGTGTCTAGATGGTGCCCCAGTGTGTCTACATGGTGCCCCAGTGTGTCTACATGGTGCCCCAGTGTGTCTACATGGTGCCCCAGTGTGTCATGTCTACATGGTGCCTCAGTGTGTCTAGATGGTGCCCCAGTGTGTCTACATGGTGCCCCAGTGTGTCTACATGGTGCCCTAGTGTCTACATGGTGCCCCAGTGTGTCTACATGGTGCCCTAGTGTCTACATGGTGCCCCAGTGTGTCTACATGGTGCCCTAGTGTCTACATGGTGCCCCAGTGTGTCTACATGGTGCCCCAGTGTGTCTACATGGTGCCCCAGTGTGTCTACATGGTGCCCCAGTGTCTACATGGTGCCCCAGTGCGTCGTGTCTACATGGTGCCTCAGTGTGTCTAGATGGTGCCCCAGTGTGTCTACATGGTGCCCCAGTGTGTCTACATGGTGCCCTAGTGTCTACATGGTGCCCCAGTGTGTCTACATGGTGCCCTAGTGTCTACATGGTGCCCCAGTGTGTCTACATGGTGCCCTAGTGTCTACATGGTGCCCCAGTGTGTCTACATGGTGCCCCAGTGTGTCTACATGGTGCCCCAGTGTGTCTACATGGTGCCCCAGTGTGTCATGTCTACATGGTGCCTCAGTGTGTCTAGATGGTGCCCCAGTGTGTCTACATGGTGCCCTAGTGTCTACATGGTGCCCCAGTGTGTCTACATGGTGCCCTAGTGTCTACATGGTGCCCCAGTGTGTCTACATGGTGCCCTAGTGTCTACATGGTGCCCCAGTGTGTCTACATGGTGCCCTAGTGTCTACATGGTGCCCTAGTGTCTACATGGTGCCCCAGTGTGTCTACATGGTGCCCCAGTGTGTCTACATGGTGCCCCAGTGTGTCTACATGGTGCCCCAGTGTGTCATGTCTACATGGTGTCCCAGTGTGTCATGTCTACATGATGCCCCAGTGTGTCTACATGATGCCCCAGTGTGTCTACATGGTGCCCCAGTGTGTCATGTCTACAACTGTCCATTTGACTGAACTGTCCACACCACTGCTATCAGCTGTCCTGAGTTAAACTGTCCAGATCAGGAACCAACTTCTGTATTTTCTTATCAAATTCTCTGTCTTGACCTGGGGAATACAATCTTTTATTTATATACAAGCTTTTATTTGTCCTGTGTTAGAATAGAATTCTAGGTAACTTACACCCCTCCCCCCCTCCCCACACACAAAGGTTTAAGACCAACCAATTCATTGGGGGGGGGGGGGGGGGGGCGTACGTTTTCCCAAAAGACACATTGCCCGAATGTCAATTTCCAGAATGGGCACTTGCCGGAAAAGCCACTTGCTCGAAGGCCGTTTGCTCAAAAAGTGTTAATATATGATAAATTATATTACCAATTAGACATTTTTAATCAATTATAGTTTGAAATTTTGATAATCAACACAATTCTAGGCATAAAAACAAATTTGTTTATATTTTTAAAATTTTGCTTTTATTTTTTGAGTTATGAGAAAAAAACTGCCTTATTCTTTAATAAATGTAAGTTGATGTTAGCTGCGGAGTCTTTACATTCTTTAATGAATGTTTTGAACACCTTGTTTAACCAACACGTTGTGGTGCTTATAGGCCTATAGCTTTTATGACATAGTGTAGGTGGCACGGTGTCTCCTTACATTTAACAGATAATATGCTTATCTTGTGTTGTGATCATTTCCCAAAAGAATGAGGCTCGGTCTAGGCGGCAAATTTAAAAACTAAAGGTAGTCTTTTATGTGTGATCTCCATTTAATGCACCTTGTTTAGACGATCTGTTCAAGTGATTACTTAATAAAGAAAGTGAGATAAAATGTTTCCAGACATGCCTACCCACGTCAGCCAAAAGTAGGAACAGTTGTGCCTAGAATAAGGAATTTGAAGCCAAAAGTAGGAACAGTCATGCCTAGAATAAGGAATTTGAAGCCAAAAGTAGGAACAGTCATGCCTAGAATAAGGAATTTGAAGCCAAAAATAGGAACATTCATGCCTAGAATAAGGAATTTGAAGCCAAAAGTAGGAACAGTCATGCCTAGAATAAGGAATTTGAAGCCAAAAGTAGGAACAGTCATGCCTAGAATAAGGAATTTGAAGCCAAAAGTAGGAACAGTCATGCCTAGAATAAGGAATTTGAAGCCAAAAAGAAGAACATACGCGCGGACGCTACTTTACAAAGACAAAAAATTAATTAATTATTTTTTTTTAAAAAAAGGAAAAAACTTTGACAAAAACGGGATGGTGGAAGAGCAACTGTCTTTAGGGAATTTGTTGTAGACCCAATTCATTGACATCCAAAAGATAAAGGTATTTAAGACCAACCCAATTCATTGACATCCAAAGATAAAGGTATTTAAGACCAACCCAATTCATTGACATCCAAAGATAAAGGTATTTAAGACCAACCCAATTCATTGACATCCAAAGATAAAGGTATTTAAGACCAACCCAATTTATTGACACCCAAAAGATAAAGGTATTTAAGACCAACCCAATTCATTGACACCCAAAAGATAAAGGTATTTAAGACCAACCCAATTCATTGACATCCAAAGATAAAGGTATTTAAGACCAACCCAATTCATTGACATCCAAAGATAAAGGTATTTAAGACCAAGCCAATTCATTGACATCACAAAGATAAAGGTATTTAAGACCAACCCAATTCATTGACATCCAAAGATAAAGGTATTTAAGACCAACCCAATTCATTGACATCCAAAGATAAAGGTATTTAAGACCAACCCAATTCATTGACATCCAAAAGATAAAGGTATTTAAGACCAACCCAATTCATTGACATCACAAAGATAAAGGTATTTAAGACCAACCCAATTCATTGACATCCAAAGATAAAGGTATTTAAGACCAACCCAATTCATTGACATCCAAAGATAAAGGTATTTAAGACCAACCCAATTCATTGACATCCAAAGATAAAGGTATTTAAGACCAACCCAATTCATTGACACCCAAAAGATAAAGGTATTTAAGACCAACCCAATTCATTGACACCCAAAAGATAAAGGTATTTAAGACCAACCCAATTCATTGACATCCAAAGATAAAGGTATTTAAGACCAACCCAATTCATTGACATCCAAAAGATAAAGGTATTTAAGACCAACCCAATTCATTGACATCACAAAGATAAAGGTATTTAAGACCAACCCAATTCATTGACATCCAAAGATAAAGGTATTTAAGACCAACCCAATTCATTGACACCCAAAAGATAAAGGTATTTAAGACCAACCCAATTCATTGACATCGCAAAGATAAAGGTATTTAAGACCAACCCAATTCATTGACATCCAAAGATAAAGGTATTTAAGACCAACCCAATTCATTGACATCACAAAGATAAAGGTATTTAAGACCAACCCAATTCATTGACATCCAAAGATAAAGGTATTTAAGACCAACCCAATTCATTGACATCCAAAGATAAAGGTATTTAAGACCAACCCAATTCATTGACATCCAAAGATAAAGGTATTTAAGACCAACCCAATTCATTGACACCCCAAAGATAAAGGTATTTAAGACCAACCCAATTCATTGACACCCAAAAGATAAAGGTATTTAAGACCAACCCAATTCATTGACACCCAAAAGATAAAGGTATTTAAGACCAACCCAATTCATTGACACCCAAAAGATAAAGGTATTTAAGACCAACCCAATTCATTGACACCCAAAAGATAAAGGTATTTAAGACCAACCCAATTCATTGACACCCAAAAGATAAAGGTATTTAAGACCAACCCAATTCATTGACACCCAAAAGATAAAGGTATTTAAGACCAACCCAATTCATTGACACCCAAAAGATAAAGGTATTTAAGACCAACCCAATTCATTGACACCCAAAAGATAAAGGTATTTAAGACCAACCCAATTCATTGACACCCAAAAGATAAAGGTATTTAAGACCAACCCAATTCATTGACACCCAAAAGATAAAGGTATTTAAGACCAACCCAATTCATTGACACCCAAAAGATAAAGGTATTTAAGACCAACCCAATTCATTGACACCCAAAAGATAAAGGTATTTAAGACCAACCCAATTCATTGACACCCAAAAGATAAAGGTATTTAAGACCAACCCAATTCATTGACACCCAAAAGATAAAGGTATTTAAGACCAACCCAATTCATTGACACCCAAAAGATAAAGGTATTTAAGACCAACCCAATTCATTGACATCCAAAGATAAAGGTATTTAAGACCAACCCAATTCATTGACATCCAAAGATAAAGGTATTTAAGACCAACCCAATTCATTGACACCCAAAAGATAAAGGTATTTAAGACCAACCCAATTCATTGACACCCAAAAGATAAAGGTATTTAAGACCAACCCAATTCATTGACACCCAAAAGATAAAGGTATTTAAGACCAACCCAATTCATTGACACCCAAAAGATAAAGGTATTTAAGACCAACCCAATTCATTGACACCCAAAAGATAAAGGTATTTAAGACCAACCCAATTCATTGACACCCAAAAGATAAAGGTATTTAAGACCAACCCAATTCATTGACATCCAAAGATAAAGGTATTTAAGACCAACCCAATTCATTGACACCCAAAAGATAAAGGTATTTAAGACCAACCCAATTCATTGACACCCAAAAGATAAAGGTATTTAAGACCAACCCAATTCATTGACACCCAAAAGATAAAGGTATTTAAGACCAACCCAATTCATTGACATCCAAAGATAAAGGTATTTAAGACCAACCCAATTCATTGACACCCAAAAGATAAAGGTATTTAAGACCAACCCAATTCATTGACACCCAAAAGATAAAGGTATTTAAGACCAACCCAATTCATTGACACCCAAAAGATAAAGGTATTTAAGACCAACCCAATTCATTGACACCCAAAAGATAAAGGTATTTAAGACCAACCCAATTCATTGACACCCAAAAGATAAAGGTATTTAAGACCAACCCAATTCATTGACACCCAAAAGATAAAGGTATTTAAGACCAACCCAATTCATTGACATCCAAAGATAAAGGTATTTAAGACCAACCCAATTCATTGACACCCAAAAGATAAAGGTATTTAAGACCAACCCAATTCATTGACACCCAAAAGATAAAGGTATTTAAGACCAACCCAATTCATTGACACCCAAAAGATAAAGGTATTTAAGACCAACCCAATTCATTGACATCCAAAGATAAAGGTATTTAAGACCAACCCAATTCATTGACACCCAAAAGATAAAGGTATTTAAGACCAACCCAATTCATTGACATCACAAAGATAAAGGTATTTAAGACCAACCCAATTCATTGACACCCAAAAGATAAAGGTATTTAAGACCAACCCAATTCATTGACATCCAAAGATAAAGGTATTTAAGACCAACCCAATTCATTGACACCCAAAAGATAAAGGTATTTAAGACCAACCCAATTCATTGACATCCAAAGATAAAGGTATTTAAGACCAACCCAATTCATTGACACCCAAAGATAAAGGTATTTAAGACCAACCCAATTCATTGACATCCAAAGATAAAGGTATTTAAGACCAACCCAATTCATTGACACCCAAAGATAAAGGTATTTAAGACCAACCCAATTCATTGACATCCAAAGATAAAGGTATTTAAGACCAACCCAATTCATTGACATCCAAAGATAAAGGTATTTAAGACCAACCCAATTCATTGACATCCAAAGATAAAGGTATTTAAGACCAACCCAATTCATTGACACCCAAAAGATAAAGGTATTTAAGACCAACCCAATTCATTGACACCCAAAAGATAAAGGTATTTAAGACCAACCCAATTCATTGACACCCAAAAGATAAAGGTATTTAAGACCAACCCAATTCATTGACATCCAAAGATAAAGGTATTTAAGACCAACCCAATTCATTGACATCCAAAAGATAAAGGTATTTAAGACCAACCCAATTCATTGACATCCAAAAGATAAAGGTATTTAAGTCCAACCCAATTCATTGACATGCAAAAGATAAAGGTATTTAAGACCAACCCAATTCATTGACATCCAAAGATAAAGGTATTTAAGACCAACCCAATTCATTGACATCCAAAGATAAAGGTATTTAAGACCAACCCAATTCATTGACATCCAAAGATAAAGGTATTTAAGACCAACCCAATTCATTGACACCCAAAAGATAAAGGTATTTAAGACCAACCCAATTCATTGACACCCAAAAGATAAAGGTATTTAAGACCAACCCAATTCATTGACACCCAAAAGATAAAGGTATTTAAGACCAACCCAATTCATTGACATCCAAAGATAAAGGTATTTAAGACCAACCCAATTCATTGACATCCAAAAGATAAAGGTATTTAAGACCAACCCAATTCATTGACATCCAAAGATAAAGGTATTTAAGACCAACCCAATTCATTGACATCCAAAGATAAAGGTATTTAAGACCAACCCAATTCATTGACATCCAAAAGATAAAGGTATTTAAGACCAACCCAATTCATTGACATCCAAAAGATAAAGGTATTTAAGACCAACCCAATTCATTGACATCCAAAGATAAAGGTATTTAAGACCAACCCAATTCATTGACATCCAAAGATAAAGGTATTTAAGACCAACCCAATTCATTGACATCCAAAGATAAAGGTATTTAAGACCAACCCAATTCATTGACATCACAAAGATAAAGGTATTTAAGACGAACCAGAGACAGGAACATCCATTTGAGGAACACCCAGGGGCTGTAAGGTTTTCTTTTTGTTGGTTTGTTTGTTGGTCTGTCTGTGTTTCAACATTCCACTCAGTGGAGTCTCACTAGGGTCAAGGTCATCTTTCTTTGCTGCAGAAACTTGACGGGATTTTTCACCTCGATCTGAAGAAATCAAATCAAAATCAACTGCCAGTTCAAGTTCTAATAAGGTTTGAAAAAATCAAACTTTCATCAACTGCCAGTTGTAAAGAGTGAGAGGTGCAGCAACCTTTGATGCCGTCCACCAGAGCAACACCTTTCCCAAGTCTGTCACAGAACAAGGCAATGTGTTTCTTCAGCCTGCTCGTGTCTTGGGGCAGTGCTAGAGGGCTGGGGTTCACAGCCTGGTCCTTGCTGGACTTGGCCAGCACAGTTCTCAGCAAGTGGGTCAAGGCCGCATCCACAGACTCTTCCCAACCCTGGGGAGAAATAGTTCAAAAATAGTTGAAGTCAGTGAGACACAAGTTGAAGTCAGTGAGACACAAGTTGAAGTCAGTGAGACACAAGTTGAAGTCAGTGAGACACAGGTTGAAGTCAGTGAGACACAAGTTGAAGTCAGTGAGACACAAGTTGAAGTCAGTGAGACACAAGTTGAAGTCAGTGAGACACACGTTGAAGTCAGTGAGACATTCTTGAGGTTCACATGATAGTCTCACAGGTGCCAACAACAGGTGTCATGGCAGACTGTAGAACCTGGAACTTACCTGATCCTCACAGGTGCCAACAACAGGTGTCATGGCTGACTGTAGAACCTGGAACTCCTCCTCTGAAAGATCCAGCCACAACTTAAGCAGGAAGTTGATCAGGTAAGTTCCAGAGCTCAGGTGACTGGCAGCCAGCAACTCAGCTCTCCTCGTCTCCTCCGCTAGGTCAGCCAAAGCCAGGATCTGGAATCAGGGGCTTACTTCAGTCATAGTGATTAGGGTCATGGCAGATGGGTCATAGTAACTAGGGTCACTGTGACAAGCACACAACAGCTAGATGTGGGTCAAAAGTGTGACCTACTTAGGTCTGGTAATGTTTATTTTTACATTTGTTATAATACCATATATGGTCTGTGGTGTAATGACCGTTTTTTTCCGCTGTCTTACTAAGTGAGTCTTAGACTCAGAAATTTTCCATCAAGATATGATTGATTGATTCAGACCAGATGACCACCCCAACCAATGGCCTTATGATTTGAAGGTGACCTTCCATGTTGCCTAAGTCTATAAATAGACTGCGCACAGGCGTCTCGAGGCAGTTCATTGATCAGACGTCGTTGAGAGACATAAGCCCTGTGTGTTGCCGTTTAGTACTAAGTTGTTTAAGTAGCATATTCATATATTACTTGTGGTTAAGTAGAAGTAATTCTTTATGCTTATAGCAGTGATGTGTATACTGTGGTGATTTTTCTGAAGTGTTAAAAGCTGTGATAGTGTATCATATTATTTTTTCCCACAAATTGTAAGTTGGGTTTTGTTCATTCTGTAAATCTATTTCATTCCTGTATAAATCTAGTGTTCTGCCACGACTTTGTACACTCATTACAAGTTATATGCAGATTAAAGGTATTGTTGGCATCAGTAGTTTCTCTAGTGTTTCCCCTAGACATCCATTACGAGTCCTAGCGAACTAGTGTGTTAACTTTCTTTTATTTAGGCTTGTCGCCATCTGTGTATAATCAGTTAAACGAATCCGGGAGCGTTCGCCATCTATCTGGCTGATAGATTGGTGTCCGTTACAACAGCTATGTTTGGGTCAACAGCTAGATGTGGGTCAACAGCTAGATGTGGGTCAACAGTTAGATGTGGGTCAACAGCTAGATGTGGGTCAACAGTTAGATGTGGGTCAACAGCTAGATGTGGGTCAACAGTTAGATGTGGGTCAACAGTTAGATGTGGGTCAACAGTTAGATGTGGGTCAACAGCTAGATGTGGGTCAACAGCTAGATGTGGGTCAACAGCTAGATGTGGGTCAACAGCTAGATGTGGGTCAACATAGTACTCACCTAGTGCTGTGTATTTCTCAATAGTCAACATGTGCCTGTGTGTGTTTAACCTGTCTCACCTGTCTGTCTGTACGTGCCAGTCTCACCTGTCTGTATGTGCCAGTCTCACCTGTCTGTATGTGCCAGTCTCACCTGTCTGTACATGCCAGTCTCACCTGTCTGTACGTGCCAGTCTCACCTGTCTGTCTGTACGTGCCAGTCTCACCTGTCTGTCTGTATGTGCCAGTCTCACCTGTCTGTACATGCCAGTCTCACCTGTCTGTACGTGCCAGTCTCACCTGTCTGTACGTGCCAGTCTCACCTGTCTGTACATGCCAGTCTCACCTGTCTGTCTGTACGTGCCAGTCTCACCTGTCTGTACGTGCCAGTCTCACCTGTCTGTACGTGCCCTCCAGTAAAGTGTCCAGATTAAGTAATGGAGCTGGTGTCTTGTCTTTAAACCGGGTCAGCAGACGTTTCTGAATGACTCGGAATTGGGCAGCTCTTTGCGCCAACATATCCTGGCATTGTACGGCAGCGAGTCTCAGCTGGTCAACACAGAGGACATTAGGACAGTCATTAGATAGGACAGTCAAACAATAATTAGATAGGACAATTCAGTCATTAGATAGGACTGTCAAACAATAATCAGATAGGACAGTCAAACAATAATCAGATAGGACAGTCAAACAATAATTAGATAGGACAGTCAAACAATAATTAGATAGGACAGTCAAACAATAATCAGATAGGACTGTCAAACAATAATCAGATAGGACAGTCAAACAATAATTAGATAGGACAGTCAAACAATAATTAGATAGGACAGTCAAACAATAATTAGATAGGACAGTCAAACAATAATTAGATAGGACAGTCAAACAATAATTAGATAGGACAGTCAAACAATAATTAGATAGGACAGTCAAACAATAATTAGATAGGACAATTCAGTCATTAGATAGGACAGTCAAACAATAATTAGATAGGACAATAATGATAGATCAAAATGCAGAACAATTCATTAGATAAACAGTGCGTAGAAATAATGTGATAGGCTGGGTGGATAAGTTTATAAAATTGATTAGACAGCACAAACTTATAATGTCCTGCTTATCTAGTGAGTATTTGTCAAAATAAAAAGTGCCCAAAATTTAGGTTTTCTTTTGAAAATTGTTTTTATTACTTACTTCAAAATGATGATCAACAATCTGAAAATAATCCTCCAATGGTAAAGCCCCATCAAAAGAGACCCTAAAATCAGTCTGAGATCCCTTTTTGTAGTGGCCATTGAGTCGGGCCACCAATTCTTTCAACGGCAGCCACATGGTCTCTAGTTGGTCACTCTGTAAGCGGTACCTCTCTGTTCAAAGTTTACATGATCTATAGAACAATCTCTGTTCAAAGTTTACATGATCTATAGAACAATCTCTGTTCAAAGTTTACATGATCTATAGAACAATCTCTGTTCAAAGTTTACATGATCTATAGAACAATCTCTGTTCAAAGTTTACATGATCTATAGAACAATCTCTGTTCAAAGTTTACATGATCTATAGAACAATCTCTGTTCAAAGTTTACATGATCTATAGAACAATCTCTGTTCAAAGTTTACATGATCTATAGAACAATCTCTGTTCAAAGTTTACATGATCTATAGAACAATCTCTGTTCAAAGTTTACATGATCTATAGAACAATCTCTGTTCAAAGTTTACATGATCTATAGAACAATCTCTGTTCAAAGTTTACAAGATCTATAGAACAATCTCTGTTCAAAGTTTACATGATCTATAGAACAATCTCTGTTCAAAGTTTACATGATCTATAGAACAATCTCTGTTCAAAGTTTACATGATCTATAGAACAATCTCTGTTCAAAGTTTACATGATCTATAGAACAATCTCTGTTCAAAGTTTACATGATCTATAGAACAATCTCTGTTCAAAGTTTACATGATCTATAGAACAATCTCTGTTCAAAGTTTACATGATCTATAGAACAATCTCTGTTCAAAGTTTACATGATCTATAGAACAATCTCTGTTCAAAGTTTACAAGATCTATAGAACAATCTCTGTTCAAAGTTTACATGATCTATAGAACAATCTCTGTTCAAAGTTTACATGATCTATAGAACAATCTCTGTTCAAAGTTTACATGATCTATAGAACAATCTCTGTTCAAAGTTTACATGATCTATAGAACAATCTCTGTTCAAAGTTTACATGATCTATAGAACAATCTCTGTTCAAAGTTTACATGATCTATAGAACAATCTCTGTTCAAAGTTAGCATGATCTATAGAACAATCTCTGTTCAAAGTTTACATGATCTATAGAACAATCTCTGTTCAAAGTTTACAAGATCTATAGAACAATCTCTGTTCAAAGTTAGCATGCTCTATAGAACAATCTCTGTTCACAGTTTACATGATCTATAGAACAATCTCTGTTCAAAGTTTACATGATCTATAGAACAATCTCTGTTCAAAGTTTACATGATCTATAGAACAATCTCTGTTCAAAGTTTACATGATCTTATAGAACAATCTCTGTTCAAAGTTTACATGATCTATAGAACAATCTCTGTTCAAAGTTTACATGATCTATAGAACAATGTCTGTTCAAAGTTTACATGATCTATAGAACAATCTCTGTTCAAAGTTTACATGATCTATAGAACAATCTCTGTTCAAAGTTTACATGATCTATAGAACAATCTCTGTTCAAAGTTTACATGATCTATAGAACAATCTCTGTTCAAAGTTTACATGATCTATAGAACAATCTCTGTTCAAAGTTTACATGATCTATAGATCTGTTTTAAGTTTACATCTACATTCTACTAAAACTTTCTGGAATACTTACGTGATGTTTTTGAAGCAAGAACTGTAACAACTGGACCCCCCTTAACCTTGACTTACGTGATGTTTTTGAAGCAAGAACTGTAACAACTGGACCCCCCCTTAACTTTGACTTACGTGATGTTTTTGAAGCAAGAACTGTAACAACTGGACCCCCCTTAATCTTGACTTACGTGATGTTTTTGAAGCAAGAACTGTAACAACTGGACCCCCCTTAACTTTGACTTACGTGATGTTTTTGAAGCAAGAACTGTAACAACTGGACCCCCTTAATCTTGACTTACGTGATGTTTTTGAAGCAAGAACTGTAACAACTGGACCCCCCTTAACCTTGACTTACGTGATGTTTTTGAAGCAAGAACTGTAACAACTGGACCCCCCTTAACTTTGACTTACGTGATGTTTTTGAAGCAAGAACTGTAACAACTGGACCCCCCTTAATCTTGACTTACGTGATGTTTTTGAAGCAAGAACTGTAACAACTGGACCCCCCTTAACTTTGACTTACGTGATGTTTTTGAAGCAAGAACTGTAACAACTGGACCCCCTTAATCTTGACTTACGTGATGTTTTTGAAGCAAGAACTGTAACAACTGGACCCCCCTTAACCTTGACTTACGTGATGTTTTTGAAGCAAGAACTGTAACAACTGGACCCCCCTTAACTTTGACTTACGTGATGTTTTTGAAGCAAGAACTGTAACAACTGGACCCCCCTTAACCTTGACTTACGTGATGTTTTTGAAGCAAGAACTGTAACAACTGGACCCCCCTTAACCTTGACTTACGTGATGTTTTTGAAGCAAGAACTGTAACAACTGGACCCCCACCATAGTACTGGAATCCAATGGCTGACCCTTGACCTCCAGCATTCTCACCAAGCATGTCTGAAAAACATTGAGGTCAGGTTTGAGCACAACATGGGAACTGATTTAGTTAAGTGCTATCTTGTCTAGCTGTTTCTACAAGGAGACACAGCAAACATACAAGTAGGTTACAAAGGGAATAGGGGAGTGGGTTACACAGGGAACAGGGGAGTATGTTACACAGGGAACAGGGGAGTGGGTACACAGGGACAGGGGAGTATGTTACACAGGGAACAGGGGAGTAGGTACACAGGGACAGGGGAGTATGTTACACAGGGAACAGGGGAGTAGGTACACAGGGACAGGGGAGTAGGTACACAGGGAACATGAGGACATGAGGACCTAAGTATGATGTCCCGTTATCAAGGTGGTAGATACCTGGGAAAAGCTCATTCAAACTGACAGGTGGTCTGTTGGTGTCGACTGTTAATTTCTGGGCTGCAGTTTTCACAGGCGTCACAGGTTTGAGGACAAGTTTGGATGGCAGGTTGGCACGAGATGTCACTACTCGACGTCCACCTAAGGACAAAAATCAGTTTGGATGCTTTGGTTTTATGAGGGGGGGGGGGTTGTTAAAACTGAAAATAAAGGTGATCCTCTGTGAGACAACGCTCATGTGGATGCTAGATGGTACGAGGAAACAGAAGACGGTACAAGGAAATGATTTAGGGGAAGGCTTTGAGGGAAGGATTGTGTGATGTACATTGTATGCTTTGGTTTAATAGGAAATAATAGGAAAAATGTTAGTTGATTTCAATCAAAGTAATACAATGTTCAGTTGAAATCTATCTAGTGAACCTATGACTGGATAGAATTACCTGAGGCTGATGAAATCTATCTAGTGAACCCATGACTGGATAGAATTACCTGAGGCTGATGAAATCTATCTAGTGAACCTATGACTGGATAGAATTACCTGAGGCTGATGAAATCTATCTAATGGACCCATGACTGGATAGAATTACCTGAGGCTGATGAAATCTATCTAGTGAACCTATGACTGGATAGAATTATCTGAGGCTGATGAAATCTATCTAGTGAACCCATGACTGGATAGAATTACCTGAGGCTGATGAAATCTATCTAGTGAACCCATGACTGGATAGAATTACCTGAGGCTGATGAAAAGGTGGCAGAAATGTGCAGGTAGAGGTGGGAGGGCAGACCTGACCAACGCTGGAAAACAGCAACAAACGTCTCGGATGGGCTGTTGGGATCTGGTGGTCATGTCATAGGTGGTTAGCATAGGGCAGCAGGTGACATTTCAACTCAAATGTCATCTGCCATTAGTCAACATACTCAATGTCAACAGTCACCTGTCTGTACACATCAAATGTCAACACTCGCCTGTCTATACAGCAAATGAAATGTCAACAGTCGCCTGTCTGTACAGCACATCAAATGTCAACAGTGGCCTGTCTGTACAGCACATCAAATGTCAACAGTCGCCTGTCTGTACAGCACATCAAATGTCAACAGTCACCTGTCTGTACAGCACATCAAATGTCAACAGTCACATGAAATGTCAGGCTTATCTCACCAACTTTTGGGATGGTAAACTCTGATTGGTTGCAGCCTAAAGGCCAAGGACAAATCATTTCCAGCTTGACATTTTCCAGGACAAGACGAGACTTCATCTGGATCTGCCATACAAAGTTGCTGTTACTTCAAAATCATGGCAAGGATATCCACATGATGCAACCTCACTCCCTCACACTCATCCATCCCTCACACACACTCATCCCTCACTCCAACACTCATCCCTTCCTCCCACACATCCCTCCACCACTCATCCCTCCCTTCCCACACTCATCACTCCCACACCCTTTCACATGCACATGAATGTTCCCTCCCTAGTAGACACCACCCATCTTTTGGTTACCCATAAAGTTACAGATGGGATACCACCCATCTTTTGGTTACCCATAAAATTACAGATGGGATACCACCCATCTTTTGGTTACCCATAAAGTTACAGATGGGATACCACCCATCTTTTGGTTACCCATAAAGTTACAGATGGGATACCACCCATCTTTTGGTTACCCATAAAGTTACAGATGGGATACCACCCATCTTTTGGTTACCCATAAAGTTACAGATGGGATACCACCCATCTTTTGGTTACCCATAAAGTTACAGATGGGATACCACCCATCTTTTGGTTACCCATAAAGTTACAGATGGGATACCACCCATCTTTTGGTTACCCATAAAGTTACAGATGGGATACCACCCATCTTTTGGTTACCCATAAAGTTACAGATGGGATACCACCCATCTTTTGGTTACCCATAAAGTTACAGATGGGATACCACCCATCTTTTGGTTACCCATAAAGTTACAGATGGGATACCACCCATCTTTTGGTTACCCATAAAGTTACAGATGGGATACCACCCATCTTTTGGTTACCCATAAAGTTACAGATGGGATACCACCCATCTTTTGCTTACCCATAAAGTTACAGATGGGATACCATCCATCTTTTACTTACCCGTACAGTTACAGATGGGATACCATCCATATCTTCCAACTGTAAGCTAGAGGCCAACTGTGGATGTATGATTGTTCTCATAACAGATTGACAGAAGAAAGTTACAACTAATGTGTCAACTTAAGGACAAAGTTACAGGAAATTTCAACTTAGGGACAAAGTTACAGCTAATGTTAACTTAGGGACAACGTTACAGCAAATGTTAACTTAGGGACAATGTTACAGCTAATTTCAACATAGGGACAAAGTTATAGCTAATGTCTACACTTAGATATACAAGCACACAGAAGGACTGACATACAAGCAGACAGAAAGACAGACATACAAGCAGACAGACGGACATACAAGCAGACAGAGCAAACTACTCACCGACACATCATCTAGGTTTGGGCTGACATGGACATGTAATGACAAATCATCCTCTGGTTTAATTGTTGGTGCCAGCACTGAAATAGGACAAATATAGCACACTTGTTACATATATAGCACCTTTGTTACATCTATAGCACACCTGTTACATCTATAGCACACTTGTTACATACATAGCACACCTGTTACATACATAGCGCACTTGTTACATACATATCACACTTGTTACATACATAGCACACTTGTTACATCTATAGCACACTTGTTACATACATAGCACACTTGTTACATACATAGCGCACTTGTTACATCTATAGCACACTTGTTACATCTATAGCACACTTGTTACATCTATAGCACACTTGTTACATACATAGCACACTTGTTACATACATATCACACTTGTTACATCTATAGCACACTTGTTACATCTATAGCACACTTGTTACATACATATCACACTTGTTACATACATAGCACACTTGTTACATCTATAGCACACTTGTTACATACATAGCACACTTGTTACATCTATAGCACACTTGTTACATCTATAGCACACTTGTTACATCTATAGCACACTTGTTACATACATATCACACTTGTTACATACATAGCACACTTGTTACATCTATAGCACACTTGTTACATACATAGCACACTTGTTACATCTATAGCACACTTGTTACATACATATCACACTTGTTACATACATAGCACACTTGTTACATCTATAGCACACTTGTTACATACATAGCACACTTGTTACATCTATAGCACACTTGTTACATCTATAGCACACTAGTTACATCTATAGCACACTTGTTACATACATATCACACTTGTTACATACATATCACACTTGTTACAAACATATCACACTTGTTACATACATAGCACACTTGTTACATCTATAGCACACTTGTTACATCTATAGCACACTTGTTACATCTATAGCACACTTGTTACATCTATAGCACACTTGTTACATCTATAGCACACTTGTTACATACATAGCACACTTGTTACATACATAGCACACTTGTTACATACATAGCACACTTGTTACATACATAGCACACTTGTTACATATATAGCACACTTGTTACATCTATAGCGCACTTATTACATACATAGCACACTTGTTACATACATATCACACTTGTTACATCTATAGCACACTTGTTACATCTATAGCACACTTGTTACATCTATAGCACACTTGTTACATCTATAGCACACTACTGTATCAAATTTATAAATAATTCCGCTCTCATTAACAATTTTAATTTATTTTTATTGATCCAAACATTTGTTTAAATATAGTGCATGAATAAAACAAATTTTTTTTTTTTAAATGTGGTCACTCATAAGTAAAAAAAATCATTTTATCTTTGCTTCCCTACCCATCCATTCAAATACTTCAGTAATTGGCTTACTTTAAACAAGTGTAGACATTATATAAACAGATAAAAATCTTTCTAATAGCAAATACTAAATTACTATTGGTGAAAATGATACATTGCAATGTTTTATTAAAATTACACCAACTCACACAACCCAACCCTATAATATACACACCCAACCACACAACCTTACAGTCGTACAGCAGCCCATTTAACAGCAACCCAGCCCCACATTCCACACCCAGCCCCACACCCAGCCCCCACACCCCAGCCCCCACCCCACACACTGACCAGAGCTCTGACTTTTGGACTTAACATGTTTCATCAGATGAGCCATCTCAGCATCAAGTGCAGCATAGTTAACGTCCCACACCCCCACACCCAAGCCTCCCACCCCAGCCCCACACCCCCCACCCCAGCCCCCCACACCCCCACCCCAGCCCCCCACCCCCCCACACCCCAGCCCCCCACACCCCAGCCCCACACCCTCAAACCCCAGCCCCCACACACCAGCCCCCCACACCCCAGCCCCACACCCCAGCCCCCCACACCCCAGCCCCCCACACCCCAGCCCCCCACACCCCAGCCCCACACCCTCACACCCCAGCCCCCACACCCCAGCCCCACACCCTCACACCCCAGCCCCACACCCCAGCCCCCACACCCCAGCCCCACACCACACCCCCACACCCAAGCCCCACACACTGACCAGAGCTCTGACTTTTGGACTTGACATGTTTCATCAGATGAGCCATCTCAGCATCAAGAGCAGCGTAGTTAACGTCCCTTGAGTCCACCTGGGGTGGGACAAAAATGGCGGGATCTGTGCCCAGGTACATGACCTCTAACCTTCCAGTCTCACTGAGTGCAACAACAGCTGATCTGACTCCACTAGCAGGGGAGGGAGGGGGGATACAGAGATCTCATCAAAGGAATTTTTAAAAGCATAGAACATAAATGGTGGTAGTCTTGAATGGTGGTGTGCAGTGGTGGTGTGCAATGGTGGAGTGTGGTGGTGGTGTTGGTTTGTTGGTGGTGTGTGGTAGTGCTACAGCATTTTGAATTGAATCTCTGCCACATAGTGACCAAAGTTTGGACGTACTTAAAATTTCCAACCCTGAGTTGAACAGGAACAAACTGTGACTTGGCCATCCACTTGAGCTGGGAGTCTTGGTAGACGAGCAGAGAATTGGTGTGTGCTCCCACCAGGTAGTTGACTTTGTTCTCTACCACTGACATGAAAAACATCAAGACAATACAGATGGTGGAACCCACTGCTAGCAACACCTGGTCTAAACAATACAGATGGTGGAACCCACTGCTAGCAACACCTGGTCTAAACAATACAGATGGTGGAACCCACTGCTAGCAACACCTGGTCTAAACAATACAGATGGTGGAACCCACTGCTAGCAACACCTGGTCTAAACAATACAGATGGTGGAACCCACTGCTAGCAACACCTGGTCTAAACAATACAGATGGTGGAACCCACTGCTAGCAACACCTGGTCTAAACAGTACAGATGGTGGAACCCACTGCTAGCAACACCTGGTCTAAACAATACAGATGGTGGAACCCACTGCTAGCAACACCTGGTCTAAACAATACAGATGGTGGAACCCAATGCTAGCAACACCTGGTCTAAACAATACAGATGGTGGAACCCACTGCTAGCAACACCTGGTCTAAACAATACAGATGGTGGAACCCACTGCTAGCAACACCTGGTCTAAACAAGGCAATACAGATGGTGGAACCCACTGCTAGCAACACCTGGTCTAAACAAGACAATACAGATGGTGGAACCCACTGCTAGCAACACCTGGTCTAAACAATACAGATGGTGGAACCCACTGCTAGCAACACCTGGTCTAAACAATACAGATGGTGGAACCCACTGCTAGCAACACCTGGTCTAAACAATACAGATGGTGGAACCCACTGCTAGCAACACCTGTTCTAAACAATACAGATGGTGGAACCCACTGCTAGCAACACCTGGTCTAAACAATACAGATGGTGGAACCCACTGCTAGCAACACCTGGTCTAGCAATACAGATGGTGGAACCCACTGCTAGCAACACCTCGTCTAAACAAGACAATACAGATGGTGGAACCCACTGCTAGCAACACCTGGTCTAAACAATACAGATGGTGGAACCCACTGCTAGCAACACCTGGTCTAGCAATACAGATGGTGGAACCCACTGCTAGCAACACCTGGTCTAAACAAGACAATACAGATGGTGGAACCCACTGCTAGCAACACCTGGTCTAAACAAGACAATACAGATGGTGGAACCCACTGCTAGCAACACCTGGTCTAAACAATACAGATGGTGGAACCCACTGCTAGCAACACCTGGTCTAAACAATACAGATGGTGGAACCCACTGCTAGCAACACCTGGTCTAAACAATACAGATGGTGGAACCCACTGCTAGCAACACCTGGTCTAAACAATACAGATGGTGGAACCCACTGCTAGCAACACCTGGTCTAAACAATACAGATGGTGGAACCCACTGCTAGCAACACCTGGTCTAAACAATACAGATGGTGGAACCCACTGCTAGCAACACCTGGTCTAAACAATACAGATGGTGGAACCCACTGCTAGCAACACCTGGTCTAAACAATACAGATGGTGGAACCCACTGCTAGCAACACCTGGTCTAAACAATACAGATGGTGGAACCCACTGCTAGCAACACCTGGTCTAAACAATACAGATGGTGGAACCCACTGCTAGCAACACCTGGTCTAAACAATACAGATGGTGGAACCCACTGCTAGCAACACCTGGTCTAAACAATACAGATGGTGGAACCCACTGCTAGCAACACCTGGTCTAAACAATACAGATGGTGGAACCCACTGCTAGCAACACCTGGTCTAAACAATACAGATGGTGGAACCCACTGCTAGCAACACCTGGTCTAAACAATACAGGGTGGAACCCACTGCTAGCAACACCTGGTCTAAACAATACAGATGGTGGAACCCACTGCTAGCAACACCTGGTCTAAACAATACAGATGGTGGAACCCACTGCTAGCAACACCTGGTCTAAACAATACAGATGGTGGAACCCACTGCTAGCAACACCTGGTCTAAACAATACAGATGGTGGAACCCACTGCTAGCAACACCTGGTCTAAACTGTACTTTATTTTTTTTTTACCCATATCATTTAACATTACTTAAATGCAATCTTGTGAAAATTGAGAATAGTTGTCATGTATCTATAGTCGACAGTTGCTGTCATGTATTTATTTAGATGCTGATTTACATTTACAGGACACTACTTGTCAGTCAGGCTACAGAATGGTCAAGAGGGAAAACTTGAAAAGACTTACAGGAAGCATAAGGCAACAAGCAAGATGGATCATATTCCAGTTTCTTGGCAAACTTCAACATCCCATTATCAGTCAAACAGAAAATTGTTCTCTCCCCTGCAATATACAAAAATATTTTTCTAACCAATATTAGGTCAAACATTTTTATAAGCTTTTTAATAGTTCACATTATCTTTCTGTTTGTTGGTTTTTGGCAAATTTTGAAACGACATTTTAACTCACTGCTAGTGCAGCAACTATTTTGCAAAATGAACTTTCCAGATACATTAGTCTCTGGAAACAAAGCAAAAATATTTAATTTTTTTTAGAATGAACAGATGACTAAAAGCTGATGACAGTCAGCTCAATCAGCTGGTAGATGACAGTCAGCTCAATCAGCTGGTAGATGACAGTCAGCTCAATCAGCTGGTAGATGACAGTCAGCTCAATCAGCTGGTAGATGACAGTCAGCTCAATCAGCTGGTAGATGACAGTCAGCTCAATCAGCTGGTAGATGACAGTCAGCTCAATCAGCTGGTAGATGACAGTCAGCTCAATCAGCTGGTAGATGACAGTCAGCTCAATCAGCTGGTAGATGACAGTCAGCTCAATCAGCTGGTAGATGACAGTCAGCTCAATCAGCTGGTAGATGACAGTCAGCTCAATCAGCTGGTAGATGACAGTCAGCTCAATCAGCTGGTAGATGACAGTCAGCTCAATCAGCTGGTAGATGACAGTCAGCTCAATCAGCTGGTAGATGACAGTCAGCTCAATCAGCTGGTAGATGACAGTCAGCTCAATCAGCTGGTAGATGACAGTCAGCTCAATCAGCTGGTAGATGACAGTCAGCTCAATCAGCTGGTAGATGACAGTCAGCTCAATCAGCTGGTAGATGACAGTCAGCTCAATCAGCTGGTAGATGACAGTCAGCTCAATCAGCTGGTAGATGACAGTCAGCTCAATCAGCTGGTAGATGACAGTCAGCTCAATCAGCTGGTAGATGACAGTCAGCTCAATCAGCTGGTAGATGACAGTCAGCTCAATCAGCTGGTAGATGACAGTCAGCTCAATCAGCTGGTAGATGACAGTCAGCTCAATCAGCTGGTAGATGACAGTCAGCTCAATCAGCTGGTAGATGACAGTCAAGTGTTGCTCAGGGACTAGGGGACAGATTATTCTTTTAAAGATCGCAAGCTACATATCCTAGGGACAGATTATTCTTTTAAAGATAGCAAGCTACATATCCTAAGGGACAGATTATTCTTTTAAAGATAGCAAGCTACATATCCTAGGGACAGATTATTCTTTTAAAGATCACAAGCTACATATCCTAAGGGACAGATTATTCTTTTAAAGATCGCAAGCTACATATCCTAGGGACAGATTATTCTTTTAAAGATCGCAAGCTACATATCCTAAGGGACAGATTATTCTTTTAAAGATCACAAGCTACATATCCTAAGGGACAGATTATTCTTTTAAAGATCGCAAGCTACATATCCTAAGGGACAGATTATTCTTTTAAAGATCACAAGCTACATATCCTAGGGACAGATTATTCTTTTAAAGATAGCAAGCTACATATCCTAAGGGACAGATTATTCTTTTAAAGATCACAAGCTACATATCCTAAGGGACAGATTATTCTTTTAAAGATCGCAAGCTACATATCCTAAGGGACAGATTATTCTTTTAAAGATCGCAAGCTACATATCCTAGGGACAGATTATTCTTTTAAAGATCGCAAGCTACATATCCTAGGGACAGATTATTCTTTTAAAGATAGCAAGCTACATATCCTAAGGGACAGATTATTTTTTTAAAGATAGCAAGCTACATATCCTAGGGACAGATTATTCTTTTAAAGATCGCAAGCTACATATCCTAAGGGACAGATTATTCTTTTAAAGATCGCAAGCTACATATCCTAGGGACAGATTATTCTTTTAAAGATCGCAAGCTACATATCCTAAGGGACAGATTATTCTTTTAAAGATCACAAGCTACATATCCTAAGGGACAAATTATTCTTTTAAAGATCGCAAGCTACATATCCTAAGGGACAGATTATTCTTTTAAAGATCACAAGCTACATATCCTAGGGACAGATTATTCTTTTAAAGATAGCAAGCTACATATCCTAAGGGACAGATTATTCTTTTAAAGATCGCAAGCTACATATCCTAAGGGACAGATTATTCTTTTAAAGATCGCAAGCTACATATCCTAAGGGACAGATTATTCTTTTAAAGATCACAAGCTACATATCCTAAGGGACAGATTATTCTTTTAAAGATCGCAAGCTACATATCCTAAGGGACAGATTATTCTTTTAAAGATCGCAAGCTACATATCCTAAGGGACAGATTATTCTTTTAAAGATCGCAAGCTACATATCCTAAGGGACAGATTATTCTTTTAAAGATGGCAAGCTACATATCCTAAGGGACAGATTATTCTTTTAAAGATAGCAAGCTACATATCCTAAGGGACAGATTATTCTTTTAAAGATTGCAAGCTACATATCCTAAGGGACAGATTATTCTTTTAAAGATCGCAAGCTACATATCCTAGGGACAGATTATTCTTTTAAAGATAGCAAGCTACATATCCTAGGGACAGATTATTCTTTTAAAGATCGCAAGCTACATATCCTAAGGGACAGATTATTCTTTTAAAGATCGCAAGCTACATATCCTAGGGACAGATTATTCTTTTAAAGATAGCAAGCTACATATCCTAAGGGACAGATTATTCTTTTAAAGATCGCAAGCTACATATCCTAAGGGACAGATTATTCTTTTAAAGATCGCAAGCTACATATCCTAAGGGACAGATTATTCTTTTAAAGATAGCAAGCTACATATCCTAGGGACAGATTATTCTTTTAAAGATCGCAAGCTACATATCCTAGGGACAGATTATTCTTTTAAAGATCGCAAGCTACATATCCTAGGGACAGATTATTCTTTTAAAGATAGCAAGCTACATATCCTAAGGGACAGATTATTCTTTTAAAGATCGCAAGCTACATATCCTAGGGACAGATTATTCTTTTAAAGATCGCAAGCTACATATCCTAGGGACAGATTATTCTTTTAAAGATCGCAAGCTACATATCCTAAGGGACAGATTATTCTTTTAAAGATTGCAAGCTACATATCCTAAGGGACAGATTATTCTTTTAAAGATCGCAAGCTACATATCCTAAGGGACAGATTATTCTTTTAAAGACAGCAAGCTACATATCCTAAGGGACAGATTATTCTTTTAAAGATAGCAAGCTACATATCCTAAGGGACAGATTATTCTTTTAAAGATCACAAGCTACATATCCTAGGGACAGATTATTCTTTTAAAGATAGCAAGCTACATATCCTAAGGGACAGATTATTCTTTTAAAGACAGCAAGCTACATATCCTAAGGGACAGATTATTCTTTTAAAGATAGCAAGCTACATATCCTAAGGGACAGATTATTCTTTTAAAGATTGCAAGCTACATATCCTAAGGGACAGATTATTCTTTTAAAGATCGCAAGCTACATATCCTAAGGGACAGATTATTCTTTTAAAGATCGCAAGCTACATATCCGTTTTTCAAGCAAATAATGTTAGCCATATGTGGTTGCAACTTAAAAAAAAATAATTGCACAACAAATGAACAGTAAAAAATGTAAATAAAGAGAACCTTGATTAATTTTCAAAGAGTTAATATGTCATCTAATTAAGCAACATTCATTGTCTTTGATACTTGACCTACTTGAAAAGTTTAAAATAAATAAAATGGTCTGGAAGAAGTGTTTGAAATTTGGCTTGCAAGTTTCCAACCATGGACCATGACAGACCACGACAGACCATAGACAGACCATGACAGACCATAGACAGACCATGACAGACCACGACAGACCATGACAGACCATAGACAGACCACGACAGACCATGACAGACCATGACAGACCATAGACAGACCATGACAGACCATGACAGACCATGACAGACCACGACAGACCATAGACAGACCATGACAGACCATGACAGACCACGACAGACCATAGACAGACCATGACAGACCATGACAGACCATAGACAGACCATGACAGACCATGACAGACCATGACAGACCATAGACAGACCATGACAGACCACGACAGACCATAGACAGACCATGACAGACCATAGACAGAGGATAAAGTAAAAAAATTAATTCTGATGTCCTTTTCTAGAAGTGGGAAATAGAGTGAAGTACTACATCAAGTCAACAGATATCTCTCAAAGTTTGACGGTAACGAGAGAATTAGATCTTTTACTTTTATGTGATATTTCATCTAACTAACTGGAACAGTACTCGTTACAGGCTTTTGAGACATGTATGTAGAATAAATGCCACTTCCAGCTATCGCTAAAAAGTTGACAAAATTGCAAAAGTTTTTCCGACTCAGGGAGGTGTAAAATGTACAGATTTATCTAAAATTTAATTTTTTATTTTTTTGCACGATTACAATACTTTCTCTATGCTTAGTATACAAGAAAGTAAAAATGAAGTTTTTATATTTTAAAAAAAAATTTCCTTGGATTTAAAAGATTATTAGTTTTATTATATACTAGCGTACCCGACCCCGCGCGTTGCCGCGGGGATAGAATAAAGTCTGACGAAATGTATTAGAAGGATATCACCAATGCATTACCAATCATATGTTCTTAGACGCGTGACCTTGTTTTCTAAAACTGTGTTATTTAAATGTTAACAATGCCTGCGCTTGGATAATAATTTTCCTACACTACCGCATGAAAACCTTGAGTGTATATTAATCACTCACCGAAATAATGAGGTAGAACACACATCAGTGACCACCCATATGTCAGGGACGTAGAGGGGCGCTCTCAGGAGCCCCCCCCCACCCCCCGATTACACTATCGCAGAGGCGCAGCGTACGGCAACTGGCTCCTTAAAACTAACAGGCGCCATCGTGCTCACAGGATAACCCAGCGTGCCGATAGCATCCTGTAAACAATGATGCAGATTTCGTCATTCGCTAAAGTGACACGAAAAAAATTATTTGACGTGTTTTAAACATCAGTTTGACTGATGCAATATGCTAGCGTTAATAATGATCTATTATTAGATGCTCGATCTCAATTTCGGACTGGATCGTCTAATAATAGATGCTTATTGCATCATTCGCAAAGTGACGAAACTATAGTAGGCTCCTCATATTCAAAAAGTTATTTTTTCATCTTTCGCAAGGTGACGAAACTGTACAGGATTTCCTCGCGTTACAAAGTTATTTTTAGAAGCCTGTTTTAGTTTTACTGCTGAATATAGTAGTACCCCTTACTCGCTATGCAGGACACTCGATTAACGGATCCCAAGTGCCAACAGTCGCTCTAAAACTCTGGGCGCCAAACCGTGTATTGACGAAAGTTGTACCCTACATGGCGCCGCCCATAAGAAACTTTAGTTTTCTTTTTCGCAGAAATATTCCCGGGAGTATTCTCATCTACTCTTTAAAGTTTCAAGGCACTCGGATGAACCGCATCCGAGTTTTATTTTTTATATACCGTGTACAGAGAAAAAATCGCTCCCCCGGGGGCACCGCCCTTGCAATATTAAAACATTTTTTTTGCAGAACCCTACCATTTAGTGATCTAATCATCTCCCCAAAGTTTTATGGTACACGGATGAACGGTGTGAAACAGAAATAGACTTATTTTTATAAACCGTATATAGAGAAAAAACAAATCGCGCCCTGCCGGGGCGCCACCCCTGCGAATTTGAAAATGTTTTTAGCGCAGAAACCTCGCCATAAATATTCTCAACATATTCCCAAAGTTTCATGGCAATCGTGTGAACGGTGTCACGGCTATCCACTTTTATTATTTTTATATACGGTATATAGAGAAAAATCGCACCCTCCCGTGGTGCCGCCCTTGTGAAATTAAAAATGATTTTTTTACAGAACCCTTCCTTAAAGTGTTCTAATGAACTCACCAAAGTTTGATAGCGATCAGATGAATGGTGTCAAACCAAAATCGACTTTTATTTTTATATACCGTATATAGAGAAAAGCAAATCACGCCCTGCCGGGGCGCCACCCCTGCGAATTTGAAATTTTTTTTTTTTGCAGAAACCTCCCCTGGATATTCTCAACAGCTTCCCAAAGTTTCACTGCGATGTTATAAGTGGTGTGGTAATGCATAAAAGACACACACACACACAGACACACATACATTTCTTTTTATATATATAGATAGATTAATTTGTTTTTAATTTCTAACCTACAGTGAAAAACACTATTATTAAAAAAGGAAGTGGTTATCTCCCTTATAATTGACTGACCAAGTACCAGTATAGATGGCGCCATGCCAGAGTATTCCATGTAACAGATGTCAATAGCCTGCTCACCAATGTTGTAGGACCAGTCCACCTGCCAGGACACAAACAGAAATTACTGGAGTTCTATTCAATCAATTCATTACAGGGGTGGATATGTCAATTCATTACTGGACTTCTATTTAATCATTACATGGGTGGATATGTCAATTCATTACTGGACTTCTATTTAATCATTACAGGGGTGGATATGTCAATTCATTACAGGGCTGGATATGTCAATTCATTCAGGGGTGGATATGTCAATTCATTACTGGACTTTAATGCAATAAATGGTTAGGGGAGTTTCATTCAATAAATTAATTACTAATGTTTGATTTAATTACCAAATTAATGGACTTTAATTAAATCAATTAATTACTGCAGTTCATTTAAATAAATGAACTGCTGAGATTGCTGCAGTTTAATTAAATCAATAAATAGATTAAATCAAATAACCCCCACGCCTGACCTACCGCAACTTACTTGCCAGACTTGTCATTTTGTATAACCTTCCGCAACTTTCTTGCCAGACTTGACATTTTGTATGACCTACCGCAACTTTCTTGCCAGACTTGTCATTTTGTGTGACCTACCGCAACTTTCTTGCCAGACTTGACATTTTGTGTGACCTACCGCAACTTTCTTGCCAAACTTGACATTATGTATGACCTACCGCAACTTTCTTGCCAAACTTGACATTTTGTATGACCTACCGCAACTTTCTTGCCAGACTTGACATTTTGTATGACCTACCGCAACTTTCTTGCCAGACTTGACATTTTGTGTGACCTACCGCAACTTTCTTACCAGACTTGACATTTTGTATGACCTACCGCAACTTTCTTGCCAGACTTGACATTTTGTATGACCTACCGCAACTTTCTTGCCAGACTTGACATTTTGTATGACCTACCGCAACTTTCTTGCCAGACTTGACATTTTGTGTGACCTACCGCAACTTTCTTACCAGACTTGACATTTTGTATGACCTACCGCAACTTTCTTGCCAGACTTGACATTTTGTGTGACCTACCGCAACTTTCTTGCCAAACTTGACATTATGTATGACCTACCGCAACTTTCTTGCCAAACTTGACATTTTGTATGACCTACCGCAACTTTCTTGCCAGACTTGACATTTTGTATGACCTACCGCAACTTTCTTGCCAGACTTGACATTTTGTGTGACCTACCGCAACTTTCTTACCAGACTTGACATTTTGTATGACCTACCGCAACTTTCTTGCCAGACTTGACATTTTGTATGACCTACCGCAACTTTCTTGCCAGACTTGACATTTTGTATGACCTACCGCAACTTTCTTGCCAGACTTGACATTTTGTGTGACCTACCGCAACTTTCTTACCAGACTTGACATTTTGTATGACCTACCGCAACTTTCTTGCCAGACTTGACATTTTGTGTGACCTACCGCAACTTTCTTGCCAAACTTGACATTATGTATGACCTACCGCAACTTTCTTGCCAAACTTGACATTTTGTATGACCTACCGCAACTTTCTTGCCAGACTTGACATTTTGTATGACCTACCGCAACTTTCTTGCCAGACTTGACATTTTGTGTGACCTACCGCAACTTTCTTACCAGACTTGACATTTTGTATGACCTACCGCAACTTTCTTGCCAGACTTGATATTTTGTATGACCTACCGCAACTTTCTTGCCAGATTTGACATTTTGTATGACCTACCGCAACTTTCTTGCCAGACTTGACATTTTGTATGACCTACCGCAACTTTCTTGCCAGATTTGACATTTTGTATGACCTACCGCAACTTTCTTGCCAGACTTGACATTTTGTATGACCTACCGCAACTTTCTTGCCAGACTTGACATTTTGTGTGACCTACCGCAACTTTCTTGCCAAACTTGACATTTTGTATGACCTACCGCAACTTTCTTGCCAGACTTGACATTTTGTATGACCTACCGCAACTTTCTTGCCAGACTTGACATTTTGTGTGACCTACCGCAACTTTCTTACCAGACTTGACATTTTGTATGACCTACCGCAACTTTCTTGCCAGACTTGACATTTTGTATGACCTACCGCAACTTTCTTGCCAGACTTGACATTTTGTATGACCTACCGCAACTTTCTTGCCAGACTTGACATTTTGTGTGACCTACCGCAACTTTCTTACCAGACTTGACATTTTGTATGACCTACCGCAACTTTCTTGCCAGACTTGACATTTTGTGTGACCTACCGCAACTTTCTTGCCAAACTTGACATTTTGTATGACCTACCGCAACTTTCTTGCCAGACTTGACATTTTGTATGACCTACCGCAACTTTCTTGCCAGACTTGACATTTTGTGTGACCTACCGCAACTTTCTTACCAGACTTGACATTTTGTATGACCTACCGCAACTTTCTTGCCAGACTTGACATTTTGTATGACCTACCGCAACTTTCTTGCCAGATTTGACATTTTGTATGACCTACCGCAACTTTCTTGCCAGACTTGACATTTTGTATGACCTACCGCAACTTTCTTGCCAGATTTGACATTTTGTATGACCTACCGCAACTTTCTTGCCAGACTTGACATTTTGTATGACCTACCGCAACTTTCTTGCCAGACTTGACATTTTGTGTGACCTACCGCAACTTTCTTACCAGACTTGACATTTTGTATGACCTACCGCAACTTTCTTGCCAGACTTGACATTTTGTATGACCTACCGCAACTTTCTTGCCAGACTTGACATTTTGTATGACCTACCGCAACTTTCTTGCCAGACTTGACATTTTGTGTGACCTACCGCAACTTTCTTACCAGACTTGACATTTTGTATGACCTACCGCAACTTTCTTGCCAGACTTGACATTTTGTGTGACCTACCGCAACTTTCTTGCCAAACTTGACATTATGTATGACCTACCGCAACTTTCTTGCCAAACTTGACATTTTGTATGACCTACCGCAACTTTCTTGCCAGACTTGACATTTTGTATGACCTACCGCAACTTTCTTGCCAGACTTGACATTTTGTGTGACCTACCGCAACTTTCTTACCAGACTTGACATTTTGTATGACCTACCGCAACTTTCTTGCCAGACTTGACATTTTGTATGACCTACCGCAACTTTCTTGCCAGATTTGACATTTTGTATGACCTACCGCAACTTTCTTACCAGACTTGACATTTTGTATGACCTACCGCAACTTTCTTGCCAGACTTGACATTTTGTGTGACCTACCGCAACTTTCTTGCCAGATTTGACATTTTGTATGACCTACCGCAACTTTCTTGCCAGACTTGACATTTTGTGTCTCATCTTTCCCTGCTGTATCTGAGGCAACAGCCAGCACTTGATACCTGCAAGTCAAAACTTTACAGTCAAAGTCACCTGCGCAAACCTTCTTCATGAGACAACCATCTACCTGCGCAAACCTTCTTTATGAGACAACCATCTACCTGCGCAAACCTTCTTTATGAGACAACCATCTACCTGCGCAAACCTTCTTTATGAGACAACCATCTACCTGCGCAAACCTTCTTTATGAGACAACCATCTACCTGCGCAAACCTTCTTCGTGAGACGACCATCTACCTGCGCAAACCTTCTTCGTGAGACAACCATCTACCTGCGCAAACCTTCTTCATGAGACAACCATCTACCTGCGCAAACCTTCTTCGTGAGACGACCATCTACCTGCGCAAACCTTCTTCGTGAGACAACCATCTACCTGCGCAAACCTTCTTCGTGAGACAACCATCTACCTGCGCAAACCTTCTTCATGAGACAACCATCTACTTGCGCAAACCTTCTTCAAGAGACAACCATCCGTCTGAGACAACCATCCACCTGTCACAACCATCCACCTGATACAACCATACATGAGAAAACCATCCACCTGTAAGATTCCAGCCTCCAAGCAGAAGAAGCAGTGAGAAATGAATCAAGCCTGGGCAGGTATTTGATTGGTCCAGGTACCAGAGCCCCAGGCAGAAAGCGGCTAAAGGCAAAACTTTCCTGCTCGAATATGCTGACTGTTCCATCCATCGACTGGACACACAGGAAGTCTTTACCTAGACATAGACAGACAGAGTGGATTGAACCTACTAGACACACAGGAAGTCTTTGACTAGACACAGACAGAGTGGATTGAACATACTAGACACACAGGAAGTCTTTGCCTAGACACAGACAGACAGAGTGGATTGAACATACTAGACACACAGGAAGTCTTTGACTAGACACAGACAGAGTGGATTGAGCATAACATCAATGATGTGGGAAACTGAACCTTTAACCCTGGACTTACCTTTGACCCCACCAAAGGGCCCATAACAAAAGTTAAATGCAGTCCTCTGTAGAGTATGTTCATACAACAAAGAGAACTGGTACTGACTTCCATGCTCAACAGTTCCAGAAATTTCTGGAACAAATAGTTTGTCAAATACTTTAGGGCTCAAAGAGAATCTTACATTAAAACTAGCTAGAGTGAGGGTCATACACTTTAGACAGATTGACCAGTGACAAACTGACAAGTGGATCAAACACTTTAGACAAACTGACCAGTGGATCAAACACTTTAGACAGACTGACTGACCAATGGATCAAACACTTTAGACAGACTGACCAGTGGATCAAACACTTTAGACAGACAGACTGACCAGTGGATCAAACACTTTAGTGACAAACTGACAAGTGGATCAAACACTTTAGACAAACTGACCAGTGGATCAAACACTTTAGACAGACTGACTGACCAATGGATCAAACACTTTAGACAGACTGACCAGTGGATCAAACACTTTAGACAGACTGACCAGTGGATCAAACACTTTAGACAGACTGACCAGTGGATCAAACACTTTAGACAGACAGACCAGTGGATCAAACACTTTAGACAAACTGACCAGTGGATCAAACACTTTAGACAGACTGACCAGTGGATCAAACACTTTAGACAGACTGACCAGTGGATCAAACACTTTAGACAGACAGACTGACCAGTGGATCAAACACTTTAGACAGACAGACTGACCAGTGGATCAAACACTTTAGACAGACTGACCAGTGGATCAAACACTTTAGACAGACAGACTGACCAGTGGATCAAACACTTTAGACAGACAGACTGACCAGTGGATCAAACACTTTAGACTGACTGACCAGTGGATCAAACACTTTAGACTGACTGACCAGTGGATCAAACACTTTAGACAAACTGACCAGTGGATCAAACACTTTAGACAGACAGACTGACCAGTGGATCAAACACTTTAGACTGACTGACCAGTGGATCAAACACTTTAGACAAACTGACCAGTGGATCAAACACTTTAGACAGACAGACTGACCAGTGGATCAAACACTTTAGACAAACTGACCAGTGGATCAAACACTTTAGACAGACAGACTGACCAGTGGATCAAACACTTTAGACAGACTGACCAGTGGATCAAACACTTTAGACAGACAGACTGACCAGTGGATCAAACACTTTAGACTGACTGACCAGTGGATCAAACACTTTAGACTGACTGACCAGTGGATCAAACACTTTAGACAAACTGACCAGTGGATCAAACACTTTAGACAGACTGACCAGTGGATCAAACACTTTAGACTGACTGACCAGTGGATCAAACACTTTAGACAGACTGACCAGTGGATCAAACACTTTAGACAGACTGACCAGTGGATCAAACACTTTAGACAGACTGACCAGTGGATCAAACACTTTAGACAGACAGACTGACCAGTGGATCAAACACTTTAGACAGACTGACCAGTGGATCAAACACTTTAGACACACTGACCAGTGGATCAAACACTTTAGACAGACTGACCAGTGGATCAAACACTTTAGACAAACTGACCAGTGGATCAAACACTTTAGACAGACTGACCAGTGGATCAAACACTTTAGACAGACTGACCAGTGGATCAAACACTTTAGACAGACTGACCAGTGGATCAAACACTTTAGACAGACAGACTGACCAGTGGATCAAACACTTTAGACAGACTGACCAGTGGATCAAACACTTTAGACACACTGACCAGTGGATCAAACACTTTAGACAGACTGACCAGTGGATCAAACACTTTAGACAGACTGACCAGTGGATCAAACACTTTAGACAAACTGACCAGTGGATCAAACACTTTAGACAGACTGACCAGTGGATCAAACACTTTAGACAAACTGACCAGTGGATCAAACACTTTAGACAGACTGACCAGTGGATCAAACACTTTAGACTGACTGACTGACCAGTGGATCAAACACTTTAGACAGACTGACCAGTGGATCAAACACTTTAGACTGACTGACCAGTGGATCAAACACTTTAGACTGACTGACTGACCAGTGGATCAAACACTTTAGACAGACTGACCAGTGGATCAAACACTTTAGACAGACTGACCAGTGGATCAAACACTTTAGACAGACTGACCAGTGGATCAAACACTTTAGACAGACTGACTGACCAGTGGATCAAACACTTTAGACAGACAGACTGACCAGTGGATCAAACACTTTAGACAGACTGACCAGTGGATCAAACACTTTAGACAGACTGACTGACCAGTGGATCAAACACTTTAGACAGACTGACCAGCGGATCAAACACTTTAGACAGACTGACCAGTGGATCAAACACTTTAGACAGACAGACTGACCAGTGGATCAAACACTTTAGACAGACTGACCAGTGGATCAAACACTTTAGACTGACTGACCAGTGGATCAAACACTTTAGACTGACTGACTGACCAGTGGATCAAACACTTTAGACTGACTGACTGACCAGTGGATCAAACACTTTAGACAGACTGACCAGTGGATCAAACACTTTAGACAGACTGACCAGTGGATCAAACACTTTAGACAGACTGACCAGTGGATCAAACACTTTAGACAGACTGACTGACCAGTGGATCAAACACTTTAGACAGACTGACCAGTGGATCAAACACTTTAGACTGACTGACTGACCAGTGGATCAAACACTTTAGACAGACTGACCAGTGGATCAAACACTTTAGACAGACTGACCAGTGGATCAAACACTTTAGACAGACTGACCAGTGGATCAAACACTTTAGACAGACTGACTGACCAGTGGATCAAACACTTTAGACACACTGACCAGTGGATCAAACACTTTAGACAGACAGACTGACCAGTGGATCAAACACTTTAGACAGACTGACCAGTGGATCAAACACTTTAGACAGACTGACATGTGGATCAAACACTTTAGACAGACAGACTGACCAGTGGATCAAACACTTTAGACAGACTGACCAGTGGATCAAACACTTTAGACTGACTGACCAGTGGATCAAACACTTTAGACTGACTGACTGACCAGTGGATCAAACACTTTAGACAGACTGACCAGTGGATCAAACACTTTAGACTGACTGACCAGTGGATCAAACACTTTAGACAGACTGACCAGTGGATCAAACACTTTAGACAGACTGACCAGTGGATCAAACACTTTAGACAAACTGACCAGTGGATCAAACACTTTAGACAGACTGACCAGTGGATCAAACACTTTAGACTGACTGACCAGTGGATCAAACACTTTAGACAAACTGACCAGTGGATCAAACACTTTAGACAGACTGACCAGTGGATCAAACACTTTAGACAAACTGACCAGTGGATCAAACACTTTAGACAGACTGACCAGTGGATCAAACACTTTAGACAGACTGACCAGTGGATCAAACACTTTAGACAGACAGACTGACCAGTGGATCAAACACTTTAGACAAACTGACCAGTGGATCAAACACTTTAGACAGACTGACCAGTGGATCAAACACTTTAGACAGACTGACCAGTGGATTAAACACTTTAGACAGACTGACCAGTGGATCAAACACTTTAGACAAACTGACCAGTGGATCAAACACTTTAGACAGACTGACCAGTGGATCAAACACTTTAGACAAACTGACCACTGGATCAAACACTTTAGACAAACTGACCAGTGGATCAAACACTTTAGACAGACTGACTGACCAGTGGATCAAACACTTTAGACAGACTGACCAGTGGATCAAACACTTTAGACTGACTGACCAGTGGATCAAACACTTTAGACAGACTGACCAGTGGATCAAACACTTTAGACAGACAGACTGACCAGTGGATCAAACACTTTAGACAGACTGACCAGTGGATCAAACACTTTAGACAGACTGACCAGTGGATCAAACACTTTAGACAGACAGACTGACCAGTGGATCAAACACTTTAGACAGACTGACCAGTGGATCAAACACTTTAGACAGACTGACTGACCAGTGGATCAAACACTTTAGACAGACTGACTGACCAGTGGATCAAACACTTTAGACAGACTGACCAGTGGATCAAAAACTTTAGACAGACTGACCAGTGGATCAAACACTTTAGACAGACTGACTGACCAGTGGATCAAACACTTTAGACTGACTGACTGACCAGTGGATCAAACACTTTAGACAGACTGACCAGTGGATCAAACACTTTAGACAGACAGACTGACCAGTGGATCAAACACTTTAGACAGACTGACCAGTGGATCAAACACTTTAGACAAACTGACCAGTGGATCAAACACTTTAGACTGACTGACCAGTGGATCAAACACTTTAGACAGACTGACCAGTGGATCAAACACTTTAGACAGACAGACTGACCAGTGGATCAAACACTTTAGACAGACTGACCAGTGGATCAAACACTTTAGACAGACTGACTGACCAGTGGATCAAACACTTCAGACAGACTGACCAGTGGATCAAACACTTTAGACAGACTGACCAGTGGATCAAACACTTTAGACAGACTGACCAGTGGATCAAACACTTTAGACAGACTGACCAGTGGATCAAACACTTTAGACAGACTGACTGACCAGTGGATCAAACACTTTAGACAGACTGACCAGTGGATCAAACACTTTAGACAGACTGACCAGTGGATCAAACACTTTAGACAAACTGACCAGTGGATCAAACACTTTAGACAGACTGACCAGTGGATCAAACACTTTAGACAAACTGACCAGTGGATCAAACACTTTAGACAGACTGACCAGTGGATCAAACACTTTAGACAGACTGACCAGTGGATCAAACACTTTAGACAGACTGACTGACCAGTGGATCAAACACTTTAGACAGACTGACCAGTGGATCAAACACTTTAGACAGACTGACCAGTGGATCAAACACTTTAGACAGACTGACCAGTGGATCAAACACTTTAGACAGACAGACTGACCAGTGGATCAAACACTTTAGACAGACTGACCAGTGGATCAAACACTTTAGACAGACTGACCAGTGGATCAAACACTTTAGACAGACTGACCAGTGGATCAAACACTTTAGACAGACTGACCAGTGGATCAAACACTTTAGACAGACTGACCAGTGGATCAAACACTTTAGACAGACAGACTGACCAGTGGATCAAACACTTTAGACAAACTGACCAGTGGATCAAACACTTTAGACAGACTGACCAGTGGATCAAACACTTTAGACAAACTGACCAGTGGATCAAACACTTTAGACAGACTGACTGACCAGTGGATCAAACACTTTAGACAGACTGACCAGTGGATCAAACACTTTAGACAGACTGACCAGTGGATCAAACACTTTAGACAAACTGACCAGTGGATCAAACACTTTAGACAGACTGACTGACCAGTGGATCAAACACTATAGACAGACTGACCAGTGGATCAAACACTTTAGACAAACTGACCAGTGGATCAAACACTTTAGACAAACTGACTGACCAGTGGATCAAACACTTTAGACAGACTGACCAGTGGATCAAACACTTTAGACAAACTGACCAGTGGATCAAACACTTTAGACAAACTGACTGACCAGTGGATCAAACACTTTAGACAGACTGACCAGTGGATCAAACACTTTAGACAGACAGACTGACCAGTGGATCAAACACTTTAGACTGACTGACCAGTGGATCAAACACTTTAGACAGACTGACCAGTGGATCAAACACTTTAGACAGACTGACCAGTGGATCAAACACTTTAGACAGACTGACCAGTGGATCAAACACTTTAGACAGACAGACTGACCAGTGGATCAAACACTTTAGACAGACTGACCAGTGGATCAAACACTTTAGACAGACAGACTGACCAGTGGATCAAACACTTTAGACAGACAGACTGACCAGTGGATCAAACACTTTAGACAGACTGACCAGTGGATCAAACACTTTAGACAGACTGACCAGTGGATCAAACACTTTAGACTGACTGACCAGTGGATCAAACACTTTAGACAGACTGACCAGTGGATCAAACACTTTAGACTGACTGACCAGTGGATCAAACACTTTAGACAGACTGACCAGTGGATCAAACACTTTAGACAGACTGACCAGTGGATCAAACACTTTAGACTGACTGACCAGTGGATCAAACACTTTAGACAGACTGACCAGTGGATCAAACACTTTAGACAGACTGACCAGTGGATCAAACACTTTAGACAGACTGACCAGTGGATCAAACACTTTAGACAGACAGACTGACCAGTGGATCAAACACTTTAGACAGACTGACCAGTGGATCAAACACTTTAGACAGACAGACTGACCAGTGGATCAAACACTTTAGACAGACTGACCAGTGGATCAAACACTTTAGACAGACTGACCAGTGGATCAAACACTTTAGACAGACAGACTGACCAGTGGATCAAACACTTTAGACAGACTGACCAGTGGATCAAACACTTTAGACAGACTGACTGACCAGTGGATCAAACACTTTAGACAGACTGACCAGTGGATCAAACACTTTAGACAGACTGACCAGTGGATCAAACACTTTAGACAGACTGACCAGTGGATCAAACACTTTAGACAGACTGACCAGTGGATCAAACACTTTAGACAAACTGACCAGTGGATCAAACACTTTAGACAGACTGACTGACCAGTGGATCAAACACTTTAGACAGACAGACTGACCAGTGGATCAAACACTTTAGACAGACAGACTGACCAGTGGATCAAACACTTTAGACAGACTGACCAGTGGATCAAACACTTTAGACAGACTGACTGACCAGTGGATCAAACACTTTAGACAGACTGACCAGTGGATCAAACACTTTAGACAGACTGACCAGTGGATCAAACACTTTAGACAGACTGACCAGTGGATCAAACACTTTAGACAGACTGACCAGTGGATCAAACACTTTAGACAAACTGACCAGTGGTGTTGTAGACAGCAATTTTCCTGGGGTGTAGAACAGCCAGCTTTAAAACTTCTGAGGCCCTGCAGGGGGAGTAGAGTCAACATATTTCTCAACTCTTTATTTTCTTTTACATCCAAACAGTTCTATCTTTAGATCCAAACAGTTCTATCTTTACATTCAAACAGTTCTATCTTTACATCCAAACAGTTCTATCTTTACATTCAAACAGTTCTATCTTTACATCCAAACAGTTCTATCTTTACATCATCTTTACATCCAAACAGTTCTATCTTTACATCCAAACAGTTCTATCTTTACATCATCTTTACATTCAAACAGTTCTATCTTTACATCCAAACAGTTCTATCTTTACATCATCTTTACATCCAAACAATTCTATCTTTACATCCAAACAGTTCTATCTTTACATCATCTTTACATTCAAATAGATCTATCTTTACATTCAAACAGTTCTATCTTTACATTCAAACAGTTCTATCTTTACATCATCTTTACATTCAAACAGTTCTATCTTTACATTCAAACAGTTCTATCTTTACATTCAAACAGTTCTATCTTTACATTCAGTTCTATCTTTACATCCAAACAGTTCTATCTTTACATCCAAACAGTTCTATCTTTACATCATCTTTACATTCAAACAGTTCTATCTTTACATTCAAACAGTTCTATCTTTACATTCAAACAGTTCTATCTTTACATTCAGTTCTATCTTTACATTCAAAGAATTCTATCTTTACATTCAAACAGTTCTATCTTTATATTCAAACAATTCTATCTTTACATCCAAACAGTTCTATCTTTACATTCAGTTCTATCTTTACATCCAAACAGTTCTATCTTTACATCCAAACAGTTCTATCTTTACATTCAAACAGTTCTATCTTTACATCCAAACAGTTCTATCTTTACATCATCTTTACATTCAAACAATTCTATCTTTACATCCAAACAATTCTATCTTTACATTCAAACAGTTCTATCTTTACATCCAAACAGTTCTATCTTTACATCATCTTTACATTCAAACAATTCTATCTTTACATCCAAACAATTCTATCTTTACATTCAAACAGTTCTATCTTTACATCCAAACAGTTCTATCTTTACATCATCTTTACATTCAAACAATTCTATCTTTACATCCAAACAATTCTATCTTTACATTCAAACAGTTCTATCTTTACATCATCTTTACATTCAAACAATTCTATCTTTACATCCAAACAATTCTATCTTTACATCCAAACAGTTCTATCTTTACATCATCTTTACATTCAAACAATTCTATCTTTACATCCAAACAATTCTATCTTTACATTCAAACAGTTCTATCTTTACATTCAAACAGTTCTATCTTTACATCATCTTTACATTCAAACAATTCTATCTTTACATCCAAACAATTCTATCTTTACATTCAAACAGTTCTATCTTTACATCCAAACAGTTCTATCTTTACATCATCTTTACATTCAAACAATTCTATCTTTACATCCAAACAATTCTATCTTTACATTCAAACAGTTCTATCTTTACATCATCTTTACATTCAAACAATTCTATCTTTACATCCAAACAATTCTATCTTTACATCCAAACAGTTCTATCTTTACATCATCTTTACATTCAAACAATTCTATCTTTACATCCAAACAATTCTATCTTTACATTCAAACAGTTCTATCTTTACATTCAAACAGTTCTATCTTTACATCATCTTTACATTCAAACAATTCTATCTTTACATCCAAACAATTCTATCTTTACATTCAAACAGTTCTATCTTTACATCCAAACAATTCTATCTTTACATCCAAACAGTTCTAATAATAATTAGTATTATTGTTGGGCTTTAAAAAAAAATAAAAAATAAAAAACCACTTGATTTCTATTATATCAAGTTTTTAAATTATAAAGTTATCTCATTGTATAACTTGACCAGTAACTAAATGGTAAATAGAGGTATCATGAGCACTTACGATGAGAATTTTCCAATTTCCACCTGTAAAATGGGTTGTTTAAAAGCTTGTTCAAGAACCAAGTCTTCTGCAGAGCTTACGCCATTTGTGCTAGAGTTTGGGTTAGGGTTGTAGATCCTTAAAACTCCCTGATAGCTGCCAATTACCACTTTATCTTTCAAATGAGACCAAAAAAAAAAAGTCACACAAAAACATGGATGATGACAAGCTTTTTAATGCACTAAAAGAAAAAATAAATTATACTGACTTATTCCTCTTGCTGACAAAACTATGGATGAAATGTGGCTAGCCGTCAATTAAACAACAAACAAGTAGAGCAAGTAAAACATTTCACAAATATAGGCAGAATTGTCAATTATGAAGGAGACTGCACCATTGCAATAAAAACCCACATCTCTAAAGCTAAGAAACCTTTACAAACATGCAGAAAAACATGATTGGAGTGAAGAAAATAACCTCCAATACAAAAGTAGTCCTTAGAGTCCTACTTTACAAAAAATGTCCTTAGAGTCCTACTGTACGGTAGTGAATGAAGGAAATTAACAACCACCACTAGCAGAACGCTGGACTCTTCTCAAATGATAGACTACTAGGAGAGATGGAAATGGAAGCTGATCAGGGGTGGAACTACAGTGCCGCCTAACCCCGCAATGCAGGGGGGGGGGCCCACGCCGTTTAGGGGGCCCACAGCCGCCCATAATAAATTTTTTTAAGTTAAAATTAATTTTCTTGCATTTTTGACCTGATGGTTGTTTTGAAAAAAGAATTATGTAGCTGCGGTTGGACTTTCTTTATTCTATAGACACCATTCCAAGCTCTTGTATATTCTTTATCCTTTTAATAGATTTGTAATAATCAAATTAAACAGCAATTACTTTTCTTAATTATTTTTTTTTTAAAATAAGTACTAAAGAATGGTATAGTATAATAATGAAATGTAGTTAAAACTGATAATATTAATACAAAAAACATAAAAATAGACATAACACGAGACACCATTACTTATACAAAGCTTCATGATTTATATACTTTTGACCGACTTCATGATTAGAAGTATTAAGGTAAACATAAATGAAAACGGAGATTTTCAAAACAGACCAATGCACTCTTACACATGACATGTTGTTGTGATTAGATTTAATTGAATTTTTCTTTTCAAAAGCCGATCAGGCCAGAAATGAGTATCCTATGTTCGTATTGTGTGTTTATATATATATATATATATATATATATATATATATATATATATATATATATATATATATATATATATATATATATATATATATGGGGGGCCAAAAACATTTTTTTGCGGGGTGGCCCATTTTTTCTAGTTCCGCCACTGAAGCTGATAGACTACTAGGAGAGATGGAATTGGAAGCCATTTTAGAAAAAAATTAAAGAAGATGGCATTGGATGGGTCAAGTTTTAAGAATGGGTTCAGGAATGGAGCTTAACTGGACAGGAATGGAGCTTAGCTGGACAGGAATGGAGCTTAACTGGACAGGAATGGAGCTTAACTGGCAAGGCCAAGGGAGACGTGGAGGTGCACAACAGAAAGCAGCTGACAAAGGCAAGATTATCTTGGCTCTCTGCTAGATGCAGGAGCCCCTTGTGTCCTGGGCTGAGAAGAAAAAGATGATGAAAAGTAAGAAGTTTCTAAGTCAATGGGACAACTAAGTCAATGGGACAACTAAGTCAATGGGACAACTAAGTCAATGGGACAACTAAGTCAATGGGACAACTAAGTCAATGGGACAACTAAGTCAATGGGACAACTAAGTCAATGGGACAACTAAGTCAATGGGACAACTAAGTCAATGGGACAACTAAGTCAATGGGCAACTAAGTCAATGGGACAACTAAGTCAATGGGACAACTAAGTCAATGGGACAACTAAGTCAATGGGACAACTAAGTCAATGGGACAACTAAGTCAATGGGACAACTAAGTCAATGGGACAACTAAGTCAATGGAACAACTAGTCAATGGGACAGCTAAGTCAATGGGACGACTAAGTCAATGGGACAACTAAGTCAATGGGACAACTAAGTCAATGGGACAACTAAGTCAATGGGACAACTAAGTTAATGGGACAACTAAGTCAATGGGACAACTAACTTCTAAGTCAACGGAACAACTAAGTCAATGGGACAACTAAGTCAATGGGACAACTAAGTCAACGGGACAACTAAATCAACGGGACAACTAAGTCAACGGGACAACTAAGTCAATGGGACAACTAAGTCAATGGGACAACTAAGTCAATGGGACAACTAAGTCAATGGGACAACTAAGTCAATGGGACAACTAAGTCAATGGAACAACTAGTCAATGTGACAGCTAAGTCAATGGGACAACTAAGTCAATGGGACAACTAAGTCAATGGGACAACTAAGTCAATGGGACAACTAAGTCAATGGGACAACTAAGTTAATGGGACAACTAAGTCAATGGGACAACTAACTTCTAAGTCAACGGAACAACTAAGTCAATGGGACAACTAAGTCAATGGGACAACTAAGTCAACGGGACAACTAAATCAACGGGACAACTAAGTCAACAGGACAACTAAGTCAACGGGACAACTAAGTCAATGGGACAACTAAGTCAACGGGACAACTAAGTCAATGGGACAACTAAGTCAACGGGACAACTAAGTCAATGGGACAACTAAGTCAACGGGACAACTAAGTCAACGGGACAACTAAGTCAATGGGACAACTAAGTCAATGGGACAACTAAGTCAACGGGACAACTAAGTCAACAGGACAACTAAGTCAACAGGACAACTAAGCCTATCTGCGAGTTGAACTATGAATGTAAATACAGACCGTAACCATGTGTTGAGTTGTCAATGTTTCCAATACACATACAGCCAAGGTCAAACTCTTCATCTTCCCCAACACTAGCGGACCACCAGTCTCTTGTCTTAAACAAAGACATTCTCACTGCATCCTCCAGCTACCTGAAGAAGGTAATCAGTAGGTAGTAGGTAGCCACACAATCAGTAAGTTGTCACACAATCAGTAGGTAGCCACACAATCAGTAGGTTGTCACACAATCAGTAGGTAGCCACACAATCAGTAGGTTGTCACACAATCAGTAGGTAGCCACACAATCAGTAGGTTGTCACACAGTAGGTAGCCACACAATCAGTAGGTAGCCACACAATCAGTAGGTAGCCACACAATCAGTAGGTAGCCACACAATCAGTAGGTTGTCACACAATCAGTAGGTAGCCACACAATCAGTAGGTTGTCACACAATCAGTAGGTAGCCACACAATCAGTAGGTAGCCACACAATAAGTAGGTAGCCACACAATGAGTAGGTAGCCACACAATGAGTAGGTAGCCATACAATCAGTAGGGAGTAGGTAGCCATACAATCAGTAGGGAGTAGGTGGCCACACTATCAGTATTGAGTAAGTAACTATTATACAATCAGTAGGTAGCCACACAATCAGAAAACAGTAAAAACAATATCATTAGAATAAATCTCCCTTCATTTTTATTAGCAAAAATTGATTAATTAATCAATTATTTACCTAATTAGATTACAATTGTCCTGTATAGCAGACAATTTTTTTTAAATTTATTATATTTTGTAATTTTTTGGTAATCTATAGTTTTAGGTATGTAAAATGGGCTGAGACTGACTAGTAATCTGAATCTGAAAAAAGGTGACTCCTTAAATGTTAGTAATTATTTCACATTTCTAGGAGGATTTATGTTTTAAAATTTACAAAAATGTTTTAAAGTTTCATTTATGTACATGTTTTTAAACGATTGTATATTTTGTATTAAAACTTTTTAGTAACAAATAAAGACTAGTGATGTTTTCATCAGATGCTATCAAAATTTAGGGGAGATCACTCCCGGTTTATTGACATTTAGATCTATGATTCATTTATCCAAACCAACCCGTCTCACTATTTCACTGCAAAATATGTACGATTATACTAATTATACCAAAATAAATTATAGGGGGGCCTAGATTTGTCTAGATACCGATATGATAATGATATAAATAATCGGTAATCTATCGTTTTAGGTACGTAAAATCGCCCGCGACTAGTAATGTGAAAAACAAGTGACTCCTTAAATTTTAATAATTATTTCACATTTTGAGGAGGATTTATGTTTTGAAAAATACAAAAATGTTTCCTTGTTTTATTTATGTACCTGTTTTTAAACAATTGAATTAAAACTTTTCAGTAATAAATGAAAACTAGCGATGTTTCCAACAGATGCAACATTGCTCATTTACTGTAGCAGCCATCTTGTTGAAGTTTTTTTATAAACTTAAAGCGCAATATTCAGGGGAAGCCACTCTAACTTACAGATGGCCGCTTTTTATATAGCAAATCTGCTCGCAAACACTGCTGTTTAAAGTTAATTTCTTGCCTATATTGATATATTTAGCCATTGATTTAGGTATATTATTCATTTATCAATAATATTTGACACAAATATATCACAGTATACTTCTATTAAAGCCTTGACAATGAGGTAACTTTTTCGGACATTTCTAGCCGCGGGCGATTTTACGTACCTAAAACGATAGATTACCAAATAAATTAATAATCATTATAAAATATAAGACTAAGACTCTACTCTAATACTAGATCTAGATCTAAAAATGTTTTTTAATTTGGATTTGTGATTCATACTATTTGTAGATCGGTAATCTATCGTTTTAGCGTAATCAATTCGGCCGTCACTAGTAATGTAGGGATAAGGTAACTAATAAATATAGCTTAAATATGAATAAATGTTTGCATATTCTACTTAAATACTAAAGATAATTGAATATTAAACCACATTTAAGGGTTAAATCAATAAAAATGTCATGAAATTAAGGTTTAACAGCGATGTTCCAGATACTAAATTTGCTATTAAAAACAGCGGCCATCTTAAGAAAATATTATTTTGAGTCATTTCCCTTTAATTTCTATTTGTACGGAACTGTATTGATGTTTGCTATTAAATACGTTAGTCTTGTGTTTAAATAAAAAGCATGCGTTTTTTTTTTAATTCTGCCCTTTAAACAATTTAATTGACTGACAATAAACATCTGTTCTAGAATTATTATTATGAGATGCAATTTTTATACATTAAGATACTCCCTTTTTTTAATAGAGCTACCACTACATATCTAATGTTTATTTAAATATTAGTTTGAGTAAATTCTTATTGTTTGTGTTACTGTTTGTTTGCTATTTTCATTTAATATGTTCATGCTTTTTTCCTTTAATTAGTGATTTAATCATAAATGACGTCCCGTTTTTTGACCTCTCTTACTATTTGTAGATCGGTAATCTATCGTTTTAGCGTAATCAATTCGGCCGTCACTAGTAATGTAGGGATAAGGTAACTAATAAATATGGCTTAAATATGAATAAATGTTTGCATATTCTACTTAAATACTAAAGATAATTGAATATTAAACCACATTTAAGGGTTAAATCAATAAAAATGTCATGAAATTAAGGTTTAACAGCGATGTTCCAGATACTAAATTTGCTATTAAAAACAGCGGCCATCTTAAGAAAATATTATTTTGAGTCATTTCCCTTTAATTTCTATTTGTACGGAACTGTATTGATGTTTGCTATTAAATACGTTAGTCTTGTGTTTAAATAAAAAGCATGCGTTTTTTTTTTAATTCTGCCCTTTAAACAATTTAATTGACTGACAATAAACATCTGTTCTAGAATTATTATTATGAGATGCAATTTTTATACATTAAGATACTCCCTTTTTTTAATAGAGCTACCACTACATATCTAATGTTTATTTAAATATTAGTTTGAGTTAATTCTTATTGTTTGTGTTACTGTTTGTTTGCTATTTTCATTTAATATGTTCATGCTTTTTTCCTTTAATTAGTGATTTAATCATAAATGACGTCCCGTTTTTTGACCTCTCTTACCTTAACCCCCCCCCCCCCCCCCAGTTTCGCCGTCACGAAATAGTCGTAATGTCGAAAATAACCTTTTTGCCCTGTCTATTAAAAAGTCAAGCCATAATTCTAATGAAAAAGATATTTTCAGCATTTTTGTATTAGGCGAAATACTTAACGTCTCACGTTTCTTACCCATCCCACTTCCCGCGTAAAACGTCGTCTCAAAACCAGTTACTCCACCCCTTAAGTGTGCGATGTCATTTATGGTAGATGTCAAGTCCTATATACATTTAGAATAACCTTTGTTGTCAAAATGTTGATACCAAATACCCAAAATGAGTTATATTATTTATATGGGGTTGTCCATAAACGATGCTATGCTAATGTGACGTCAACTTACGCAGGGTGGTCGGGGGGGGGGGGGATGTGTGACGTCTATTTTGGAATCTTCTATAAAGCTGTGTTCAATGAAAATGAGGAACATAAAGCGTTCATTTTCATGCATACATTTGTTCATAACGAATGATGATAACTATTGCATGCCTGTTGTCCTAAGCGGTGTTAAACAACCTCAGCACATCATCCCCGACAAAAAGGCCTGCCACTAAATGCCTACCGACGAAAATAGGCCGCACTATATTGACTCCAAATGAAAAAATAACTTCTGACAACAAGGCTCAAACCAAGTAGCTCCTGACGACAATATTCGACAAGAGTCCATGACAATTATTGACTAGCAGGTAAAATGGGACACATCGAAAATTGAAAGTTTGTCGCCTCTGGGGGGGGGGGGTGACACCATTAAGTGCCGCACCGGGTGACACTCGACCTCGCTACGCCACTGAGCTAATGTAAAGCCACAGCTCAGTATAGGCTTGAATTTAACATAAAATAGTGTTAGCAGTGGACAGCCTCTAAGACTGTGCATTAGGAGTACGGCCGTCGGCAAAACGCCAGAGTCCGACGATATCTGAACATCAATTTTGTCTTTGATGAAGTGCGGAGCACCTTTAAGACCTGAGCTTGGCCCCTGTTGACACCACCACTAGCGCCGCTTATGTCCACATATTAATCACACGTTTTGCGTGGAGCTTAATGGACAGACGTTTATAGGTGGGACAGGGAGCCTAAATGCAGTTACCGAAGCCGTTGTGTCAAGGGCATTTTAGAGCCGAACGTCTCAGGGCAGCATGTTGCAGAAATTAAAAGCACGTGAATTTGTATAGTAGAGGGAGAACATCATGTCACTGTAATAAATTAAACACCAATATAATTCACCGAACTAAAGTCATTTAGATCTATTCGTCAGGCTAAATGTCGCTAAAGTCTCATCGCCATAGTCATTTAGTGCCTGTTTCGATTTTTTTTTAATTACGCGGTATCTCTTTCTTAAACATTAGCCTAAAGACAAATGACGTCACGCGCGCCGCGAACTTTGTGACGTTGTGCTTAGTGGGGGATGAAACGGCGTGGTTGAGAAAAAAATGACGTATTTCTTTTTTTTTTTTAACAGACGAATAAGTAATAGATTCTAATTTTCCTACGAACTGTAGGTTGATCTAGTTTTTTTTTTCTAGAGGGAGATATCACTATATTGTGATGGGGGGGGGGGGGGGGGGGGTTATATATAATTCTCAATATATTCTGATCTACTACTATTCATACGGCAACTATTATACTCGTGAGGAGGACGGGAATCACTCTTATGTTCCGCAGACACTAATTAATAATGTCAACAACTTCGTTTATGAAATAACATGAACTTTATTAACACACACTTATAGGTCATTTGCACAATATCAAAAACAAAATACGTCCGTCTTCTACTATATCTAACCCCCAACTAACTTCACTGCTGCGTCTTACGTCATCGGTACATTGTCGCACCATGCTCACGTCACACTCACGCCACACATATTTTATTAAACACGCGCATAATACTCTCGCACCAAATCGTCTACCGTCAAGTTCGTACCGTCCTTAGTAACCTGTACTCGTCTAGTCTAATTCTATATATCTACGCTATGACATATATAATGGGTGTTTTTTTTTTGTAATAATGGATGGTGTGGAGGGGTAAACATTGACTACTGAAGAAATAAAAAACTGATGACAGCAGAAGACAAAGAAAAAAAACCATGTGGTATTCAAATGTAACTAATAAAAATTTGAACATATTTTAAAAAACACAATAATCTTAATTTAGAAAAAGTGTAGGCCTAAGACTAATGTCTATAGACAAAATAAACAACTAGGCTTAATTAAATGGGTCGCCCATAAATGACGTCATACTTTTCCCGACGATTGCCCTCTCACCCAATAGTTGCTAAAAACAAGATGATGATTTAATATCATATCGCAGTTCTACTATACCCGAACCCTTAATCACAATTTCTAACGAAAACGAATATATTCTTCAGGGATGTATATTAAACAACAAAATCAACACAATATACATACGAATAGACATTTTCATCAAGGGAAACTACTCTAAATTTTATTTGGAAAGATGGCCGCTGTTTTTTTCTACTAATATTTATCTCGAACACCTAGTTTAAAGTTAGTTTCATGTTATTTAAATTGTTTTGGTCACTGATTGTTATTTTAAATCAATTATCTGTGATATTTTGTAAAATTTGACTTAAATAAACTTATTTAAAATTTAAACAAATATATTCATCAGTTACCTCTCCCGCACATTACTATCTCAGCCGAATTGATTACGCTAAAACGATAGATTACCTGTAGATCTATATAGAATCTGGAAAACTCTAGATCATCAGTAGATCTAGACATCTATATCTATTACTATTATATTTCAGAATTTAGATCTAATATGAATGGTAGACTAGTTTATAAACCCTACTCAGGTCGTTTCCGTTTCTATAATAAACAAACTCTTCTTGCATTAAGGATGCGCGAGCGAAGTCTAGAATCTATATCCGCCCAGGATATTTCGTCGCATCCTACAATCGACTCAATCTAAAAATAGAAACATGAACACGGCTGCAACTAAAAGGCTTAATTAAGTAGTGTAATAGTAAATTGAGTAAAGTATGGCAATTAGAATTTAGATGCATTTATAATAAGACGACATTTACTTTTGTTTTAATACATATCTTAATAATAAAAATGTTAAGGCCTTATTTTAAAATAAGCCGGCAAAAGAACAGGCATAACTGTGCATTCTGGCCGTAAATAATAAATACTGAGAAAAGTTGAATTATAAAAAGGTTCTGCTCAATGGCTCTCATTCGCTTTAACCTTCAAAAATTTATGAGATAAGCAATTAAATCATAAAATAATTATCATCATCTATAAATTGCGATACATAGTTATTGAACCGATCTGTTTATAGTTTATAGGCCTTTGGCGTAGGGCGAAATCCCCCTGTGACAAAAAACTAAATAAGGTCTACATTATAACAAAAAATATGTTATTATTATTAACAGTGTAGAAATTATTTTGATATATGTAGATCTATATTAATATTTATAGATTATATATTTATATTACAATTACAAATAAAATGTGGTTTTGTTTCGGGCAATTATACAAATTCCCGTATAACGAGATTACACGCAGACACTCGCCATGTTTATTATTATCCATCCGGTTTGTAGACTGCTGTTCGCCGAATCTTCAAATTTCGGATACTGCTGCTAAGCAACAATTTCCAACATGCACAAAGTGTCTTTATTAGGCGAAACTTTAGTGCTAGTGGTAAAAATTTCCATTATTTTAAACGGTTTCACAATTACACCAATTAGAATCTAGATCTAGAAATCTAGATTCTATCGTCTTCCTCCGAAAGTGAGCCGGTAGTCTAGCACTGGATTAGCTACTCTACTGAACTGTACTCTGCACTGTTACTCACTGTAGCTAGCTAATCTAGATCACTAGTCTAGACTCAAGAGTAGATTTTATAATTTAATTTTTGACTAAAATTTTCTGTCACTTATCCATATTGCTTACGGGTTAATTTTAGACCAAATTTAATTGTCTAGCTTACTCAAGGGCTGAGAAAAAAAATCGGTAATCTATCGTTTTGGGTACGTAAAATGGCCCGCGGCTATTAATGTACGAAAACGTTACCTCATTGTCAAGGCTGTAATAGAAGTATATTGTGATATGTTTGTGTCAAATATTATAGATAAATGAATAATAAACCTAAATCAATGGCTAAATATATCAATATAGGCCCGAAATTAACTTTAAACAGCAGTGTCTGCAAGCAAGATTTGCTATATAAACAGCAGCCATTTGTAAAATAGAGTGACTTCCGCCTGAATCTTGCGCTATAAGTCTATAAAAATAAAACTTTAACAAGATGGCTGCTACAGTAAATGAGCATGGTTGCATCTGTTGGAAACATCGCTGGTGTTCATTTATTACTGAAAAGTTTTAATTCAATTGTTTAGAAACAGGTACATAAATGAAACAAGGAAACATTTTTGTATTTTTCAAAACATAAATCCTCCTCAAAATATGAAATAATTATTAAAATGTAAGGAGTCACCTGTTTTTCACATTACTAGTTGCGGGCGATTTTACGTACCTAAAACGATAGATTACCAAAAAATCAAAATTACCTAATTCAGTAATTACCAGTCCGTCTCCTTATATAGATCTAATAGTATTACTCGCTAAGTTGGAGGTGTGGTCGTTTGCTAACAACAATATGGCTTCCGGACGCATGACTTCCGACGATTTTTCAGCCAAATTCCAGTGACCTTATACAAATTACTTTTAAAAATGTTTACCGTTGTAAAAATGTTTGCGTTGGAAAATAAAGGCTAAATTTAAAAGTTGGTTTTATTAAAAATACTAGAACTTTTTAAATATCAACCTGAAGAGTACAAAAATGAAATGAAGTCTGTAGAACTATTAGTATAATTAGGTTTATAAGTCTATGTAAAAAGGAATCAAATATTGCTAACCACTTTTTTTATAAACGATGGCTTTTGAATGACAACCAAATTTATTTATTTTTTTAAACCACATGAATGCTATTTGGGGATCACTAGAGAGGAACTCTGGGTGCATGGCCACTTAAAAAGTCTAACCGGATTTGTGGTTTTCTTTAGCTTCAAACATAAGAAGAGTTGTCATGGAGAGGTGTGTTGTGCATGGCAGTGAGTGACGATAAATATTAAATTAAGTAACTTTGTCTAAAACAAACTAAAAACTTCAAAATTGGTGCCTAATGGATTAAATATGGATGTCTATCATTCAGTGGTCATGTTTAAATTTAAAATTGGGTAAATTTTAGATTTAGTGAGAAAATCTATAATATATAACCCTGATATGTCACGCTCCGAATTTTTACGTTTATTTTGAGGGTCCTATCAAATGAAGAACTGCTCATCTCAAAATTTCATAATTTTTCTAATTCTAAACGTTGCTCCTATAATCGCCCAGTTTTCTTAACAGACGGAGAAAATTACTGACACTGTTTAGGGGGTCATTGTGAGTTCAGATCAGTTTAGATATCAGTAGTGTAGGCATATAACATACATCTTAGCATAAATATTGCTTTGAGAGATTGTTGATAACCTCACTTTAGTCGTCCCTAAACCAAGCAAGATGAAAAACTTATTTGGGATCATTTTGAGTTCATATAAGCTTTTATTTTCTAATATCTCGAATGTTTGGTAGCAGGGCCTACTTTTACTGCCACGTATGCGAGATATTAGTTTTCAAGACACAGTTCCTGAGAGTTGTAGACTATCTACATTAAGCTATTTTTTACTACATTTAGCTATTATATAATCTTAGGACTGATATAAAATTAAATTACGTTTAAAAAAGAGAAAAAAGAATAAATTTTTACATGTGATAAAGTAACAAATCTTAAATACAGTATTTCAGGCTGTTTTGAACTTGTAGTATTCAAATAATGAAAACAAGTTATTCATTTAAATTTTAATGCTGCATCATCATAATTTTATTAATATGTGAATTGATTTTTATAATTTGAATAACAAAAAAATATCTAGATTCTAATTAATCAAGAAAATACATCCAAAATTGCTTGGCCAGAGAAATTTCACACTATAGGCCATATCTAATAGACCTTACACGTCCCGTTCGCCATGGCATTTTTCAGGAATGATATCGAGGTATTTAAAGCAAGATCTTCAGATACCGTATGGAATTGCAAGAAAAAAAATGAAAACATAAAAGATATATTCAACATCCTAAAAGCATTATCGTGTTAAGAAATAAAATGCTGGATCTGAACAGTTGCCTGGTCCGAATAGAAGCAGATTAAATAACATCAAATTAACCCTCTCAATCCCAGCCACTCCAAAATGTAATACACCGGTTGGTTCAGGAAAAAATTATAGCAACTTTATCTTGCACTATACATTCAAGAAACAAAGTGTATTGTATTAAGTACTGATTGCTCCCCACGAAAGATTATCTTTGGAAAGTATCATCAACATTTATTGTAGTGCATGGTCCTACATGTTCAACAAAATCATGAAGCTGTACCTCAGTCAAAATTGTCGACCAGTCTCGATCACTATCTTTATTGAATTGTTTATTCGTTCTTGGCCTAGTGCCATCATCATCAATACTAGAACTAGCATTATCTTCATCACTAAAAATACACATTGCCACTTTCTTTATAATTTATTAATTCATCAGACTCTTCATCATTAACATACTAATCAATATCCTCATCCAAATGAGAGAGTTCAGCGCCATGATTTATCAAACTTGTTAGAAAATTGAAAGCCATTCTAAAACTACGATATCTCCGGCATGGATCAGTATTATTTTTATTAAATTTGTTAGTAATCTCACCTAGCCTCGTCTAGTCTCTCAGACGTGAGATTTCATTTTTATAGGCTACAGTTCAGTTGCTATTTATCAACGCCTGAGCCGTGTATTTTGCGGCCGGATTTGGCAGTTGCAGGATTGACATGGTAACTGCTGTTACGGGATTGAATGGGTTAAAACAGTATAAGCAATCTCATTTGAATGGTAGGGTGAGGGGGTATATACTCTTTGAAAAAAATCTACAGTGGTTTTGGCCTTGGATGACGTTGGTGCACGCTGGCTTATAATTAAAATGTGTTTCAAATCTGCATTTAAATAAATAAATTCAAACGCCTACCTCCTTCAGTAGACCTATTAGGCCACTTGCATGGTAACACATCTACATTTTTTTTAGATTTTGTAATGAGTGGCCTAGGCCCCCTCGCTAGAATAAAGGACTGTACTCAATAACAATGAAAATAATGAAATGCCTGCTTCAAACTGTTGATCTACTGTATTCTTACTACTGTAAATCTGTAATTATATCTTGCTTAAATAACCCCACCCTCAACCCCTTGCTTAGTTGAATATAAAATTACACTTTAAACGCTGTTAGGATTGTAATTGTGAGCCAACAAATAAATCCCTAAAAATGAAGCTAAAATTTTCTCAGCTAAAACTAAAAGAAATACAATTTACTTTTAAAAAAAAAAAAATACCATTGAACTGCCAGGTTTTTTAACAGAATTATTTAAGTCTTTTAATCAGTGTGTGCGTTTAATATGGTGTTCTGTTGACTAATAATGTATATAATTTGGTTTTTCTAATTGGAATTGTTAACCTATGTTTTTTTAAATGTGTCGGATTTTAGCTATTTAGTTATTTCTTTGCTTTGTCATTAAACGTAAAGTAAAGCATATTGCGTTTTGACCAATAACTATTTTTTCAAATACTTTTCTCAAACCAGTATGTATAACATAAAAATATATAGGCCTATAATCCATGTGTAACGGTTACTGTTAGTTATCAGAGATTGAAAAAATACACTGACTAGATGAATACAGAGTTATATAAATGCATATTATAAAAACACTCAAATCAGCATTCTAGATAGGGCCATTACAACTTTCAAAATGAGTTTTAAACAAAAAGAGTTCACTTACCTTGTCTGTTTTTGGCCATAGATTCTGCATTTGAATGTTTTATACCAGGGGTCTCCAAACTTTTCAGCCCCAGGGCCGCACTAACTATAAAATATCAGGTCGGGGGCCAGAGTTTCTTCTAGGAAGTTCTTCGAGTTGGCGAAACTGCAGCTGAAGGTCCTTGATGATCTCATATGCAAATGATTCAGCTGTTGATTTAGCCATGAAGACCTTGCACTGCTGAAAGTGTGTCAAGTTTTTGACCTGTACTTGTTCCAAAAACAAGACCCGTTTGGATCTGAAGGCCTTTATGTGGGTGTATAGAACAGAAACTAGATTTTACTTTCCTTGTAGTTTTAGGTTCAGAAAATTTAAATGACTAGTTATGAATGCAGCAAAGGTCAATTTCTATACCCACTCTTCATCAGACATTAATGGTTGTGTCTTGCCTTTACTTTCCAGTAAGGTGCCTATTTCCCTGCTTAACTTAAATACTCTGCTCAAAACTTTCCCACAATTTAGCCATCTTACTGTTGTATAATATGGTAAATGCTGCGTTTCTGTGTTTGTATCTTTCAACATGTCTCTGAACTATCTATGGTTGAGCCCATGTGGCTTTATTAAATTCACCATCTTCACCACAGGATTCAGTACACTGCTAATGTCCATATATTAAGCAAACAAAGCTTGCTGGTGAATAATACAGTATAGGAACACTGGTTGTAAAATGTTTTTCTCATTCGAGTGTCCAACTAAGCCTTTCTTTATGCCACTCATGTCCTTTTCTCCATCAACAGTCAGGTAACTAAGGCTAGTCCAGTCCAAGTTTAAATCGCATTTTTTAAAACTCATTGAATATACCCTCTCCGGTAAAAGTGGCATACATGCTATGTAGGGAAGCCAGCTCTTGTGAAATGTTCATGTCTTTATTCACACCTCTAATGAACACAAGCAATTGAGAGGTGGAGCAGCTGTCCAGCGACTAATCCATTGCAATTGAAACATGGCGTAACTTGTTGCATTTTTCGCTATTTGAGATACAATGTTTTCACCAATTTCTACAACACGGCGGGCAATGGTAGTTGCACCAAAAGATACATTTTCAAATTGTTTTGATTTTTTTTGGCAAAGTTCCTCAGCCACCTGCAACAAAAATCTTTTCCGTGGACAAAAAGATCTCCGCGGGCCGGATGAGAGGACCTCGCGGGCCGCATCCGGCCCGCGGGCCGTAGTTTGGAGACCCCTGTTTTATACAAAACTACTGGGCGTCTGCTTGTCGGGTCTGTGTCCACTCAATTCTTTTATCCCCCCAGTTGTAACACAATATAACAAATATAACAATAATAGTATGATATTAAGGATATGAAGTATATTGTCACCATGTAGAGTTTATAAGTAAAAGTGCTGGCTGACTGTTATGGTTGGCTAGGGTGCTGGGTGACTGTTTTGGTTGGCTAGGGTGCTGGGTGACTGTTTTGGTTGGCTAGGGTACTGGCTGACTGTTTTGGTTGGCTAGGGTGCTGGGTGACTGTTTTGGTTGGCTAGGGTGCTGGCTGACTGTTTTGGTTGGCTAGGGTGCAGGCATACTTTGTTGGGTCAAATTTACATCTCAACTTATTACAATTTTATATTGAAATACTGCATAAATAAAACTCATGTTTGATCATAACCCCCCCCCCCCCATCCTCAAACATAACCCCCTATGTACACAAGTAACAAGCAGGTCAAATTACATAGTTAACTCAAGAAATTCATGTTGAGACTGTAGTGAAAATTGTTACTGCTATAAAACAGTTGTGTATATCACATACATCCCAACAAAAGGAAGGCTAAATTTTTAAAAAAAGGCTGATGGCTTATAATCACAGCTGTGTATTGCTATCTTTTGTTTGTTGTTGTACGCCCTCTTCTCTACATTAAGGGGGTGGGGGGCTGCATGTAAGCTTGAGTATATGGTATGTGGAGAGCTGGTCACAGCAATCGATAGCAAATTATTATCTTAGCTATTGTTTGTTAGACGAGACAGAAAATCATTAACAATTACCACACCTGTTTAAACTAGTACATCCCACATACCATCCTCAATTCTTTTTTTTTTTTTTTTTTTTTACTTCTAATGTAGAAATGGATTTGCTTGTCCATATTATTTTCAAATTGTATTTAAATTAATGCTTTTTTTTTAATAAAGTATTATTTTTTAATGTCATAGGGTTTAAAAAAATTTTATATTTTAAAACCATATCATTTCTATCAGTTGTATAGCACAATTCCAAAGGAAGTGCCATCAGAACCATTATATAAGTATATACAAGAAAGTTTAAGTGAGCTCTATCTGTGATCAAATGATCAATATTTATTTTAAAGAAGTTAATTTCATAAATAATTGTTAAACAGCAATTTTAGTTTTGAAAGAACTATAATACCAACCTGTACATGGCACTACAACATGTACATGGCACTACAACATGTACATGGCACTACAACCTGTACATGGCACTACAATACCAACCTGTACATGACACTACAATACCAACCTGTACATGGCACTACAATGCCAATCTGTACATGGCACTACAACATGTACATGGCACTACAACATGTACATGGCACTACAACCTGTACATGGCACTACAACCTGTACATGGCACTACAATACCAACCTGTACATGGCACTACAATACCAACCTGTACATGGCACTACAATACCAACCTGTACATGGCACTACAACCTGTACATGGCACTACAATACCAACCTGTACATGGCACTACAATACCAACCTGTACATGACACTACAATACCAACCTGTACATGGCACTACAATGCCAATCTGTACATGGCACTACAACATGTACATGGCACTACAACCTGTACATGGCACTACAACCTGTACATGGCACTACAACCTGTACATGGCACTACAATACCAACCTGTACATGGCACTACAATACCAACCTGTACATGGCACTACAATACCAACCTGTACATGGCACTACAACATGTACATGGCACTACAACATGTACATGGCACTACAACCTGTACATGGCACTACAATACCAACCTGTACATGACACTACAATACCAACCTGTACATGGCACTACAATGCCAATCTGTACATGGCACTACAACATGTACATGGCACTACAACATGTACATGGCACTACAACCTGTACATGGCACTACAATACCAACCTGTACATGGCACTACAATACCAACCTGTACATGACACTACAATACCAACCTGTACATGACACTACAATACCAACCTGTACATGGCACTACAATGCCAATCTGTACATGGCACTACAACATGTACATGGCACTACAACATGTACATGGCACTACAACCTGTACATGGCACTACAATACCAACCTGTACATGGCACTACAATACCAACCTGTACATGACACTACAATACCAACCTGTACATGGCACTACAATGCCAACCTGTACATGGCACTACAACCTGTACATGGCACTACATGTATATGGCACTACAATACCAACCTGTACATCGCACTACAATGCCAACCTGTACATGGCACTACAACCTGTATATGGCACTACAATACCAACTTGTACATGGCACTACAACCTGTACATGGCACTACAATACCAACCTGTACATGGCACTACAATACCAACCTGTACATGACACTACAATACCAACCTGTACATGGCACTACAACCTGTACATGGCACTACAATACCAACCTGTACATTCATAATTACTAACCCATACCAGACAATGCATGTGTAAGAATTTTTTTTCCTTTCACAGGTTGTGTTGAGTGTTGCATATGGAGAGGTTATATCATTAAATGACCAAAACATAGACAATGTTTTAGGTAAGTCACCTCTATCATTAAATGACCAAAACATAGACAATGTTTTAGGTAAGTCACCTCTACCATTAAATGACCAAAACATAGACAATGTTTTAGGTAAGTCACCTCTATCATTAAATGACCAAAACATAGACAATGTTTTAGGTAAGTCACCTCTACCATTACTACATAAAACTAGTAGCATTTAGCAAAAGTATTTGAGCAATGAATGAATTGAGTGAACTCTTCCCCCCACAGGTAGCAGTGATATAGCTATAGTCAATTTCTATGCTGACTGGTAAGTAGTTTTCTTAGCACTTGGCTTGGTGTGACTTGAGTATAGACTACCAGTAAATAAATAAGGCAGCTCATAGAACTCAATGATTTCAGGTGTCGCTTTAGTCAAATACTGGCTCCAACTTTTGAAGAGGCTGGGAAAAAAATTCAGGAAGAATCTACAGTAAGTTCTCTCTTTGTTGTTAGGTTTCTGTATATCTTATGTATTGTTGTAAGACAGATTAAAGTTTTATTCTCAGACATTAGGCCCCCTAAGTTAACAATGATACAACCTGTGATTGATTTGACTAATTAGACAAACTTGATCTTGCAGGTACCAGGTCGCATTGTGTTTGCCAAAGTAGACTGTGACAGGGAAAGTAGGTTTCACTTCATTTTAAACATTGAGTTGGTCAAACTTTACACATTCAATGCTCCAACATCCCCTGCTTGACACCTTCAGTTGTTTAACTTTATGCCCTTCACACATCTACTTTACATGATATTGTTGGAAAAAAAATCATTGTAGATCTGTCTTGCTAGGTGACACAGCTACAGTGAATGTTAAAAGAGGGTTTTTAATGTATGGAAGTAAGGTTAAATTAATGGAAATAAACAGGAACCCTCAACCCTATCATCACACACACAGCAAATTCTCCCCCACCCTAAATTTCATGCGGCCAGTTACATTTCTCTCAGTTTAATTTTATTTAGTTCCCATATTGGCTTATGCCTATCTACATGTTTCAAACCTAACTGTTATTTCCAACTGGTTTGTACAGCAAATATTGCGACAAAATATCGCATTAACAAGTACCCAACATTGAAGCTATTCAGGGGAGGTAACATTGTCAAGAAGGAATACAGAGGCCAGAGATCAGTGGAAGCAATGGTACAGTTTGCTCAAGAACAAGCCAAAGACCCAGTCATAGAAGTGGAACAACTTTCCAACCTTGAGGATATTGATGTGAGTTCTTCTCTCCTTACTATGCTCTTTTTTTTATTTTTTACAATTCGACTCCAAAAATGTTTGATTTGTCCTCAGACAAAAAAAAGACATCATTTTTTTTAATTTGAGTCCAAATATTTGATTTGTCCTCAGACAAAAAAAAGACACATCATTTTTTTTTAATTTGAGTCCAAATATTTGATTTGTCCTCAGACAAAAAAAAGACACATCATTTTTTTTTAATTTGAGTCCAAATATTTGATTTTTCCTCAGACAAAAAAAAGACACATCATTGGCTACTTTGAGAGTAAAATATCAGACAACTACAGGGTGTTTGCCCGTGTGGCAAATGTGTTGAGAGATGACTGCCAGTTCCATGCTGCTTTGGGGTGAGTTCAAGCATTCACCTGCACTGTCAAGCAGTCACCTGTACTGTCTAACTAATTGTAGCTCATTTAAATACAGGGTTCATGCGGACTCATGAAATTACAGGATGTCCTGGAATTCTCCCAGAATTTTTTGAAATTTTGTAAGATGTCCTGAAATTTTACTCATATCAATAATTTTACCGTATATTTTTATGTGCGTAAGATCTAGATCTATAGGTAATCAGATCTGACCACCCCAGTAAAAAAATTTTGCTTTGTCGATTCTGCGCGTACAAAGCAAAAGTTTTAAAATATAGACCTATAGATCTAGCTGTCTTTTATCTGTGGGTTTAGTTTAATTCTTTTCTCACTTCTATGAGTGCGGCTCAGTTTGATAGGCCTGAAGTTCTTTTTTTTTTTTTAATTAAAAGTTTCAAGTAAGCCCAAATCTAGTTTTTGCCCAGCTAATTTGAATCAATAGTCCGATAGGCCCTAGATCTACTTTCTATTTACATGCTTGTTGTAATACTACCACCCTCCCATCCCATATCTCATTTTTGTTCTCACGGCAGGGTGGGGGGAGGGGAAGATTGCTGGTTGTAATGTTAACTCTGTGACCTCTAGTGATGTCATCAGGATTCTCAAGTAGCATTTTTGTACCCCATGACGTATTCTACAGGCCAACTGTAAGCTTAGATTAACTCAAAATGAACCCACGCTGGGGGAAAAAATACGTTACCGCCAATTTAAAAAAAAAAATGAGGTAAATTCTGTTTTTGGCAGAAATGTTTTATATTTTCAAGTATTATTTCCAAAATACGGTTTATTTCTAGTAGGACCTATCTAAACTACTCAGATTGATCTACTTGTTCATTAAGTGATAAAAAGTTAAAATTACAGTTAGGCTATTTACTGTTAAAGATTTCCATTTAAATCATGATACCATGTCCATTTTTAAAAGATAAGACATGGTTTCAGCTGTTCTGTTTGTTTATGATTGACATTGTTAGTATGGAGGCTGACATTGGTGAGGTGGAGAGTGGTTAAGTCACTTAACACTGGGATATGGTTACTCACACAATTTCATTGAATTAAAAACAATATAGTGCAAACATAATTGATTAACATTTTAAATTAGTTTATTGCTGACATTTTTTCTTATATTTTTAAAATTGTGTAATTAAGCTTTCATTTTTTCTTTGGGGAGGGGGTGAGGCAATATAAAAAAGAAAGCTGTTATTAGAACTGGTGCTAAGGAGGGTGTAAAAACAGGCTTAATTTATGGACAGTGAGTCATTGTATCAGAAAAGTGTCAAATTTTGATATTCAATCTACTCGGGGGGGGGGGGGGGGGGGCCTTCATCGCTGAACCAAAATTGGTAGAGAGAAAAAGATGTTAAAAAAAGCTCATTTTATGCTGTAGTATTGAGTTATACACAGTCAAATTTTAGAAACTAAACGGCTTCAAGACTCTATTCACAGATTTAACTTTTCTGAATAGTGTGACACAAAGTAAATATAAAAATTGTTACAGGATAGTGACTGGTAAAAAGTGCCACCAAATTTTCCAGTTAGGGGGGGGGGGGGGGGGAGGTGGCAATTTTATGAATAACAATTCATAAAAGGGAGGGGTGGGGCGCAAAATTGAATCTACTTTAACTGACCAGCTAAATGGTTTAGAAACAGTTACTTTTAAAAAAATTACAAATGTTATGCTTCAGAGCATTTTATAAAGACCTATCCTATGTGAGAAATGTCAAACTTCCTTCCATTCAGCACGTGGTGAGTCGCTAAATTATGTCCTGAAATTTTGGTTTTTCTCATGAAAAACTCATGGAATTCTCCTGGAATTTTAAGTTCACTTTGGTGTAGGAACCCTGTGAAAATAAAACAAGACCATCTGTACTGTCTAACTAATTGTAGCTCATTTAAATAAGACCATCTCTACCAAGTAATAAATTAACCACATTTAAATAAATCACCTGCACTTTTTTTTTTCTGTAGACCTGTATCAATGTCAGAGAGAACATCTGGTGATCACATCAGTGCTCGACCATCCAATGTAAGTCATGTCAGTGTTAGACCACCCAAGTCATGTCAGTGTTAGACCACCCAATGTAAGTCATGTCAGTGTTAGACCATCCAATGTAAGTCATGTCAGTGTTAGACCATCCAATGTAAGTCATGTCAGTGTTAGACCATCCAATGTAAGTCATGTCAGTGTTAGACCACCCAATGTATGTCATGTCAGTGTTAGACCATCCAATGTAAGTCATATCAGTGTTAGACCATCCAATGTAAGTCATGTCAGTGTTAGACCACCCAATGTAAGTCATGTCAGTGTTAGACCACCCAATGTAAGTCATGTCAGTGTTAGACCATCCAATGTAAGTCATGTCAGTGTTAGACCACCCAATGTAAGTCATGTCAGTGTTAGACCACCCAATGTAAGTCATGTCAGTGTTAGACCATCCAATGTAAGTCATGTCAGTGTTAGACCATCCAATGTAAGTCATGTCAGTGTTAGACCATCCAATGTAAGTCATGTCAGTTTTAGACCACCCAAGTCATGTCAGTGTTAGACCACCCAAGTCATGTCAGTGTTAGACCACCCAAGTCATGTCAGTGTTAGACCACCCAAGTCATGTCAGTGTTAGACCACCCAAGTCATGTCAGTGTTAGACCACCCAAGTCATGTCAGTGTTAGACCACCCAAGTCATGTCAGTGTTAGACCACCCAAGTCATGTCAGTGTTAGACCACCCAAGTCATGTCAGTGTTAGACCACCCAAGTCATGTCAGTGTTAGACCACCCAATGTAAGTCATGTCAGTGTTAGACCACCCAATGTAAGTCATGTCAGTGTTAGACCACCCAATGTAAGTCATGTCAGTGTTAGACCATCCAATGTAAGTCATGTCAGTGTTAGACCATCCAATGTAAGTCATGTCAGTGTTAGACCATCCAATGTAAGTCATGTCAGTTTTAGACCACCCAAGTCATGTCAGTGTTAGACCACCCAAGTCATGTCAGTGTTAGACCACCCAAGTCATGTCAGTGTTAGACCACCCAAGTCATGTCAGTGTTAGACCACCCAAGTCATGTCAGTGTTAGACCACCCAAGTCATGTCAGTGTTAGACCACCCAAGTCATGTCAGTGTTAGACCACCCAAGTCATGTCAGTGTTAGACCATGTAAGTCATGTCAGTGTTAGACCACCCAATGTAAGTCATGTCAGTGTTAGACCACCCAATGTAAGTCATGTCAGTGTTAGACCACCCAATGTAAGTCATGTCAGTTTTAGACCACCCAAGTCATGTCAGTGTTAGACCACCCAAGTCATGTCAGTGTTAGACCACCCAAGTCATGTCAGTGTTAGACCACCCAAGTCATGTCAGTGTTAGACCACCCAAGTCATGTCAGTGTTAGACCACCCAAGTCATGTCAGTGTTAGACCACCCAAGTCATGTCAGTGTTAGACCACCCAAGTCATGTCAGTGTTAGACCACCCAAGTCATGTCAGTGTTAGACCACCCAAGTCATGTCAGTGTTAGACCACCCAAGTCATGTCAGTGTTAGACCACCCAAGTCATGTCAGTGTTAGACCACCCAAGTCATGTCAGTGTTAGACCACCCAAGTCATGTCAGTGTTAGACCACCCAAGTCATGTCAGTGTTAGACCACCCAAGTCATGTCAGTGTTAGACCACCCAAGTCATGTCAGTGTTAGACCACCCAAGTCATGTCAGTGTTAGACCACCCAAGTCATGTCAGTGTTAGACCACCCAATGTAAGTCATGTCAGTGTTAGACCATCCAATGTAAGTCATGTCAGTTTTAGACCACCCAAGTCATGTCAGTGTTAGACCACCCAAGTCATGTCAGTGTTAGACCACCCAAGTCATGTCAGTGTTAGACCACCCAAGTCATGTCAGTGTTAGACCACCCAAGTCATGTCAGTGTTAGACCACCCAAGTCATGTCAGTGTTAGACCACCCAAGTCATGTCAGTGTTAGATCACCCAAGTCATGTCAGTGTTAGACCACCCAAGTCATGTCAGTGTTAGACCACCCAAGTCATGTCAGTGTTAGACCACCCAAGTCATGTCAGTGTTAGACCACCCAAGTCATGTCAGTGTTAGACCACCCAAGTCATGTCAGTGTTAGACCACCCAAGTCATGTCAGTGTTAGACCACCCAAGTCATGTCAGTGTTAGACCACCCAAGTCATGTCAGTGTTAGACCACCCAAGTCATGTCAGTGTTAGACCACCCAATGTAAGTCATGTCAGTGTTAGACCACCCAATGTAAGTCATGTCAGTGTTAGACCACCCAATGTAAGTCATGTCAGTTTTAGACCACCCAAGTCATGTCAGTGTTAGACCACCCAAGTCATGTCAGTGTTAGACCACCCAAGTCATGTCAGTGTTAGACCACCCAAGTCATGTCAGTGTTAGACCACCCAAGTCATGTCAGTGTTAGACCACCCAAGTCATGTCAGTGTTAGACCACCCAAGTCATGTCAGTGTTAGACCACCCAAGTCATGTCAGTGTTAGACCACCCAAGTCATGTCAGTGTTAGACCACCCAAGTCATGTCAGTGTTAGACCACCCAAGTCATGTCAGTGTTAGACCACCCAAGTCATGTCAGTGTTAGACCACCCAAGTCATGTCAGTGTTAGACCACCCAAGTCATGTCAGTGTTAGACCACCCAAGTCATGTCAGTGTTAGACCACCCAAGTCATGTCAGTGTTAGACCACCCAAGTCATGTCAGTGTTAGACCACCCAAGTCATGTCAGTGTTAGACCACCTAAGTCATGTCAGTGTTAGACCACCCAAGTCATGTCAGTGTTAGACCACCCAATGTAAGTCATGTCAGTGTTAGACCACCCAATGTAAGTCATGTCAGTGTTAGACCACCCAATGTAAGTCATGTCAGTGTTAGACCACCCAAGTCATGTCAGTGTTAGACCACCCAAGTCATGTCAGTGTTAGACCACCCAAGTCATGTCAGTGTTAGACCACCCAAGTCATGTCAGTGTTAGACCACCCAAGTCATGTCAGTGTTAGACCACCCAAGTCATGTCAGTGTTAGACCACCCAAGTCATGTCAGTGTTAGACCACCCAAGTCATGTCAGTGTTAGACCACCCAAGTCATGTCAGTGTTAGACCACCCAAGTCATGTCAGTGTTAGACCACCCAAGTCATGTCAGTGTTAGACCACCCAAGTCATGTCAGTGTTAGACCACCCAAGTCATGTCAGTGTTAGACCACCCAAGTCATGTCAGTGTTAGACCACCCAAGTCATGTCAGTGTTAGACCACCCAAGTCATGTCAGTGTTAGACCACCCAAGTCATGTCAGTGTTAGACCACCCAAGTCATGTCAGTGTTAGACCACCCAAGTCATGTCAGTGTTAGACCACCCAAGTCATGTCAGTGTTAGACCACCCAAGTCATGTCAGTGTTAGACCACCCAAGTCATGTCAGTGTTAGACCACCCAAGTCATGTCAGTGTTAGACCACCCAAGTCATGTCAGTGTTAGACCACCCAAGTCATGTCAGTGTTAGACCACCCAATGTAAGTCATGTCAGTGTTAGACCACCCAAGTCATGTCAGTTTTAGACCACCCAATGTACACCTAATTTGTGCATGTGTTCTTGTTTTAGACAAAAGATGATGTGCCCTACACTGGCCCACTTAACAGCTATGATGTACTATACCAGTGGGTCACAGAAAAATGTACCCCTCTAGTCAGGGAAATCACATTTGAAAATGCAGAGGTCAGCTAATTTTCTTTTCTTTTTGCTTTTCTTGATCCCTTCTCCTAGGTAGATTAAATGAGAAAATCATAGCTTTGTTGATGGCACATGTAAAAACAAAGAGATCATACAAATGAGAAGATGATTGTAATTGAGTTTGGTTTTGCTATTTGTTCTACTATATGTGAAACTTTCTGATTGTCAGGAGTTAACTGAAGAAGGCCTGCCTTTCTTGATATTGTTCCACCACCCTGATGATACAGCTACAGTGGAAAGTTTTAACAAAGTTGTTGCTGAACAAGTCATGCATGAAAAAGGTGGGTTTGGACCAGATTGTATCAGTAGTTTAACAAACTCAATATAAGAAGGGTTTGGACCAGATTGTATCAGTAGTTTAACCAACTCAATATAAGAAGGGTTTGGACCAGATTGTATCAGTAGTTTAACCAACTCAATATAAGAAGGGTTTGGACCAGATTGTATCAGTAGTTTAACCAACTCAATATAAGAAGGGTTTGGACCAGATTGTATCAGTAGTTTAACCAACTCAATATAAGAAGGGTGGGTTTGGACCAGATTGTATCAGTAGTTTAACCAACTCAATATAAGAAGGGTTTGGACCAGATTGTATCAGTAGTTTAACCAACTCAATATAAGAAGGGTTTGGACCAGATTGTATCAGTAGTTTCACCAACTCAATATAAGAAGGGTGGGTTTGGACCAGATTGTATCAGTAGTTTAATTCTTTAATTAGGTGTTAACTCATTTTTTTTCTCTATCCACCACACACAATGTGGGTACTAAATTGAAGTTTGTATTTATTGTGTTCCTTTGTATTTCTGAAACTTACAATATCAATTTAAGGAACCAAACTACTAATACTTGTTATATTACAATATCTATTAAAGGAACCAAACTACTAATACTTGTTATATTACAATATCAATTGAAGGAACCAAACTACTAATACTTGTTATATTACAATATCAATTGAAGGAACCAAACTACTAATACTTGTTATATTACAATATCAATTAAAGGAACCAAACTACTAATACTTGTTATATTACAATATCAATTAAAGGAACCAAACTACTAATACTTGTTATATTACAATATCAATTAAAGGAACCAAACTACTAATACTTGTTATATTACAATATCAATTGAAGGAACCAAACTACTAATACTTGTCATATTACAATATCAATTGAAGGAACCAAACTACTAATACTTGTTATATCACTATCAATTGAAGGAACCAAACTACTAATACTTGTTATATTACAATATCAATTGAAGGAACCAAACTACTAATACTTGTTATATTACAATATCAATTGAAGGAACCAAACTACTAATACTTGTCATATTACAATATCTATTAAAGGAACCAATCTACTAATACTTGTTGTATTACAATATCAATTGAAGGAACCAAACTACTAATACTTGTTGTATTACAATATCAATTGAAGGAACCAAACTACTAATACTTGTTGTATTACAATATCTATTAAAGGAACCAAACTACTAATACTTGTTGTATTACAATATCTATTAAAGGAACCATTTGAATCTGATTAAGCTTGACCAGGATGAAGGTTAAATAACGGTTTATTTTTTCCAGTGAACATCAACTTCCTAGTTGCTGATGGCCTCAAGTTTGCCCACCCACTCCACCATCTAGGCAAGTCTACAGATGACCTCCCTATACTGGCCATTGATAGCTTTAGACACATGTACCTTTTTCCACACGATGTCAGGAAAGATCTTAGGTTAGTCACAGATACCTCGTCTGGTCAAACTGGTTAGTGTTGTACCAGGGTTGGTTAGTGTTGTACCAGGGTTGGTTAGTGTTGTACCAAGGTTGGTTAGTGTTGTACCAAGGTTGGTTAGTGTTGTACCAAGGTTGGGTTAGTGTTGTACCAGGGTTGGTTAGTGTTGTACCAAGGTTGGTTAGTGTTGTACCAAGGTTGGGTTAGTGTTGTACCAGGGTTAGTTAGTGTTGTACAAAGGTTGGTTAGTGTTGTACCAGGGTTGGTTAGTGTTGTACCAGGGTTAGTTAGTGTTGTACAAAGGTTGGTTAGTGTTGTACCAGGGTTGGTTAGGGTTGTACCAGGGTTGGTTAGTGTTGTACAAAGGTTGGTTAGTGTTGTACAAAGGTTGGTTAGTGTTGTACCAGGGTTGGTTAGTGTTGTACCAGGGTTGGTTAGTGTTGTGTTGTACAAAGGTTGGTTAGTGTTGTACCAGGGTTAGTTAGTGTTGTACAAAGGTTGGTTAGTGTTGTACCAGGGTTGGTTAGTGTTGTGTTGTACAAAGGTTGGTTAGTGTTGTACAAAGGTTGGTTAGTGTTGTACAAAGGTTGGTTAGTGTTGTACAAAGGTTGGTTAGTGTTGCACCAGGGTTGGTTAGGGTTGTACCAGGGTTGGTTAGTGTTGTGTTGTACAAAGGTTGGTTAGTGTTGTGTTGTACAAAGGTTGGTTAGTGTTGTACCAGGGTTGGTTAGTGTTGTACCAGGGTTGGTTAGTGTTGTACCAGGGTTGGTTAGTGTTGTACCAGGGTTGGTTAGTGTTGTACCAGGGTTGGTTAGTGTTGTGTTGTACTGAGGTTAGTGTTGCACCAGGGTTGGTTAGTGTTGTACCAGGGTTGGTTAGTGTTGTACCAGGGTTGGTTAGTGTTGTACCAGGGTTGGTTAGTGTTGTACCAGGGTTGGTTAGTGTTGTGTTGTACTGAGGTTAGTGTTGCACCAGGGTTGGTTAGTGTTGTGTTGTACAAAGGTTGGTTAGTGTTGTACAAAGGTTGGTTAGTGTTGTACAAAGGTTGGTTAGTGTTGTACAAAGGTTGGTTAGTGTTGCACCAGGGTTGGTTAGGGTTGTACCAGGGTTGGTTAGTGTTGTGTTGTACAAAGGTTGGTTAGTGTTGTACAAAGGTTGGTTAGTGTTGTACCAGGGTTGGTTAGTGTTGTACCAGGGTTGGTTAGTGTTGTACCAGGGTTGGTTAGTGTTGTACCAGGGTTGGTTAGTGTTGTACCAGGGTTGGTTAGTGTTGTGTTGTACTGAGGTTAGTGTTGCACCAGGGTTGGTTAGTGTTGTACCAGGGTTGGTTAGTGTTGTACCAGGGTTGGTTAGTGTTGTACCAGGGTTGGTTAGTGTTGTACCAGGGTTGGTTAGTGTTGTGTTGTACTGAGGTTAGTGTTGCACCAGGGTTGGTTAGTGTTGTGTTGTACAAAGGTTGGTTAGTGTTGTACCAAGGTTGGTTAGTGTTGTACCAGGGTTGGTTAGTGTTGTGTTGTACTGAGGTTAGTGTTGTACCAGGGTTGGTTAGTGTTGTGTTGTACCAGGGTTGGTTAGTGTTGTACCAAGGTTGGGTTAGTGTTGTACCAGAGTTAGTGTTGTGCCAAGGTTGGTTAGTGTTGTGTTGTACCAAGGTTGGTTAGTGTTGCACCAGAGTAGGTTAGTTTTGTACCAAGGTTGTTTAGTGTGTTGGATAGTTTTTGAGATGTGTCTATTGTCCTCAGCACACCTGGCCTGCTGAAGCAGTTTATTGAAGATCTTCACTCTGGCAAACTTCATAGAGAATTTCATCATGGGCCAGACCCTACCACACAAGCAGCTGTAGTCATTCAAGCAGATGATGATACGGTGAGTAGATGAACAGAGGGTTGTGTAAGCACTCTATTTAAAATGATGCTGCACCATCATTGGGGCTGCCTGAATTTAAAATGATGCTACACCATCATTGGGGCTGCCTGAATTTAAAATGATGCTGCACCATCATTGGGGCTGCCTGAATTTAAAATGATGCTGCACCATCATTGGGGCTGCCTGAATTTAAAATGATGCTGCACCATCATTGGGGCTGCCTGAATTTAAAATGATGCTGCACCATCATTGGGGCTGCCTGAATTTAAAATGTCACTGACGCTGTAGCTAACAGCACCAGTCAATTGATAACTGTGTGCTTTGATAAGACAATCATTAGACACGATGTATCACCCAATGTACCAGTCAATTGATAACTGTGTGCTTTGATAAGACAATCATTAGACACGATGTATCACCCAATGTACCAGTCAATTGATAACTGTGTGCTTTGATAAGACAATCATTAGACACGATGTATCACCCAATGTACCAGTCAATTGATAACTGTGTGCTTTGATAAGACAATCATTAGACAAGATGTATCAGCCAATGCACCAGTCAATTGATAACTGTGTGCTTTGATAAGACAATCATTAGACACGATGTATCAGCCAATGAGCTAGCCACTCTGTCACCCACCTTCCCAGCATCTATTTCTAGCAGGTGCTAGTCAACTTTATTGTCTGAGCCTGCAAATAGCCTCAATTTTTTTTTTATTTAAGAAAGTTTAACATTTTTTTTTCCATTTTGTAAGAAATAAAGAGGCAAATTTATTTGGTCTATTTTCCTAAGTGAACATGTACCAGGTATAAAAATATTGTCAGTAACAGACACTACCACTCTATTTTACTCACTATTTGCATGAAAAAGTTTATTGTAGAGAAGGGGTTGGGTGGCTGTGGACTGAACATTTTGATGACATTTGTGTTGTGACTTTGGCTATTATATTAATGACAATGTGGGTTGGTGGAAAAAATTCTGCTGATTAGCATGTTGTCATTGGCTGACAGCTGGCAGGCTGTGAAATATACACTAGATGACAGTATCAGTGTGGCAAGTGCTTACATCTCTGTTTTGGTGGGTGGTTACATCTCTGTTTTGGTGGGTGCTTACATCTCTGTTTTGGTGGGTGCTTACATCTCTGTTTTGGTGGGTGCTTACATCTCTGTTTTGGTGGGTGCTTACATCTCTGTTTTGGTGGGTGCTTACATCTCTGTTTTGGTGGGTGCTTACATCTCTGTTTTGGTGGGTGCTTACATCTCTGTTTTGGTGGGTGCTTACATCTCTGTTTTGGTGGGTGCTTACATCTCTGTTTTGGTGGGTGCTTACATCTCTGTTTTGGTGGATTTTTTGGTCTGTCAATCTATGTGGCTAGCAGCATCTATGACTTTCTGTCACAGATTGAGTTAGTTAAACATGTAACATGTTGAGTCAATGATGACTTTCTGTCACAGATTGAGTTAGTTAAACATATAACATGTTGATTCAATGATGACTTTCTGTCACAGATTGAGTTAGTTAAATATGTAACATGTTGAGTCAATGATGACTTTCTGTCACAGATTGAGTTAGTTAAACATGTAACATGTTGAGTCAATGATGACTTTCTGTCACAGATTGAGTTAGTTAAACATATAACATGTTGATTCAATGATGACTTTCTGTCACAGATTGAGTTAGTTAAACATATAACATGTTGAGTCAATAATTACTTTCTGTCACAGATTGAGTTAGTTAAACATATAACATGTTGAGTCAATGATGACTTTCTGTCACAGATTGAGTTAGTTAAACATATAACATGTTGATTCAATGATGACTTTCTGTCACAGATTGAGTTAGTTAAATATGTAACATGTTGATTCAATGATGACTTTCTGTCACAGATTGAGTTAGTTAAATATGTAACATGTTGATTCAATGATGACTTTCTGTCACAGATTGAGTTAGTTAAACATATAACATGTTGAGTCAATGATGACTTTCTGTCACAGATTGAGTTAAACATGTAACATGTTGAGTCAATGATGACTTTCTGTCACAGATTTAGTTAGTTAAACATGTAACATGTTGAGTCAATGATGACTTTCTGTCACATATTGAGTTAGTTAAACATGTAACATGTTGAGTCAATGATGACTTTCTGTCACAGATTGAGTTAGTTAAACATATATCATGTTGATTCAATGTTGACTTTCTGTCACAGATTGAGTTAAACATGTAACATGTTGAGTCAATGATGACTTTCTGTCACAGATTGAGTTAGTTAAACATATATTATGTTGATTCAATGTTGACTTTCTGTCACAGATTGAGTTAAACATGTAACATGTTGAGTCAATGATGACTTTCTGTCACAGATTGAGTTAAACATGTAACATGTTGAGTCAATGATGACTTTCTGTCACAGATTGAGTTAAACATATAACATGTTGAGTCAATGATGACTTTCTGTCACAGATTGAGTTAGTTAAACATATATCATGTTGATTCAATGATGACTTTCTGTCACAGATTGAGTTAGTTAAACATATAAAATGTTGAGTCAATGTCACTACTTTTTTTTTCAGCAGAAAAACATTCCCAGGGACACAAGTGATGAACCCAGAGAACCTGCACCTCAAAAGATCACATCACCACCAGAGTCCACATTTAAAAAGCTGGCACCTTCACGAAACAGATACACAATATTACGAGATGAGCTGTAAACATATGTAGATGCCTGATCTTAAGCACATATACTGTAACAGTATATTTGATATTTTGTAACAATGACAGTACTAAATGTTGAATGAAATATTTGATTAAGTAAATGTTCTACTATTTATTCTAGTAGGCTGAATGGTTAACAGTTTTAACTTGTAGAACAGAGTTCAAGGTCAAAGTGACCACATATTTACTGCTGTTTGAGGTGACTTCTTAGACATGACCTACTCTGGGCTGACTTGTTAGACATGACCTACTCTGTTTGAGATGACTTGTTAGACATGACCTACTCTGTTTGAGCTGACTTGTTAGACATGACCTACTCTGTTTGAGGTGACTTGTTAGACATGACCTACTCTGTTTGAGCTGACTTGTTAGACATGACCTACTCTGGGCTGACTTGTTAGACATGACCTACTCTGGGCTGACTTGTTAGACATGACCTACTCTGTTTGAGATGACTTGTTAGACATGACCTACTCTGTTTGAGATGACTTGTTAGACATGACCTACTCTGTTTGAGCTGACTTGTTAGACATGACCTACTCTGTTTGAGCTGACTTGTTAGACATGACCTACTCTGGGCTGACTTGTTAGACATGACCTACTCTGGGCTGACTTGTTAGACATGACCTACTCTGGGCTGACTTGTTAGACATGACCTACTCTGTTTGAGGTGACTTGTTAGACATGACCTACTCTGTTTGAGGTGACTTGTTAGACATGACCTACTCTGTTTGAGGTGACTTGTTAGACATGACCTACTCTGGGCTGACTTGTTAGACATGACCTACTCTGGGCTGACTTGTTAGACATGACCTACTTTGGGCTGACTTGTTAGACATGACCTACTCTGTTTGAGGTGACTTGTTAGACATGACCTACTCTGTTTGAGGTGACTTGTTAGACATGACCTACTCTGTTTGAGGTGACTTGTTAGACATGACCTACTCTGGGCTGACTTGTTAGACATGACCTACTCTGGGCTGACTTGTTAGACATGACCTACTCTGGGCTGACTTGTTAGACATGACCTACTCTGTTTGAGCTAACTTGTTAGACATGACCTACTCTGTTTGAGGTGACTTGTTAGACATGACCTACTCTGGGCTGACTTGTTAGACATGACCTACTCTGTTTGAGCTAACTTGTTAGACATGACCTACTCTGTTTGAGGTGACTTGTTAGACATGACCTACTCTGTTTGAGGTGACTTGTTAGACATGACCTACTCTGGGCTGACTTGTTAGACATGACCTACTCTGGGCTGACTTGTTAGACATGACCTACTCTGGGCTGACTTGTTAGACATGACCTACTCTGTTTGAGCTGACTTGTTAGACATGACCTACTCTGTTTGAGGTGACTTGTTAGACATGACCTACTCTGGGCTGACTTGTTAGACATGACCTACTCTGTTTGAGCTAACTTGTTAGACATGACCTACTCTGTTTGAGGTGACTTGTTAGACATGACCTACTCTGGGCTGACTTGTTAGACATGACCTACTCTGTTTGAGCTAACTTGTTAGACATGACCTACTCTGTTTGAGGTGACTTGTTAGACATGACCTACTCTGTTTGAGCTGACTTGTTAGACATGACCTACTCTGTTTGAGGTGACTTGTTAGACATGACCTACTCTGGGCTGACTTGTTAGACATGACCTACTCTGGGCTGACTTGTTAGACATGACCTACTCTGTTTGAGGTGACTTGTTAGACATGACCTACTCTGTTTGAGGTGACTTGTTAGACATGACCTACTCTGTTTGAGGTGACTTGTTAGACATGACCTACTCTGGGCTGACTTGTTAGACATGACCTACTCTGGGCTGACTTGTTAGACATGACCTACTCTGGGCTGACTTGTTAGACATGACCTACTATGTTTGAGCTGACTTGTTAGACATGACCTACTCTGGGCTGACTTGTTAGACATGACCTACTCTGTTTGAGCTAACTTGTTAGACATGACCTACTCTGTTTGAGCTAACTTGTTAGACATGACCTACTCTGGGCTGACTTGTTAGACATGACCTACTATGTTTGGGCTGACTTGTTAGACATGACCTACTATGTTTGGGCTGACTTGTTAGACATGACCTACTCTGGGCTGACTTGTTAGACATGACCTACTCTGTTTGAGCTAACTTGTTAGACATGACCTACTCTGGACTGACTTGTTAGACATGACCTACTATGTTTGGGCTGACTTGTTAGACATGACCTACTATGTTTGGGCTGACTTGTTAGACATGACCTACTCTGGGTTGACTTGTTAGACATGACCTACTATGTTTGGGCTGACTTGTTAGACATGACCTACTCTGTTTGAGCTAACTTGTTAGACATGACCTACTCTGTTTGAGGTGACTTGTTAGACATGACCTACTCTGGGCTGACTTGTTAGACATGACCTACTCTGGGCTGACTTGTTAGACATGACCTACTCTGGGCTGACTTGTTAGACATGACCTACTCTGGGCTGACTTGTTAGACATGACCTACTCTGTTTGAGGTGACTTGTTAGACATGACCTACTCTGTTTGAGGTGACTTGTTAGACATGACCTACTCTGTTTGAGGTGACTTGTTAGACATGACCTACTCTGGGCTGACTTGTTAGACATGACCTACTCTGGGCTGACTTGTTAGACATGACCTACTCTGGGCTGACTTGTTAGACATGACCTACTCTGTTTGAGCTAACTTGTTAGACATGACCTACTCTGTTTGAGGTGACTTGTTAGACATGACCTACTCTGGGCTGACTTGTTAGACATGACCTACTCTGTTTGAGCTAACTTGTTAGACATGACCTACTCTGTTTGAGGTGACTTGTTAGACATGACCTACTCTGTTTGAGGTGACTTGTTAGACATGACCTACTCTGGGCTGACTTGTTAGACATGACCTACTCTGGGCTGACTTGTTAGACATGACCTACTCTGGGCTGACTTGTTAGACATGACCTACTCTGTTTGAGCTGACTTGTTAGACATGACCTACTCTGTTTGAGGTGACTTGTTAGACATGACCTACTCTGGGCTGACTTGTTAGACATGACCTACTCTGTTTGAGCTAACTTGTTAGACATGACCTACTCTGTTTGAGGTGACTTGTTAGACATGACCTACTCTGGGCTGACTTGTTAGACATGACCTACTCTGTTTGAGCTAACTTGTTAGACATGACCTACTCTGTTTGAGGTGACTTGTTAGACATGACCTACTCTGTTTGAGCTGACTTGTTAGACATGACCTACTCTGTTTGAGGTGACTTGTTAGACATGACCTACTCTGGGCTGACTTGTTAGACATGACCTACTCTGGGCTGACTTGTTAGACATGACCTACTCTGTTTGAGGTGACTTGTTAGACATGACCTACTCTGTTTGAGGTGACTTGTTAGACATGACCTACTCTGTTTGAGGTGACTTGTTAGACATGACCTACTCTGGGCTGACTTGTTAGACATGACCTACTCTGGGCTGACTTGTTAGACATGACCTACTCTGGGCTGACTTGTTAGACATGACCTACTATGTTTGAGCTGACTTGTTAGACATGACCTACTCTGGGCTGACTTGTTAGACATGACCTACTCTGTTTGAGCTAACTTGTTAGACATGACCTACTCTGTTTGAGCTAACTTGTTAGACATGACCTACTCTGGGCTGACTTGTTAGACATGACCTACTATGTTTGGGCTGACTTGTTAGACATGACCTACTATGTTTGGGCTGACTTGTTAGACATGACCTACTCTGGGCTGACTTGTTAGACATGACCTACTCTGTTTGAGCTAACTTGTTAGACATTACCTACTCTGGACTGACTTGTTAGACATGACCTACTATGTTTGGGCTGACTTGTTAGACATGACCTACTATGTTTGGGCTGACTTGTTAGACATGACCTACTCTGGGTTGACTTGTTAGACATGACCTACTATGTTTGGGCTGACTTGTTAGACATGACCTACTCTGTTTGAGCTAACTTGTTAGACATGACCTACTCTGTTTGAGGTGACTTGTTAGACATGACCTACTCTGGGCTGACTTGTTAGACATGACCTACTCTGGGCTGACTTGTTAGACATGACCTACTCTGGGCTGACTTGTTAGACATGACCTACTCTGGGCTGACTTGTTAGACATGACCTACTCTGTTTGAGGTGACTTGTTAGACATGACCTACTCTGTTTGAGCTGACTTGTTAGACATGACCTACTCTGTTTGAGCTGACTTGTTAGACATGACCTACTCTGGGCTGACTTGTTAGACATGACCTACTCTGGGCTGACTTGTTAGACATGACCTACTATGTTTGGGCTGACTTGTTAGACATGACCTACTCTGTTTGAGCTGCCTTGTTATCTAGTTATAAAACTGTAACAAATTATTTCAGTATCCAAATATAAAACAGTAGCAGATGATTTGAGTATCTAAATATAAACTAGCATTATCTAAAAATAAAAACTGTAGCTGTATGGTTGGCTTTACGCTCATTATGCTGCATGTGACTACAAAAAGAATCCTTTTCTTTCTGTACATAAATGATTTGTTTACTAATAATCTGCTCCAATTTTTGCTGAATTTTTTAAATGAGGTGGGGGGGGGGGGGGGGTGTTGTCTTTTAAATCTTAATTTTTGTGAACATCATAAATTGATGTGCGTAACATCATAAATTGATGTTGTAACATCATAAATTGATGTTGTAACATCATAAATTGATGTTGTAACATCATAAATTGATGTTGTAACATCACAAATTGATGTTGTAACATCATGAATTGATGTTGTAACATCATGAATTGATGTTGTCTGTCTGTCAACATGAGCTGCTACTAGAGTCTCCCTTTCTCTCCTGTGTCCGTGTTGTATGGTTCTACAGCTATGTCTGAGTCATATGGTTCCAAAGCTATGTTGTATGGTTTCACAGCTATGTCTGAGTCGTATGGTTCCACAGCTATGTCTGAGTCGTATGGTTCTACAGCTTTGTCTGAGTTGTATGGTTCCACAGCTATGTCTGAGTCGTATGGTTCCACAGCTATGTCTGAGTTGTATGGTTCCACAGCTATGTCTGAGTCGTATGGTTCCACAGCTATGTCTGAGTCGTATGGTTCCACAGCTATGTCTGAGTCGTATGGTTCCACAGCTATGTCTGAGTCGTATGGTTCCACAGCTATGTCTGAGTCGTATGGTTCCACAGCTATGTCTGAGTTGTATGGTTCCACAGCTATGTCTGAGTCGTATGGTTCCACAGCTATGTCTGAGTCGTATGGTTCCACAGCTATGTCTGAGTCGTATGGTTCCACAGCTATGTCCCTGTCATATGGTTCCACAGCTATGTCCCTGTCATATGGTTCCACAGCTATGTCTGAGTCGTATGGTTCCACAGCTATGTCTGAGTCGTATGGTTCCACAGCTATGTCTGAGTCGTATGGTTCCACAGCTATGTCCCTGTCATATGGTTCCACAGCTATGTCTGAGTCGTATGGTTCCACAGCTATGTCTGAGTTGTATGGTTCCACAGCTATGTCTGAGTTGTATGGTTCCACAGCTATGTCTGAGTCGTATGGTTCCACAGCTATGTCTGAGTCGTATGGTTCCACAGCTATGTCTGAGTCGTATGGTTCCACAGCTATGTCTGAGTCGTATGGTTCCACAGCTATGTCTGAGTCGTATGGTTCCACAGCTATGTCTGAGTCGTATGGTTCCACAGCTATGTCTGAGTCGTATGGTTCCACAGCTATGTCCCTGTCATATGGTTCTACAAGAAAACTTTTTTTTTTGTGAATTTATTTTTGAAAAGTTTTTGTTACATTGACTTTCTGGGATTTTGTGGTCATTTTATTTATTGCTTCTTTTTTTCACATGGCGAAAATCAAACGCTGTCATTGTAACATTGTTAATGTGACATTGGTGTGTGTAGACCTACATGCACTGTGTATGAGGGGTTGTGTGGTGACGTGGGTGGGGGAACAATGTATGTGTGTGCAGTGATCCATTGACCATCTAATGACTCCTAATGTGATTTTGTTCATGAAGACCAACATTTTTAATATATTTCAAGGTAAAAAATATTTTAAACTATTTTTATTTAAAAAATATTTTAAACTATTTTTATTATTGGTGAAAAAGTTGTTTTAAAAATGTGTAATTTAATTTTTGCAACTAGCGTTTTTGTTAGCGCTAATGTTAAAGCTATTTGCCGATTTGGTGGAGCAAACGTTTTCTTGATCAGTTTTTTCTTGGATTAAAACATGTTGATACAATTGAGAAGTGTCGGGTGAGGTGTGTCCATTGTAATCGTGTCTACAAGGTCAAGGCCAACAGGTCAACCACCCCTGGTCTGCTCCTACTGCCTGATGTTCCATTCTAATGCCCACAAGTGTTGGCTGGTGTATTCTATCCAGTCTCACTCTCCTCAATGATGGGAGTCAACTCTCCTCATACAAGTTAACACCAGGCGGTTAAAGCTCTACCATTTGTCAAGTGTTGCCTCGAGTTCTACCATTTTTTTTAGTTCGCAAGTAGGTTTGTGGCAAATCGTGTAACCCAATTTTTATTCACTTCTAATGCAGCGATTTTGTTCATACTTTCAAGACATGATCCAATTTGATGACATTACAAGTCCATCTTTTTAAAAATTTAATTAGAAGCATAATTTGTCATTAAAATTCATGAAATGAATTTGAAACTAAGGAGAGATATCAAAATTAGATCACTCGACAGATTATGCAATAACAGAACGGAAGATAACTAGCTAGACACGAACACACTAACAGATGAGCTGTGGTTTACAATCTGAGCAGTTTTTCTTGACTTTTTTCTACGGAAGGAAAGTGGGGGGGGGGGGAGGATTATAAACAGGCATGCACAACAGACCATATCGCTATCACCCCCTCCAGTCTGGTGAGCTGCGTTTCACGCAGAATGTTTACAATCGTGAATTAGTGACGGCTATTAGGGGCAGATAATTTAGTTTTTAAATGATTTGAAACTAAGGGGAGGTAGCAAGTTCTTCTTGATCTTTCCATTGTCGTCTGTAAAATGTCACGGACGGCTGCTTTCACGAAGGGGGGGGGGGGGGGTGGATAATCCTCCTTCACGAGCTACTGATAGTGTTTTAAAGAAAATATTTTCAGTCGCAGCATTGGCAGTGACGAATTCACAAATTGTGAATCATTGAAAAGTAGAAAATAAAACAACTAAATAGCGGTGTACACTACGCTGCGGGTCGGCTCGTTTTATTTATTATCCCCGAAGAAAAGTCTGGGCTTTCTCCCAGAGGCGTACATTTAAAATGTTATCTGGCAAGCGTAGTAGAGGGGTTGGTGGTCGGTCAATTTTCATCACGACGTGGATAAAAGACGGCTCTAGAAGCGCAACACCATTATGGATCATTCATATGGTTATATTAAGAATAGCCTTTCTAGGAAGGAACAAAAAATGGAACACACGAATAAAAACCTAAACAATCAAATGTATTTGTTCCTTTTTTTTAAATCTATAATATAAGGCTGGTGATAGTGTGTCAATCCTTCCATCATCGCTATAGATTTTGGAACCATAAAAAGTAGGCTATATTTCAACACTTTTTTTTTTCCTTTTCTTTCTTAAAATAAAAAAAAAATTCAACACAAGCATCGCATTTTCTTTTAATTAGAAATAGAGTATGGTTTATTTATATAGCGACTTAAATTGTTTTTATAGTTGACACAGTTTTTACTCTTTTGCATAACGTGTAGAAAATAATAAATACACATACATTGCTAAAGTATATTAAACGAATGAAAGTCAAATCATATTTTTGCTTAGATTCCCAGAAAAAAATGGATACATTTTAATAACAGTAGGCTAAAAAAGGGTAGTTAATTAAAATGTTTAATACTTATGCCAAGGGAGGTAATTTAAAAAGAAATTCAACTCAATCTACTAAAAAATGTGAATGAAAATTCTGCTGACGTCCAAGAAGATATTATTGTTGGAATAGTATTATAATTAGTATGGATTGATACAGTTCACTGTGGTAGGTAAAACACGGATATTTTAAATACTGCCTTTTGTTTATTATATGGATGAGTTGGGGTATTTTATAGTTGTTTACTAAGTTGGATCAGGCAGTTGCGCCGGCGCCCGGCAGGGTGTGATTTGGCACACCGGGATAGTCTGTGAGCACTATTCGTTTAAATTTTCAATTAAGTTGTGTATGTAGTTATGCGTTTGCGTTTTGGTTGTTTGCGTTTGTTTTTTTCTTTTGTGTTTGCATGTTGCATTTGTGTTTTCGTTTGTGTTGTTTATTGCGTATGCATTTGTGTTTTCATTGTGTTTGTATTTTCATTGTATTTGGTTTTGCGTTTTCTTTTGTGTTTGTGTTTTATTTTGTGTTTGCGTTGTGTTTATGTTTTGTTTGGTTATGTTCCCAAGTTAATACATTTTAAAACAATTCACCGTGGCGGAGCACGGGCATGCAGCTAGTACATTATATGTTAAAGTTTCATCTTTAGTTTTATAAATTGGTATGAATGTAGCAGATTTGACAGATACATTAAAACTCTATCGTAGATTGGGTTGATCATGAGCTAATGTGTTGGGTGGATCATGAGATCATATGTAGAGTGGATCATGATGTACAGGCCAATGAATGTAGGGCTACAGATGTACTCGCCAGTGGATGTAGGGCTACAGATGTACTGGCCAGTGAATGTAGGGCTACAGTTGTACAGACCAATGGATGTAGGGCTACAGATGTACTGGCCAGTGGATGTAGGGCTACAGATGTACTGGCCAGTGGATGTAGGGCTACAGATGTACTGGCCAGTAGATGTAGGGCTACAGATGTACTGGCCAGTGGATGTAGGGTTACAGATGTACTGGCCAGTGGATGTAGGGCTACAGTTGTACAGACCAATGGATGTAGGGCTACAGATGTACTGGCCAGTGGATGTAGGGCTACAGATGTACTGGCCAGTGGATGTAGGGCTACAGATGTACTGGCCAGTGGATGTAGGGCTACAGATGTACTGGCCAGTGGATGTAGGGCTACAGTTGTACAGACCAATGGATGTAGGGCTACAGATGTACTGGCCAGTGGATGTAGGGCTACAGATGTACTGGCCAGTGGATGTAGGGCTACAGTTGTACAGACCAATGGATGTAGGGCTACAGATGTACTGGCCAGTGGATGTAGGGCTACAGATGTACTGGCCAGTGGATGTAGGGCTACAGTTGTACAGACCAATGGATGTAGGGCTACAGATGTACTGGCCAGTGGATGTAGGGCTACAGATGTACTGGCCAGTGGATGTAGGGCTACAGATGTACTGGCCAGTAGATGTAGGGCTACAGATGTACTGGCCAGTGGATGTAGGGCTACAGATGTACTGGCCAGTGGATGTAGGGCTACAGTTGTACAGACCAATGGATGTAGGGCTACAGATGTACTGGCTAGTGGATGTAGGGCTACAGATGTACTGGCCAGTGGATGTAGGGCTACAGATGTACGGGTACACCAAGGATTAATCTGCGAATGGAGGTGGTTGTGGAGGCATGCTCGTGTTTGATGACGTTTAGCACGAGCGTGGCATCGAGCGTCGTATGGAGACCAGACGAGATGGTGAACACTTCCTGTTTGCTGATTTCACATCGACGACAACTCAACACACTCTTCAGCTAAAAAAGAAAAGAAAATAAATCAGTCAGACATCCGGTCATACACATCAGTCATTTTTTTTATGAACCGCCGCGGAAGTGTATACGTGCAGATGTTAACTGACAGATGGATGCAGATTTTAACTAACAGAACGCTTCCCCTGACCCATAATGTTATAACTTTACTTAATACACCTGTGTTGCCTTGTGACGTTTAGCCATGCCTTCAATGACTGACGTTGATTGGAAAACCTGATTTCATTATTAGATCAGAGTAAATTTTAACATCAGAATATATGAGGGGAGTAAGTTGCAATGGGAGAAGATGGGAAAATCGAGATGCATAAGATAGGTGTGTTGGTGTGGGACTGGTGGTGTGGTATGGGACTTGTGGTGTGCTGTGGGACTTGTGGATGGGTGTGAGGGACTTGAAATTTGGTGTGGCATTGTGGGCATATTGATGTGAGACTGGAGGTGAGTTGGTATTGGGCAGTGGCGGGGGGGGGGGGATTACACCTTGACGTAAACCTGCTAACAATAGAGAAAACAATTCCACATCCAGCCGTATGAATAACCTACTATTTATTAATCTACCGTAATTTAATTTTTGTGAATATTCATATTCACACCAAAGTGCTACCGACACCCGCGCGTAATATTCACATCCACACCGTGGCGAAGCACAGGTATGCAGCTAGTCTATAATAAAACGCTGCTGGTAGTATGTCAGTCATGCCGTCATCGCTATAGATTTTGGAACTATGTGGAAGTCTTTCCCTGGGCGCGGACGGCCGGGTAAACGTGTTGTTTGGCGCTGAAGGAATATTCGCACCCACGCGCAAACCCTGAGGTAATTTCCATATTTTCACCAGTGTTTCTTCCAGACTTTTTTCTCCGGGGGGCACTTGAAATTTTCGGGGGGGGGGGGGGGGCGGACACTGTTAAAAATATATTTTTTCTATATAAATTATATAAATTTCACTTCGTTCGGGGGGGGGGGGGGCGGTAACATTTTTTCCGGGGGGGGGGGCTCCGCCTTCCCGAAGAGATGCCTGGAAGAAACTCTGATTTTCACTATGGCGAAGCACGGGTATACGCGCAGCGCTGGAGGAATAAAAATGACTCACCGTGGCGGAGCACGGGTATGCAGCTAGTCTATAATATAACGCTGGTAGTAGTGCGTCAGTCCTCGTGTCATCGCTATAGCCTTTGGAAACATAAACATCGCACCATGCAGTGCTTTTCAATGCATCGCATTGTCTTATTATAAATTATAGAGTAGGGTTTCTTTATATAACGACTTAAATTTATTTTATAGTTGCAACTGTTTTTACTGTTTTGCATAACGTAAAGAAAATATTAAATACACGCACATTGCTAATACATATTAAAAGGATCAATGTAACATATCATTTTCGTTTAGATTCCTGGAAAAAGTAGATACATTTCAATAATTATAGGGTCGAAAGAACGAATTAATTCAATTGTTTTGTAATTTTCCAAGAGAGGTAATTTAAACATAAATTCAACTCACGCTAATTCAAATAAACCGGGAGTGATCTCCCCTAAATTTTCTCGAATATTCTTATATAAAACAGGGGTTGGGAACGTGGGATATAGACATGATTTTTAATCCATTTTAAATACTTAAACTTTTAAAAATAGAATAAAATCTCGTAGAAAAAGAATTGCACACTAAATGAACGCCAAATAAAATGTGCATAATAGTGCGCAATATTATTAGTACTTTATAAATTTACATTAGTTTTTTGAGAAATCGGAAATAGCGTAAATTAGTACTTCCGGTCAACGGAAATTACTCAAAATTTAACAGAAGGTAGAAAATTAGATCTTTTACTTACATGTGAAATTTCATTTATCTATCTGAAATAGTACTTAAGTTATAAGCTTTTGAAACATTCAAAGTAGAAAAAGTACCACTTCTGGTTGATATGGATCTACGATTTTGATAAAATACTTATATATGAAATTTCATCAACTTAGCTGTAACGGTACTTAAGTTATCGTGTTTACACACAGACAGACAGACCCCCCCCCCCCCCCCACACACACACACACATAAATGCAGTAGTAATTAAAATAATTGACCCGCGGCGTCATCTAAACCGCCGCCGAACAACACGTTTTTCCCGGGCGTCCGCGCCCATGGTGGTGTGAATATGGGGTTCCCATAAAGAAGCGCAACGGAAAAAAGCGCAAAAAAACCTAACAACAAACCCAACCACAACCACAAACACCAATACAAACACGAAGAAAAAACAAACAAAAAAGCAAACGAAAACAAAAACCTAACAACAAACCCAACCACAACCACAAACACCAATACGAAAACAAAGAAAAAAAACGAAAAAGCAAACGAAAACAAACCAAATCTAAACGGAAACGCAAAACCAACGACAAACACAAACCCAAAGAAAAAAACAAATGAAAAAGCAAACGAAAACAAACCAAATACAAACGCAAAACCAACCACAAACCCAAAGAAAAAACACAAACGAAAACGAAAAAAGAAAGAACGAAAACGAACCAAAACGCAACCACTAACGCAAAACCAACCTAAACACAAAGAAAACACTAACGCGTACATAAACGCAAAGTGCTCACAGTCTAGCCCGGGGCGGAATCGCCTGTTTCAGCTTAATAAACGACTATAGTACCCCAACTTATTCATAGTCTTTTGCACTCACTTAAACGAACGTAGGCGCCAAACCGAACACGTGAGGCCCGGGGCCCCAAATAGCACCCTGTCTGGGCACCATAAGACGCCCGGATTCGATTCACTTAAAGTCTATAGTAGCCTTTCTTATCCATACTCTATCGCACTGTTTAAAGCGAAATTATGCACCATAGCGCTCACAGGATAGCCCAGAGCGCCAAATTGAACCCTGGTGGGGCGCCGGCGGACGCGAGTGTTTCAATTTAATGAACAATTATAATACTCCAAGCTTAACTGTAAAATACCTACAACATTTGCACTTGATCAATCCCCGCTAATTATATAATTATTTTTTTCCCAACACCAAAACAAAGTAATAAAAAGTAAATTCTTTTCCACTAATGCAATGTTTTATAAAGGGAAGTAATTGTGTTTTCCTAATTTATCAAAGGGAAGTAAGTGCTAAAGGACTAAGTATAAATAATTTTCAGACATAATTAGAATTTTTGTAAAAGATGATATTTTTTTAAAATTGTGTTTAATGAACATGCCGACAATTATTTCTATGAGTTTGAAAAATGAAAATTATTTCCCAACACTTTAAATAGTAATTTTTTAACTCATAAATTTAGACTATGAGCACGATAATAATCTAACACTTAAATCCATCGAAGTATGTCCACGACAAACAAACTTATTACATGTTACATACAGAATTGAGCTTTATATATTAGACTAGCCGTCCCGGCCAGGCCCTGCTCTGGCTTCTGTGAAAAACCTTTCTGTTAAAGACCATTACCTGTGTGTTTAGTAATCATCATAAACCCGGCATTGCCCACCCAAACCACAACCAACCAAAACCAAAACAACAAAACGCAAACATAACGCTAACACAATTACAAATACAAACGAAAACAAAAACTTAACAACAAACACAACCACACCCACAAACACCAATACAAACACAAAGAAAACACAAACAAAAAAGCAAACGAAAACAAAAACCTAACAACAAACCCAACCACAAACACCAATACCAACAAAAAAAAAATCAACGAAAAAAGCAAACGAAAACAAACCAAATCCAAACGCAAAACCAACCAAAAACACAAATACAAACCCAAACAAAAAAAACACAAACAAAAACGAAAAAAGAAAGAACAAAAACGAACCAAATTAAAACGCAACCACTAACGCAAACCCACCTAAACACAAAGAAAACACTAACGCGAACATAAACGCCCGGGGCGGAATCACCTGTTTTAGCTTAATGAACGACTATAGTACCCCAACTTATTCACAGTCTTTTGCACTCACTTAAACGAACGCGCCTGTTTCAATTTAATAAACAATTTTAATACTCCAAGCTTATCCGTAAAATACCTACAACATTTGCACTTGATCAATCCCCGCTAATTATGTAATTATTTTTTTTCCCAACACCAAAACAAAGTAATTAAAAAGTAAATTATTTTCACGGAATGCAATGGTTTTATAAAGGGAAGTAATTGTGTTTTTCCTAATTTATCAAAGGGAAGTAAGTGCTATAGGACTAAATAAAGACATAATTAGAATTTTTGTAAAAGATGATATTTTTTTTAAAACTTGTGTTTAATGAACATGCCAACAATTATTACTATAATTTGAAAAATGAAAATTATTTCCCAACACTTTCAACAGTAATTTTTTAGCTCATAAATTTAGACAAATGCGCACGATAATTTTCTAACACTTAAATTCGTACACTTCCAACGACATACAAATGCATTACATACAGAACTGAGCTTTATATATTAGATTCGAGAAAGTTTAGGGGAGATCACTCCTGGTTTGTTTTGTTTTTCGGTGTTATTAAAACGGGTTGTGAAATTAGACTTTTATAGAATGTTGTAAAGACTCTGCCTGGGCGCGGACGCCTAGGAAAGCGTGTTGTTTGGCGGTGATTCTAATTACATTGCCAAAGTGAGTTTTTTAGAACCATAGAAGTAAACACCTTTTGCCGTACATTTACTTGCATCGCCATGTCTTATTGGAAGCTATTGAGTAGGATCTATTTATTGGACTTAAATATTTTTTATTGTTAACAAAGTTTTGACTTAAATTTTTTAAATTATTGATAGTTTTTACTCCTTTTCATACTATTTTTTTTTTGCTTTTGTGTTTTAGTTTTTGTTTGCGTCTCTTTACGATTTTGTTTTCTGTTATATTTGTGCTTGCGTTTATGTTTTTCGTTTTGTATTAGTTTGCGTTTGTTTTCTTTTGTGTTTGTATTTGTGTTTCCTTTTGTGTTTTGTGTTTACGTTTGCGTTCGTGTTTTCTTTTGTGTTTGAGTTGTGTTTGCGATTTTGAGTTTGCGTTTGGGTTGAGTTTGTGCTTTCTTTTGTGTTTGTATTTGTCTTTGGGTTTGTGATTGCGTATTGCGTTTGCGTTGTTTTTTTTTTGTTTGCGTTTGTTTTCCTTTGTATTTGTGTGTTTTTTTTCGGTTGGTATTTTTTAAAAGATTCACCGTGGCGAAGCACGGGTATGCATCTAGTGTTTGTATACAAAAATACGGTATCTGGTCTGATCGAACGGCCCTCCTGGATTTTCCCGACGGGTAGAATGTTTTTGTGCTACCTTCCCAGGTCGATCTACAACCTCATGGAGCGATATAGGGGGGTCGTCGACCGAAATTGATTTTCAATATATAGCTCACTAGCGTGCCTGTTCCCGCGCGTTGCTGCGGTCTCCAAATTAAGATGTAAGATTTTAAAAGGGTTTCATCATAGCGGTACCAATCCTCTATTCTTAGACGTGTGACACTGTTTTCTTACACTGAGCTATTTAACTAATGCTTGCGCTGTATTTCTTTGATCGTAATTGTCGTAGCAGGGGTATGCCCACACTCGTGTCGTGCTGTATGAAAGGCTTGAGTGTACGTTAACCACACTCTGTTATAGTGAGGTAGAACACACTTCGGCGATCGCCCAGGTGTTAGGGACGTACAGCGACGCTCTCGGAAGACCTCAGTTACATTATCGCTGGGACGCCGCGTACGGCCCTAGGCTCGGTTTAATCATCGAATTGTGTGAGCCACCTTGTCAATATTGTAGGCTGCTCTTTAAAACGAACGTAGGCGCCTTTGTTATGGGGATAGAAATAGCGATCGCGATAAAGATAGAGATAAGGATAGAGATAGAGATAGAGAAAGAGAGAAATATATATATATATATATATATATATATATATATATATATATATATATATATATATATATATATATATATATATATATATATATATATATATATATATATACATATATATGGTGCCGTTATGCAGAAGTTTGGATGGAGTTATGCTAAAGTTTGGGTAGAGATGCAGGATTTGGGTCGAGTTATGCAGAAAAAAGACCAACAAGTAACCTGCTCGCCCAGCTCATCATACAAAAATACGTCAAAATCAATTTCTGACTAAGCAGCAGAAACATCAATATTATTATTAGCCAGCCGGCAGAAACATACAAATCATTATTAGCTAGCCGGCAGGATCATCGATACCATTATTAGCAAGCCGGCAGAAACATGAACATTATTATTATTAGCAAGCGGCAGAATCATCAATATCATTAAGGCCGTTAGAAACGTCGATACCGTTTTTAATGGGCAAACTCACCTGAGAACGAAATGTCCGGTTGAAGAATATGATGATGATGGGGTTGATGACGCAACAAAGAAACGACAGCCAGACGAGAAACGTCAGGATGTTCGGGCCGGGCCAGTCGTTGTGCTTGTGGGTGATGTTGATGACGGAGAGGGGCAGGCACAGACAGGCGTAGCCGCATGTCACGACGAACAATGAACGCATGGCCCTCGATGTTTTCCTGTTGAATCCCCGCGCCCCAGACATGACCCCAGACACGACCCCGGGCATGACCCCGGGCATGACCCCGGGCATGACCCCGGGCATGACCCCGGGCATTATCTCTCCTGATGCGAGTGTAGATGTTGTCACTGGCAACGGTACAACAGAGAAGATCCTGTGGTGAGTCTTGAGCTCGCGGATGATCTGCAGGATAGAGAGGAGAATGACGGCGGCGGGCAGGAAGCTGCAGGCCAACTCCTTGACCAGAGGCTGCTCCTGGGCGCCGCTCCCCTGCAGGGTGCACGAGTAGTACGCCTCGTCGTAGCTATAGTTGCCCCACGACCACAGCGGCAACAGGCCCATGATGAGCGAGCCCAGCCAAATGAGAGCCAGCAGTGCGCATGCGCTCTTGACGGTCAGGATGTGCGAGTATCTCAAAGGTCTGCTGACCGCCAGACACCGGTCTAGACAGACGGCCATCAAACTGTAGGCACTAGAACTGCGTCCAATCGTCCTCATGCTGGCCGTCATTTGGCATGTCAGCTCAGAAAATGGCCATCTGCTGACCATAGCACTGGCTGCGGCGAACGGAATGGCAAAGACCCCGATGCTCATTTCTCCAACAGCCAATGACGCCATGAAGACGTTGGTCGGCGTCTGCAGGGCCCGGCTCTTGACTATGACGCCGATAAGTAGCGCGTTACAAGTCAGAGTCAGCAGCGAGATGACACCAGCGCTAAATGACAGCAAGATCCTGATGACATCTAGCTGTGTGACATCTAGCTGGTCTGACCAAGGCCCGATAGAGCTGTTGATCATGACATTGTCATCGACGTTTGTCCAAAGACATTTGATGTCACGTGATCAACACGTCATCTGGGGAAAAAAGCCTATGTTAATGTATGATTGTTTGTATCAACCTGTTTGACAACCTGTCTAGTGCTGATCTTGCATGATCCCATTATGACAAATAAAATAACAAATATAAAAATCCTTTATAGCAGGGGCTCCCAACCCCGTGCCCGCGGGCGCCATGGCGCCTGCCGAACGATTTGTATGTGCCCGCCTCTCACTATTCGACAGAGACAGAATTTTTTTCATAAACATTATTGAAAGGTTGAAGGGGATGGAAATCGAAAGTTTGAAAGGGGGGGGGGGAGTGCAAATCTAAAATTTGAGGGGGGGGGTGCAAATCAAAAGTTTGAGGGGGGGGGTGCAAATCGAAAGTTTTGTCCCCGGATGACGGGAAGGGTCGCTACGCCCCTGGAAGGAGTTTGTCGATTTAAAATAGGTGGTGCCCGCCACCCTACCGATATTTTAGAATGTGCTCTAGAGTAAATAAAAAAGGGTGGGAACCCCTTCTTTATAGCAACAAGCTTTGAAGTGCACTGAAAGTAAGAAAATAAAACTAATTTGCTATCTTTAATAAAAGCTATTGTTACTAGAACAAGTAAAAGATCTCATGAGTGACCAAAGGTTTTACTCTAGAAAACAAATTATTTTTCTTATTTTCAGTGCATTTAAAAGCTTGTTGTTATTAAGTTTTTTATATTCGTTAGTGATTCCTAATTTATGGAGTCGACACCACTAAAAATATTCACTCAAAACATCATCAGTAGCTCGCGATATCTGAAAGACGATTATATGCCGGTGAAAGCAGCAGTACGTGACCACAATTTAGAGACATCAGCAAGCTGATATTGTGAAGGATATTTTTTTTTATCTCCCCTTTGTTTCAAATCTTTAAAAACTTTATTAGCTGCCCCTAATAGCCTTCACTAGATCGACCACAGCTCACTAGACTGTTAGGGCCCAGGGGTCGGCAACCTGCGGCTCGCGAGCCGCATGCGGCTCTTTTGATGTCAAGTTGCGGCTCTTCAGCTCGATGCACAAATATTAAAAATTATTTTATTTTATTTTTAAAATTCATAAAAGTATTAGTCTGCAACACTCGGTAATGAAATATATAATAATAAATATAAACAATAAACACTCTATTTTTTTTAGAATATTTAGATCAATTACCGTAATATCACCGTTAATCACTCACCGCCTGAGTGTCGAGGACAGAAAGTGGCGCTCTCGTGAACCCGATTACAGTACCACAGGGGCGCCGCGCACGGCCCCTAGCTCGGATCAATCATCGAATGTCGTATTGTAGGGTGCTCCTTAAAAGTAAGGTAGGCGCTTAGTGCTCGCGGGATAGCCCTGGGCACCCTGTAGAGACACAAGAGGACGCGCCTGATTCGATTTAGTGAGCGACTATAGCAACCAATTGTATCCATAGTCTATCGCGCTGTTTAAAATGAACGTATTGTTGCCCATCGTGTCTATAGTGTATGGCGTTTTTTTTAAAAACAAACGTAGGCGCCATAGTGCTCGCAGGTGAGCACGGGACGTTCGGGTAGCGCAAAAGACGAGGCGCCGGCGGTTGTGCCTGTTGCAGTTTGCCGCTGAATATATTGGTACCCCTTACACACTATGTACAACGCCCGATTAACGGATGCCAAGTACTACCATAGCCGTTCTGGAACTCTGGGCGCCAAAACGTGTATGGACAAAAAATGTACTACCCGGGTGCCGCCCATAATAAAAATTTTTCGCAGAAATCTTCTCGGGAGTATTCTCATTTACTCCCGAAAAGATTCATGGCACTCGGATAAACTGTGTCAAACAGCATCCGACTTTTTTTTTACAGTATATAGAGAAAAATCGCACCTTCCCGGGGCACCGCCCTTGCGAAATTTAAAAAGATGATTTTTTTTTGCATAAACCTCCCTTGGAGTGTTTTAATCAACCCCTTTAAGTTTCATGACGATTGGAAGAAGTGTGTCAATCTGAAATCGATTTTTCTATTTTTTTATATACCGTATATAGAGGAAAAGTAAACTGCGCCATGCCTGGGCGGCGCCACTCCTGCGAATTTGAAAAACTTTCTTCGCAGAAACCTCCCAAGGAGAATTCGCAACAACTTCCTGAAGTTTTATGTGCGATCGGATGAAAGGTGTAGTAATGCGTAAAAGAAAAACAGACACACAAACACACAAACACACACACACACACACACACACACACATATATATATATATATATATATATATATATATATATATATATATATATATATATATATATATATATATATATATATACACACATGTATAAAATTAAAGGTCATAACATTGAAATAAAAAATATTGCTGGCTCTTTAAAAACTGGGAATTTGCGTAAATTGTAATTTTTGGCTCTTCCGTCTCAAAAGGTTGCAGACCCCTGTGTTAGGGTGATCGCGGCTAACTGGTTATCTCCCCTTCTGTTATTGGATAATTTATCGAGTCTTTTAAGTGTGTTACCTCCGCTAAATTTGGAAATCGTTTAATTAATATTCAATGACTAATTAAACATCTAATTAAAATTAAAATATAGATGGTCTTGTATTGTCATCGAAATGGAACGTGTCTGGAAATCACTGCATTAGAAGTGGGTTAAAATTTAGTTAAGTGATTTGCCACAAACCCACAAACAAACAAACAAAAGGTGTGAACAAAGTAAAAGCTTATAAATAAAATGAAATTGATGGAGTGGTCAGGCCACACACACACTCTTTGTGTTCCACACACACACACACCTTGTGGTCCACACACACACTTTGTGTTACACACACACACTTTGTGTTACACACACACTCTTTGTGTTCCACACACACACACACCTTGTGGTCCACACACACACTTTGTGTTGCACACACACACTTTGTGTTACACACACACACACACACCTTGTGTTCCATATACACACACTTTGTGATCCACACACACACACTTTGTGTTACACACACACACACACCTTGTGGTCCACACACACACACACTTTGTGTTACACACACACACACACCTTGTGGTCCACACACACACCTTGTGGTCCACACACACACAATTTGTGGTCCACACACACACCCCTTGTGCTCCACACACACACTTTGTGGTCCACACACACACCTTGTGGTCCACACACACACACACCTTGTGGTCCACACACACACCTTGTGTTCCACACACACACACACACACCTTGTGGTCTACACACACACACTTTGTGCTCCACACACACACCTTGTGTTCCACACACACACATTGTGTTCCACACACACACATTGTGTTCCACACACACACACACACTATGAGTTCCACACACACACACTTTGTGGTCCACACACACACACACGGCCGAGTTAAACATTAGATGGCTGAGTTAAACCTTAGATGGCCAAGTCAAACATTAGATGGCCGAGTTAAACCTTACATGGCCATATTAAACCTTAGTTGGCCGAGTTAAACATTAGATGGCCGAGTTAAACATTAGATGGCCGAGTTAAACCTTAGATGGCCATGTTAAACATTTGATGGCCGAGTTAAACATTAGATGGCCGAGTTAAACATTAGATGGCCGTAAAAAACTACACTGTACTTACCTTGTATAACGAAGGCACTGTGTCAGGTTGCTATGGTAACCTAGTGCTGCTGGTTCTGCGAGTCGATGAACCGTGCCAGGCTGGAATGTGTCGTCTGCTGGCGCCATCTTACAAGAGACCTCAATCAATAGGAGCATCACACACATACAGACAGACAGACACAAACACACATGCACAGACCTCAATCAATAGGAGCGTCACACACATACAGACAGACAGACACAAACACACATGCACAGACCTCAATCAATAGGAGCATCACAGACAGACAGACAGACAGACAGACAGACAAAAACACACACACGCACGTCATACACAAACACAGGCACAAAATCACACACGCACAGACACACACATCACAAAAAGACACACATAGAACAAAAAAAAACACTCGCACAGAAACAAAACACTCTCACATGCACAGAGATACACACACACACACACGCACAAACACACACGCACAGAGACACACGCACAGACAAACACGCACAGACACAAACACCCACACACTTTGACTTTATGTGATAATCAATTACTTTTTTTTTAATTTTTGGTGACACCAAGTTACATGGGGTAGGCATACATAGGATACGGAATTTGTATTCAACTATATCTCGGGTGGTAGATTGCGATACATTTGTATATTTTATTTTGCACAATATCCACTATCTAAAAAGATTGGCTGAATATCAGCTGTTTAGAAAATATACCGGCAGTGATCTCCCCTAAACTTTCCGAATATTCTTATATAACACTACGGGGGATGTCAACTCGGAATATAGCCATGATTTTAAATTCATTTTTAATAACTTAAGCTTTTTAAAATAGAATAGAATCTTGTAGAAAAAAGAATTGCGCACCAAGTGAATGGCAAACGATATGTGTATAATAGTGCTGACAATTATTTGTACTTTATAAATTCAAATGCGTTTTTTTGTTTTGTTTTTTTTTAAGAAATCGGAAATAACGTAAATTACTACTTTCTATTAGGTAGTCCAAACTGGCGAAAAAGTGCGTTTTATGGTCAGTTTTTGCGGTTTTCAAAAAAAAAATTTCACTACTTCTAGTTGTCCTATAAGAATAAAAATTATATGTCAATAAAGTTTAAGTCTTTATCTGTCGTAATCTGGTATTTTTATATCTGTAACACATGTCTGAATGTGTTTTATATTTGTTTGAAAAGTATCAGTTACGTCAACAAATTTCACCGTTTTGCGTGTACCGATCGACCCCACACTGTTTTATTTGGTCGCGGCTTCGCGACGAAGCATCGTAGAAGCATAATCTTAATGTCATTTTAAAGATCGAATTCTAGGCTATCATTTGATGTATAAATTGAAAAAATAACTTGTTTATTTCATTTAAAAAATACAGATTTTAAACTTTAAATGACGATATATACATAGAAACAAACTAATTCTGTTTCAATTTTTACACCGATGTAAAGTTCAGTTTTATAACTACTTTGTGTTGTAAATTCAAGTATTTCTGATTTACGGTCGCGAAGCCGTACCCCCAATAAACATATAACCCTCGAGTCGACTTTCAGCCCCGAGTAAGTTGCTCGCCAAACGGTTTTAAATTTAAAGGTTGACGATCGATGATGCTAAACGGATTTTACCCTTGCTAGAGCCTTCAAACAAGTTGTAAGTATCATTTTTAAAGTTTCATTTCCATTTTAATAAATGAATTTTAAGTTTGAATGTCAGTTTGGTTTAATTAGTACACGTTATTAATGTAAATTTGAACGCTTCAAGTCCACGGTTTTAGCGTGTGAACTACGCTTGTACACAGGGTGTGTTTAGACATGAAGCTATTTAATTCGGGACATTCTAGGGACTTAAAATATGGATGCACTTAACTATTAGATGCTAGTGTTTACTAATTCTTTAAAATCTATTGACTGGGATCAATGATAGGGTCGTATTACTACAGTTTATCTGGACTATCACGTCAAAATTATGAATCGACAAATTCAAAATGGCCACCAGACTATCTTGGTTACTATGTGGACGAACTCAATTATTTACAGGGAACGAAGGTTAAATACTTATAAAATATTAATGAAACACAAAAGAAATGTATAATTATAATAACTATACATTTTTATCGATTTATTTAAAACAAAAGACACTAAATTTTAAGGACTAATGTGATTAAATTTTTTTTATTTTCTGTTGTGTGCTCTGATTCTGATTCCCCTGCTAAATAATGTGAAATGGTCTGCGCCAGTCTCCGTAATAAAATGTACCAGATCAATTTTTAGATGGTGGTGCAATTTATTAAGATTCTACATGTTGTGACTTAGTTTTAAATGTTATATTAGTTGTAAGTGTAAGTAGTACTAGTAGTATTTCTCATTATTTATTTATTTTATATGCATATAATAGTAACAATGAAGGACAGTTAAGTTGTCCTATAGGATGTTGAGAACCACAGTATGGCATCTTCATTATTGGATATCTCAACCAGTGTGGCACAAGCAACGAATATTTCAAATTTCATTCAGTAGAATTACTCTTAAAAATATATATAAAGTATAAATTACTTTTAACAAAAAGGTGTTTTCAGGCTTTTTCATGTTTCTAGTTATAGTCATAGGACAAATAGTAGGCCTACACAATAGGCTGGTAGTAAATTTAATTCTATTTTATTAATCACTAAATCAATTGTTTATTCCATAGCTGGAGACATTTACAGTGGCCTATCCAGAACTTTCCTTACAAGGGAAGGGAAGAAGGCCAAGACCCCACTCCCCCCTACAATTCCCAAAACATATTACTTACTCTTGATGCTCCACAAGATCAAGGTTGAGGGAAACAAGACGTACAAAGATGTGGAGTTGTAGTTTTAAAAACTGTTCCCCCAAAGCAGTTATCAACCGTATAGGTTTGAAAAGAAACCAAAGCATGTGGCATCAACTGCTGCATCACTTGTAGGCATCACGTCTTTATTAAACTACATTACATTACATTTACTCTACTAAATTTTGATTCTGTTTCTCCTGCACTAGATAACTGTGGTATTTTTTAAAATAATATTTTAACTCATGTGATTTTTGAAAATAATTAACACATTTTTCCACGTTGATGTTACCAACACAATAGTTTTAGAGTTATTCCAAAGCAAAAAAAAAAAAAAAAAAATTGAATTTTTTTTTTTTTATGAAAATAAAAGTGACCAAAACGCATTTTTGTCATTTTCAATTATTTTTTTACCTTAGAAAGACTCATTTTAGATGACTGAAAAAAATTGGGCATATATATTACAAACATTGCAGCAACTTTACTAATTTCTACACTTCTATGTTATTTAGTTTAAAAAATATGGGTTCTCAAAAATGGCACTTTTTGAAAATCAGTTTTTTACCAAATTTTGCTTTTTTAAAAATCGCATAACTTTTTTATTTATTGAGATATTTTTATAAAATTTGTGGCATAGACCTTACAATTAAAAGTTCTTTCATGACATACTCACTCCAGAAGTCTGCAATCAATAGTTAATTTCAGTTTGGACTACCTATTTCTATCATAGGAAATTACTCAAATTTGATACAAGGCAGAAACTTAGTTTCTTTAATAATACAGTGGTTCCCGAACTTATTCGAGTGGCGACCCTTTCTATAAAAATTAAGTGAACCGCGACCCCCATAGAATAAAAAAGTCAAAATTAGTAAAGAAATTAATAAGCACTAAAATAATATTTTGTCGTAGACTTTCAATATGAATTATTCTTGATAACCGTTTTAAAGCGATGAGTGAAATTATATGCTATTAACTAGCCTCAACATTCGCGTTTAAGTTTTTTGAATGCCAACCTTATTTCATTCAGAACATGTCAGACTTTTTTCTTTACGATTTTTTTTAATGCTAGGGTTTAGTCTACCAGTTGGCGACCTCCCAGACACCCCGTCGCGACCCCTCTGGGGGTCGCGACCCACAGTTTGGGAACCCATGTACTAATCTGTGAATTTTCGTTATCTATCTGAAACAGTACTAAAGTTATAGGCTAAGGTTAGGGTTTAACCAATCTGGGTTTAGCCATGATTGCACTGACGCAATAGTTAATCATAAACTTAGGGATTAGACTAAGACCCCCTTATCAGCGATTATCTATCTATCTATCTATCTATCTATCTATCTATCTATCTATCTATCTATCTATCTATCTATCTGTCTGTCTGTCTGTCTGTCTGTCTGTCTGTCTGTCTGTCTGCCTGCCTGCCTACCTACCTACCTACCTACCTACCTACCTACCTACCTACCTACCTACCTACCTACCTACCTACCTACCTACCTACCTACCTATCTATCTATCTATCTATCTATCTATCTATCTATCTATCTATATATATATATATATATATATATATATATATATATATATATATATATATATATGTACTAGTTGCATACCCGTGCGCTCCGCCATGGTAAATGTTTTTTAAATGTACCAACTTGGGAGTAGGGGAATAGAACAAAACTAAACACAACACAAACACAACACACACAATACAAACGCAAAAGAAAACACAAACAAAACACAAGCGAAAACACAAACGAAAACACAGACGAAACACACAAACACAAAAGAAAACACAAATACAATGCAAAAACAAACGAAAACACAAACGCAAAACACAAACACAAAAGAAAAAACAAACGCAAATAAAAACACAAATGAAAACACAAACACAATGCAAACACAAATGCCAACGGAAAAAACCTAAACGAAAAAACAAACACAACACTCATAACATAAACACAACTTAAATGCAAACATAAACGCAGTGCTCACAGTCTAGCGCGTGGCACCAAATCGCACCCTGTCCGAGCGCCGTCGGTGGAGCCTAATTCAGTGAATGACTATAAAAAACCAGCTTGTCCGCAAACGCAAAGATAGAATAATAATTAGTAAACAGTACTTCAGTGTATAAAATAAATAAAAGGCAATATTGAAAATATCCGTGTTATACCTACCATATTGCACTTTACCAATTCATGCATTTTTTCAGTACTATTTTATATAAACCGGGAGCGATCTCCTCTAAACTTTCTCGAATATTCTTATATAAAAAAAACAGGGGATATGGACATGAATTTT